TATATATATATAACAATCACAATCATATCTATACCATAAACATCCATGAACATCCATAAACCATAGCTAAGCAACTTAAAGGTTGGCCTTGGATCTTGGACCCACCCCGATCAAAAATTTGCCTTCGAAAACCACTGGTTGGTGGTTGAAAAACCCCTCTGAAAAATATGACTTCGTCAGTTGGGATGATGACATTCCCAATAGATGGAAAAATAAAAAATCATGTTCCAAACCACCGACCAGACCACATTTTCTGGCCTGGATAGTGCAAGAATCGGCGCGGCCAATGGTGCAGTGTCGCTCTGTGATCATCAGCCTCTCATGACTTGCAGAAGTTGGATATCGGTGGATTCCGGACATTCTGCGCCCTACGTGGGGCTGTGTTGGTTTATAACATTCTGGTTGGTGGTATACCTACCCCTCTGAAAAAAATGAGTTCGTCAGTTGGGATGATTCTTCCCAACTGAATGGAAAGTCATAAAATCCAAATGTCCCAAACCACCAACCAGAATTTTGTAACTGGCTGAACCATAGATAGGGTTGTCAATGGGGTCGTAGCTGGCAACTTATAGCTGAGCACCAGCCTTTCAGCTCCAGTATTGTGATTGGAAAGAGAGTGAGCTGGACACGATTTCCTCAAACGCTGAGCCTCCACACATATCACACAACATAAGAAATCCAGTTGGGCATAGTCTTAGTTAGTAGGTGGTGAATTAACATGAATCATCTGCATGTAGAATAGATATGATAGACATACCATCTGGTTATTTAACAGTTCGCCATGGAAAGATCCAGCCATTTTTAATAGGTAAACCATCTATTTCTATGGGCCATCTATACCATGGCTATGCTAAATAGCCAGAGGGTAGATATCACCTAAACCAGGATGCACGTCGAAAGGGCCGCCTCTCACCCATGTTTGGCCCCGACACAAAGTCCAGCTCCATGGGTGACTGGGGAAGCGGATGGAAGGTGCTGGGAGTTTTTATTCATCCAACAATGTGGGGCCCCAAGACAGCTAAGTTTGGTTGAAAACTAGGCTTTATATCTATGCTTAGCTATTGTTTATGGTAGATATTCATAGTTAGATGGGGTAATCAACCAACATAAACCAACTTGTAGCTGGGAGGGGGCACATTGAAGATATGTCCACCTTTGATGTCACTTAATATACGCAAATTATGGGAAAAAACACATTTTTCAGGAAACAGAAGAGCGGAGGACAGTATAGGAAAACGAACTGATACCTTTTAAAGTAGTTCATATGTTTTGTTGTTTTCTGTTTTTGTCCTAGGCCTCGGTTTTTCACTCTGGTGAAAAACAGCTGAGGTTGCGACCCAAGGCAAGGGCCTAGAGGCAAGGATTGTTGCTACTAGTATAAGGACTGCAAGTCTGAACCAACCAACCACAACTATAATATGCATCATGATATGAATCATAGTCGAATCAGTAATTGAATCATAATTGGATCATATGATATTGTATGACATTGGGCTATACCGCCAGTATGATACCAGTAAGGCTTTGATGGTTTTCACCTTGACAAATCTTGGATGCCAAGATTTAACCTGATGTTATGATGTATACCCTCTGGTAAACGTTTACATAACTATGGAAAGATCCACCATTTTCCATGGGAAAACTCACACTACAAATGATTATAAATGGCCATGTTCAATAGCTATGTTAGTCATTACAAGAGGGTAAATGTGAAGCAAAATCGACAAAAAAAATGGTCCATTCCCTCTAAGACTCCCACGTTGGAGCTGTGTGTGATGTCGTGGGATTCATCCTCCGCTTGAAAAAGATACGTTGGTCATTGGTCAGACTGGGGATCATCACTATCGCAGCGATACAAAGCACAAAAAGAAATATAAATCACGTGGGAAAGTGATGGAAAGTGCCAGTGAATATATAGCTGGAAAGTGATATGGTTGTGGATCAAAACCATGACACCCTTGCTCTTCACGTCGATTCATATGGTAGAAATTCGGTATTTCATAGCTGTTGACCCAGAATTCCGGCCAGGTCCTGGTCTTGGCTGATTGCAGTGCTGTGTTTTGGCACATCCTTAGATTTTTCAATGGCCAGCTTCGACTTGGCCACGGATCTTGATCCCGTGAGATCAGCTATACATACCCTTTGGTAATGACTAACATAGCGAACTGGAAAGATCCACCATTTTTTCATGGGAAAATCCACTATTTCAATGGCCATGTTCGATAGCTATGTTAGTTTACCAGAGGGTAATAAGACTGTGACATACTGTGACCACAAATGCTTCAGATTGCGATCAATGGCAACTTTTCTTGTAGCTATTGTAGCTCCTCATCATTGGCAAACGCTTTTCCCATGTTTCAACGGATTCCTTGCCAACTCTCGGGCTCACTGCAACATCTGCAACCAGCATCCCTTAAATAAGACAAGGGCATTTTTGGGGCATCCTGGCAATACACATCACTTGGGGATGATTCATTAAGCATAACATAGCATACCCTCTGGTAAATAAACATAGACCTTGAAAATCACCAATTTGTAATGGAAACTAATCTTCCAACCCCTATCTGGCAGGGTCTATGTTAATTTTCTGGAGGGTAACCCCGTACCTGAATTGAGGCCATGTTCATTTTGGGATAGTGACCCAAAAAAAATCCTTTCCTCATGATGTTGCGACGTGAGGTCGTGATGAAATCCAGCGCCAATTAGTTCGATGATTTTCCAGTTAAAACGTCCATTCAGTTTGGGGCAGCTGGTATAGTTGGTTATTGTTCTATAGTTATATATATATATATATCATTCATTATAATGTATAAGATTGTTATTAGTGTTGATTCTCCATGTCAGAACTTCAATTAAATCACTATGACTATTACACATGATTACCATGACAACTGGTGGCCCAACCAACCGGAGACCTCCGCGATTTTCGTCCAAGTCGCTTGTCCACTTGATTACTCCACCAGGGGCGAGTACGTCCACCTGACACTCACTGGATTGGTGGGAAAATTTACCGGAAATCTCGACATGTCATGGGGAAAACATGGGGAAAACAGAAAAATCTGTAGATGTTCCCTTCCGGTTTTGACATTTCTGATTGCTGTATCTTATATCTTGATCCAAGATCGAGTTGTGACCATGGCATGCTGAAGTTCGACCAAAATTACTGGCGCTTAGGCTAAGCCAACCACCATTGGTCATAAACAAAAACAAAAAAAACTCATCATGGCTCATCATGGTAGACAAAGGTCATCATCCACTAGCCAGTTGGGCCGTGGTGGGGCTCATCCTTCCACAAGCGTAGCACTCGGAATCCGTACTTACGTACTTCTTTGATAGCTCTGAAGTGGTCTTCATGGCTAACCCTGCAAAAAATACAGTACCTTGGCATCTTGTTCTGAAACATGTTCTCACTCCCCATCAACTTCCCATTCACCCAAATATACTAATGAAGTACATTGAAGTACCTAATAAGTATTGAGTATACTATATGAGGACAGCTTTACTCGCTGTTCCAAGTGCAGTTTTACTTCCGTCACCAATGCATATTTCGGCATATTTCGGCCATCAACTTCGGCATATTTCGGCCATCATTTTGTGACCCACTTTGGATCCTTTGGCCTATAAACCTAAACTAAACTTGAACCAATGCGCAACAGGAACACCATGAAAACATATAATTAAAAACCATCTAACACTCACAGTATGTTTCTCGGGAAACACCATGTTCCTAGATGTTCCTAGCATTTCCTAGCTCTTAGTTTTAAGACGTGCCCGAGGTGGCACCTATTGAGCACCTCAACAGGCTCATCTGATTTTTTGCGCCCAAGCAGCTCAACAAAGAAGCGCAATGCGCAATGTTCTCATCCTCTGGACCCGGCTCCTTCAATTTTGCGACTTCCCGCAGCCATGGCCCACATCTATGCCATGGATATGGGATGTACATATAATCATATATATATATACTAATAATATCTATACATATATTTATATATGTATAATCTAATATCGCCCATCGCCATCTGCAGGAGTCTAGCAAAAAAATGGATCTAATAATATCTGATACAATATATAGTAGTATTTATTTATGTCGTGTGGGTGTGTGTGGATATAAACTCCAATTACATTATTCCATGGCTAGGAAGTCAATGAATACATCAATCATCAAAGCAAAATCCGCTCAGCATTCGCCCACTGGAGAAGTAATTAGCACACAAAACCGGAGAATTGGCCCCACTATCTTTCACACTCCAAGGATTTCTCAAAGATCTGGGTCAAACCTGGACAGGTGTGAAGTTGTTCCCGCATTGTTCTTGAAAATCTGACGAACATCTTCAACAAAAATTGCCACACATGGAGTTTTTGGCCGGCAAAAGTCCAAATGGCAAGGTTTCCTAAACGAGAGCACCCGTAAATCATCGATTTGAATTATAAACCATCTAGCTATCGGGGTACCCCCATGACTATGGAAATCCCAAATTGGCAAACCATTAAATTGTATTCAAGGCGGCTCCTTGACGTTCCTTGACCCCGTCAAGGCTGCACTCTCAGAGCTCCGACTTTGTGAAACACGCAGGAGAGCCCAATATTTCAAGGTCAAAAGATGCCAAAAATATATAAAAAAAATCCTTGCAAACAGTCCTAGCCGGCCAATCTAGCCATGGACAATTGTTTCCCTACAGCACGTTGGATTTCATGTCATCTTCCAATTGTTTAACGGGAAACACGTGGCTTGTGTGACTTGGAGCTTGGGGGGGGCAATCTCCGAGGATCCCAGAGCCAAATTCGCCAACTAACTCAACCTCCATGGGAGCTGTCGCAACCTCCATTGGACTGGCAGAAAATACTGGAAAATATGTGACCAATCAACCTATAATATCATGACTATATGAAAAATTACCGTTTTTGAATGTTTTTTGATGGGTAAACGGTAAATCAACTATAAATGGTCATTTTCACTAGCTATATTTAATTATCATAAATTACCAACTTATATCAACCATTCACATTGTGGTTTCGCGAAAATGCTCAGACCATCTGACCATCCATCTCGTTTTGCTGTCCTCCTCTGTATGCAGACTGGAAGGCCGCAGGCCTACCGTTTTTGTGTCTAGGATGATCGCCGTGGATATGTGCGGTACGTATGTACGGTGGTACACAGTCAGCGGCGACAAGGCAACCCGACCTGGAAGCCACTGCAATTGGCTGATGCGCAGAGATCCCGGATAGCTTTCCATGTGCCTGCAGCGTGGCGTCCCACCAAAGCAAGACAGCAAAAAAAAATCATCCATTTATACATGTCACAGCATGGCCACACATAATACATTCACCTAATTTCAACCCCAAATTACCAAACTTGGTTGATTAAAGATCGGGGAATTACTCTTTAAACAGTGACTATATTCGAATGGTTCTCCATGGTTCTCCCAGATCTCCCAGCATCACCAAATATCAAAAACCAGGAGTTGGCCGTTCTGGCCCTGTCTCCTGCGCGCCTTTTAGATTTGCAGCCGCCTCCGCAGTATCGAATGACCAGCTCAGCATTGCCGATGCGAATCCAATCTCCACAACTCAAATTCAATCCGCCACAACCAACCTGACCCGTCGTGGCAACATGTGGCAACCGCATGCATAGTGTTTTATCGATTCACCTCATTCAAGTTGAGTGTTTTTTGGGGCAGTGGTGTCGTCGGCAAAGGTTTAAAGGCTGATTGAAACCATGGCTTAGAAGGCTATCTGCAGATCACAAGACAATGCTTCCGCAGCCACGCCCTGTGTGCTAAAGAGTTGAAGGAGGTGCAAATATGTAAAGATACGTCCGACTAAGATTTGAGGCAAAGTGCACACACACACACATCATGTATACACACATATTCGCACATACAATGCATGATGCAATGCATATATGTAATCAATGTAATCTCATTCGTTTTTTTTTAATATATATACCCACACCACAGGCACAAACAAACATACACAATCATCTACAAGTTGCTAATTCTTAAATACATAAGCGAACACATCATAATTCAATATACCCTGGGGCAAAACATACAACAAAATGGAAAACCCTGGAAAACCCCACGGTTTCCCATCCCAACTTCCAGCGACAACGGCTCGCCTTCACAAAGGTTCCCCACTTGGATCCCGCATCCATGATTTCATACCTCGAGTTCGGTGCAGCCACCCCAACCATAACGAACTTAAGACTTGGAGTTGAATAGTGCATATATATATGATTATATATGTCTGTGTGTGCTTGTTGAAAACATCGCACGAAATCTGCTGTATCCCTCATCAGAGTGGCTAAACAAAGGGATCAGTAGCATTTACCAGCCATCTGAACATTATTTTTTTTGTAAAATCTACACCTTTGAAGTGGAACGAGCGCCCTTTTCTTTGGTCATAATCTATCTAAATCTATCTGCAACTGGAACCGAATTAACCATAATTAACACCTCTCAAATAAAACGAGTTTTTGGGGCATGATTCCCCATACGAACCACATGGAATTTCTGCTGGAACTAGCATCATTTCGGCGCCTCAGTGAGGCCCCAGGCCTTTGACTTTGAGCATCGAAAGAGATGGAGAAGTGGGAGCGCGAGGCGATCGGCTCGTTCATATTCTTGGCGAGAAGTGGGTGGATCTGGGTGGAGATTTCACGGAAAAATCCGTGCGAAAAATACCATCTGGTTATGACTAACATAGCCATGGTATAGATGGCCCATAAAAATTTGATGGTTTACCGAACTGAAAAATGGGTGGATCTCTCCATGGCGAACTGATAAATAGCCAGAGGGTATGTCGAAAGGAGGCAACACAACGGATTTGCCATGATCTGCGAACCACCTGCTAAAGCTTCTAAAGGTCATCTTCTCTGTAATGAAGCATGCACAACAGAGCATACCCGTGATGTGTCAGATTCAGCTGAGCGATTGTGAAAACCCTAGGTTCACGGAAAGGACATCCACAAATTTGGGAAGCTCCCATCGCTTACCACACGTTTGTACAATAATGATATATGATAAATTTGGGGGGTATCGCTTGCAGGAAACTGCTGCATATATATATATATATAGATGATGAACTATGAATAATATGTGCTATTTGGGTATCGCTAATGTGGATATTAGAGAAATATGATGATATAACCTTGAAAAGGGGTATCGCTAATTTGGGAAGGTCCCATCGCTTACCTCGTGTTTTTAACAATTTCCATCAATTTCCATAAACCAATGTCCGTCGAATACATATTTAGTATTGCCGGGGTTTTTACGGTTGCTCAGCTATCAGGGTCCTGATCATCCAACTCAATTAACTAAGGCTCAGCAGCAGTGGATATTTCAGACTCGGCTACATCTTCTATGAATCTGAAGGCATAACTTTCAAGGCCGGATAAAAATCCCAAATGATAAACGGTAGCTAAGAAACGCTAACTGATAATCTCATAAATGTTGAATGACACATAATGACACAAAACAAATAGTGCAATCACCCTTGGTAATAGCGAACCCTCATAGCTTGTTGAAACTAGATACAGCTACATACACCTCCCTTTGCCCACAACAGATGGCCCTAGCTCTGTCAGGAGACCATGTCTGGAAGCATCTTCCGCTTGGAACCTGGAAAAATGGCATGAACATCACGGAACAACCCTCCATCCTCCACCAATATCAGCTGGTATCAGCTGGTATCAGCTATCAAAGACATACATTCTGCATCACTTCAAAACTGGGGATGTTCCACTAACAGAGTTGATTTTTGTCCTGCGGCAAAGGTGAGTGAAGGCGATACGGATATCAACAAGACATAGGTTTGGGCAAATTGGGGCCGCATGACTAGTTACTAAACTTTTTAACCTGCACCTTGCTGCCCACAAACATATGGCAAATTTGATGCAATACAAAACCACAAAAGTGTCATGACTCGGGACGTTCCCAGCCTCTGCCAAATTTTGTCCTGGACAAAGGGCAAGGATTCAGGAGATCGAATAGGGATGAATAGGATAGGTCACAAGGATTCACAAGGCAGTGGCTACATGTTAAAATGGCTGGATGACTTGGGTACAAATATACGGCGGGTACAAATATACGGCTACGTGCTACAGAAAATCCAAAAACTAGGTAGTAGGCGGTTGACTCGGCGCCCTGTGAGGGGTTGTCGGTTTCATTTTCATTGTTTTTTCGTGAAAAGGCAAAAACGTGGTATTCGTGGGACTTTGTAAAATGGAGAGCAAAGTTCATGTTCATTTTTAGATGGCAGGCGCATGACTCAAAAGTGAAAATTGGCATTTCGCAAAAGCGAAAAACTAATTTTGTCATTGAGGGACCCCCCCCAAAAAAAAAAACATGTTTTCAGGTTGTGAGATCAGAAGCCGCATCAGCAAGTTCTTTTTCAGCATCAGCGCCACAGAATGTTTCTCAAGTTCCTCAAGTCAAACCCTTTTCACATTTGGTATTGTGGTTCCACATGCAGTAGTATGCCTGGAACGCATGGGCATTTACAGCAAGTTTTATTTTGTGCAAACTTTGAGGGTGCCATTTCTTTCAGTGACGCCAAGTGGAGTCCAACTGTTGTGTTCCAGCCACTATTGTTCTGGCCTGTCTTTGCCAACGATGTCTAAATTTGTATCTCTTGGTGCAAACATTTTTTCAACTATGTCCACCCTATTACCTGACCTACGCCTGAGCCCAATATCAACCCTTCTCTACCACATGACAAACACAACCCACCCCAATCCCTCAATATCCCTCAATAACGTAAGATCCGTAGCCTCCAGACTTGGCAACAACGTGGCACTGCGTAGCATGCCATGGGTTACGCAAGTGTACATGACCGTAGCACAGCGTAGCATGCCAAGTGTTACGCAAGCGTACATGAACGTTATTAGCCCCACCCCACCCCACCCCCCACAATACGGCAGGCAGTTGATACGACTCCAGGACCAACATAATTACCCAAAAAATGAAATATCAAAATTCGACACACCCTCACAGGGCGCCGTATCAACCGCCTGCCAAAAACTACAGTCAGCTTCAAATGAGGACACAACCCAAGGAGATACTTCTGACATACCCGAGGACTTAGATCCATATGCACGCATAGACCGCTAGTGAACATCCACAAATAGGAAGCATGTCAAGGCATGTATATAAGCGACACGCCATAAGGGACCCCTGGGAATGGATGCTACCCTGGCAAAGGGTAGGCATTTCATGTGCCCGCAACATACCCGGCATTCCTGGTGGCAACGTGTGGCAACATGCCCCAACCTGGGGGCCCAGTTCCAGCCATTTAAACATGTTATGTATGTATGTATATCTGTCTGTCTGTATGCATTTATATATGTATGATTATGTATGATTATGTATGTATCTTTACTAAGCATAAATATAATACAAGGGGTTAAATCCCAAACCCAACTTTTGAAATGACATCTTCCCGTGCTATAGCCATTCAAAACCCCAACTGCGCCCCAAAACAAACAGCCCCCAGGCCCCCAGCCCAGGACCCACAAGCGCCAAGCCACACGGCTGCAAACATTGTGATGTCATTGGGGCTGATCAGCACAGCTGGAAGTTGTTGCGGTTCACCTGCATGCTGTGCATCTCAAAGGAGTCAAGTTGGTCAAGCTGAAGTGTCCTCGAGAAAGTTGAAAAATACTTTACTTCGAGTGATCCCCGCCGCGACATTATTTTGTCATAGTTTCTGACATCTCATCTGGAAATCTATACCGGGCACATATTTTCTAACATTCTATTCTGGCATTCTGTTCTGGCACTGGATCTGGCGCTCTCTGTTGAAGTCCGGCAGTGCCCAGTGAGACCTGGAGCTCGCGGTTGAGGTCCGGCAGTGCCCACTGAGTTGAGGTCCTGCAATTTGCACTGAGATCTGGAGCTGGCAGTTGGGAGGAGGAGGAGGAGGCGGCAGGCGCGGAGGAGGAGGAGAAGAAGGAGCAAGTACAGTAACTCTGATAAAATCTAGAGACCCTCACCTGGCAGGTGGGGAACAACAAGAAACATGGAATACACATTTGAAAAAACAACAACAGCACATCATTTCATACAGTTGGCACTACAATATACTACATTTGATTAAGAAATATAGGTCTAGGGCTGTAGCTCGGAGGTGGTGCCCTTCCTACGGTGAGGCTGTGAGGTCCCCTAGATATCAAAGTTGGTTTATATATATATATATATAACTCCATAGGGTTTATGGTAGATGCATCTGATTAAATTATATATATAGATATAGTTCCTACGGTCTTTTTCAACCACCAACTTCAAACTTGGGGGAGGAACCGAGGAACCCCACGTTGAAGTGGCGCCTCCAAAGTCCAGCACAGGTCGATCTTTGGCCAACTCGCCACTAGCTACGCGCAGGACCAAGGCCTTTCGTGTGCAAACCAGATCACCTCGGGACGGGGTGTCGCCGGGTTCAACCAGGGCGGAGGGTGTTTATGGTGAAGGTAAACATAACATTAATATTATTACCCTCTGGTAAACTAACATAGCTATGGAAAATCACTATTTTTAATGGGAAATACCACTATAAATGGCCATTTTCAATAGCTATGTTAGTTTACCAGAGGGTAAGATTGAACCCACCAAAAAATGGAATCTATCCAAGACCTGGTTTAAGGAGAAAATAAGTTTTCCAGTTCAAACATAGTACACAAGTAACACATAAAATCATCACAAAACGTTGCGTCATTTGGTGCCAAATAGGTTGTCATATCTCATGCCCCGGTCTATTGTACAGTAATCGAGTTTTGATGCTTCTTTTGGAGTCCACCAAATGAACAATCCATCAAAATCCTCTGGAGCAGGATGGGGTTTAAGTTTTTAGGTGCCGTTTGGGCGTTCATCATTGTGAAGAATTGGGCGGCGCAAGCACCAACTTTGAACCGGGGGATTGTTGCAAATATGAAGAAAATTAGATTCACCAGCACATGAACATGGACTCTCAGCAAGGAAAGGAATATTGAAAGGAATGCATGGTAAGCAAGCAATATATATATATATATTGTGTATGGTGCCCCCCCAAGATCCCTGTTCCAGGTGTTTTTACTGGTATTTGCAGTGTCATATATCGATATAGCATGATATAGTCAACTATAATAATTAATCAACAAAAATGATATCCAAACAACAAAATACGACATCAACAAAAAGAAACAAAACACTCCAAAAAAAGGACCATCGGCCAAAATCATCCAATATTAGGTGAGGCTAGACCCCTGCGAAGAAAGGAAACCGTCGTTCCAACCTGTTTCAACCCAATAACTTGGAACAGAACCCAGAGAAAACCAAGGCCTTTGCCAGGGGAGCAGAGCCCGGGGAGCCCAGTTCACCAAGATCTTGCAAGATGCAATCCCTGAAGATACTAAATCGAAAATCGTGTTCCAAACATGTCCAAACCGTTCTGATAGGCTTTCACATGGGTCTATGGACCATTCTGAAAAGGGGTACCCCCTAGTTATGGCAATTTTGGTGTGTACTTTTGTACGAAGATGATGGTTCAACATTATGGTTCGCATCGGATGCTTGGGTACCTCATTTTCAAACAAACCATGATAAAACCATATAGCTGATAGCTGGCAGCTAACCTCAAGGCACTCTCCAGTCACTCTCCAGTCAGACACAGTGACTGTTCACAGCGCGCAGTGCTGAAAGCCTCAGCTTTTCCTGCGAGGACTCGTTGCAGGCCAGAACGCTGCAGGGGTTGCAGGGCCAGTTTGGGTACCCATTTCCGGTCATAGTCCCTATACCTTCGTATCACTTACTTAGGAATCTTGACTGAATTAGATCCCATCACTTACCCCTATATATAATCATATAGTAATAGTATATGGTTATTGTTATTATTATAGTATATACGTATATCATATGTTGATTATAGCAAATAATTATATGTTCATAGTTCTTGTTACTTTGTCGGTATACCGTAACCCTAGGGCCCTAGAGCAACTGAAACGGCAACCGTCGACGGCTGCGGCCTCCTTCTGGGTGGCACCTTCGGTCTCTGTCCACCACCGCATTTCTGTCCTGCAAAGCCTAGGAGCCCAAGGGGTGTGGATCGTCGGGGACCAGGTTTGTTTCAACATAGTGAAAGAAAGTGTCCAGTCATCTGCAAGTCATTTTCCATGTCAAACTGGCCACACTGTTGGAGAAATGCCGAAATAGATTTCAACCTTTGAAAATTGAATTTCGGCCAGGCGTCAAAAAAACATCAGCCTGCAGAGACGATAGTGCCGGTGCTTTCTTCAGTTGCAAAGGTTCAGGTCTGGTCATTTCATTGCATTTCTCAGGTGGCTGGTCACAACGGCGAAATCTATGTTTTTGACCCGGAGATCGCGGACTTATGAAGTTCATGATGGTCATGACCAAATAGTTGACTCCAAGTAGCTCTTCTACATATGTAGCCCATTCAATCTTGCGGCCCGCTTCCACTGGTCTCATGTGGAGACGGGGGTCTTCTGGTGTGTGGCTGCCTTCCACGCCCATCCTCAAGGTGCGAAAAAATTGCTGTGCCCACGGTGATCACCTCCATGATTTCCTATATTTCCATATATTTCCCATGTAACCCCTGAAACTATAATGAAATGTGGTTGCGAACATCTTCATGTGGGTCCCGTGTGGGTCCTTTTATTGGGTCCTGTGTGGTAAAGCCATGGGCTTATGACATTGATTGCTCCAACATCCCCCTCCAACATCCCCCAAGAACTGGTGGGCTCGCTGAGCCCAAGATGGCCCAAGATGTCTTGCAGACATTCGAACACATGGCCACGGCTCAAAGTTATTGGCCAAGATCAATTGTTGAGTGACTATAAGATACTATAAATACTGTAATTAGATGTAATTAGATGTAATTAGATGTAATTAGATATGTAATTGTATGACCAGAAAAAAATCGGCACATGTTGCTCTTCCGACCCCAGCACCGGCCTTTCCATTTCTTGCCCGAAACAGCTTTCGGCCTGACCAGGCCGGTCAGTTTGCAGGGACTCAAACACCCAATGGCAGTTTTCACACGCAACAACTGGACCCAAAAAATGATAGATATTGATAGATATTCAGGACTAAGTGAGAGTTTCTGAGGTGCTTCACCAATCCTATCAATCATCAATCGTTTGAAACCTCAGAGCATGGCTGCAATTCAAATGCTAATTGGATTGATTTACCCTCTGGTAAACGTTTACATAACTATGGAAAGATCCACCATGCTATCAATGGGTAAATCCACTATTTCGACTGGGCCATTTTCAATAGCTAACCGTTAGTCATTACCAGAGGAAACATGGTTCTTACCCACAAAATATGGGCTCAACTGCAACCCGAAAAACGACTGTCTTGATGGTGAAGAGCAACATCGCATAAATATTTTCACCGCCCCACCGTGGTGAAAAATGGGTCGACCTGGTCATTTAATGATGTTCACCTGCCCCGGCCTGGTATAATGATGTATTACGTAGGTTTTTGATCCATCCAATTCAATTCCAAATATTATAAGGGTGTCTGAACATACGGTTTCTCCCAAATTTGATGTTTATCATCATGCTCCATATAGTGGGTTTGCCCCATTTTCATGTACCAAACCCAAATATCATACTGCTGGTTGTCTTATATTCTATTCCACATTCTATCCCCATTCTATCACATTGATTCCCACTGAACCGGCCATTGGAAGAAACTCACTCAGACGGGGCGGTAGAGTTCGTTGATTAGCCAATAACTGGATTGGCTAGTCCCCAAACATGACTGGGCTGTAATGGACTAAATAAATAACGAACGAACAACCCAACGAACTAACTACCTAGCTGACTCTACCACCTTAGCAAAGTTAATGCAACTTTCAATTGATAGTACGGTTAGTGATATTTCCCCCATAACTTTACTTTTAGTTAGATAGATAGATAGATAGATAGATAAATAAACCCATAGTTGGCTAATGGGTGACTCACAAATATGGATGTTACTTAATGTTTCCATTAAAAAAAAAAAACATAAAAAAAACATCCCGACTGGGCATCCCGACTGCGGACTTTGGTGGACTTTCTGGCACCCGTGGCGTCCGACTGCCTGGGATGAACTGATGGATGTCCCAGGGGTGCCACTGAAAGCATTGCTGGAAAACATCATGAAACGTGGTTATAACATGATTATAACCCTCATCATGGTCAATCATGTTGTTTAGTCCTGCTTAGTCCTAGTTCATGATGGTTGTCACATGGTTGTCACACGGTTGTCACTTGGAAATAACATGGTTATAACATGCTTATAACATGATTACAAGGGTTCCAATGGCAATGGTCAACCATTTCAATTACATGCAAATACCATAAATGTTGGTTCGTTATTTTGTTGACCACCTTATACCATGATTGTATATAATGGTCAATCCTTTTGTTTATATATATATAGTATAGTCATATTATTTGGTCCCAGTTCTTCTCCCAAAGCACTTGGATTTCAACCGATCAAGCGATAGCCATCGGGGAACCAATTTTTTGGGGGCCCTTAAACGACCACTACAGTGACTACAGGATGGTTCCAGCTATGTTGGTTGGTTTATAAACCCCATGAATACTATATATAGTTTAATATCTACCATAAACCATAGTAAGTTAAGCCACTTATAAGGCAACTTAGCTATCTGGGGGCCCCATCCTGTAGACAAGCAGATACAACAGCAGGGGTTCTCAAACTTTGGCACTGGAGAAGCCAACGACCTCGAGCCCTTTTTAAACGCTCAAAACCCAGTGGCCGGAATCTCTCTTCGTTCGGGACCGGCCGTTGGTGCTAGCACTGGCACTGCTTTGACGACCTCGGGTATCGGAAGATCATCTACTGTCCGCTATGGATATGGGCGGGGGGTCCCCTATCGGTTGTGAATGTTTTCGCGCCAATTTGAACATCCCAAGTACTCCCCACTACTTTAGTTCTTCCGCCAATTTTGTCGGATACTTAAAACAGATCCAAGGTGCAAATTCACTTACGTTGGTGAGGTCGATACATGCAGTTTACCCAGAAATATGGTCCAACGACATTTCGATGCCAAGGTGCAGTCTTCCCTTTGGACCACGGATCGATAAATCTTCGAAGAAATCTCGTCCAAGACCTGAGCAAATCAAAAATTGAAAAGAGCGAAAATTTCGCGGGGATTCATAGACCCTGTGGGAACTTGCCAGTGGGAAATTACATGAAATTACCATCAGTTCAAATTTGCAATCATCCATGGGCAATGAATGACTCTAAAAATCAAGCCAGCTCCGTGGTCCAGTGCATGGCTGAAACCATTGGCCAACGGTGTGACCGTCTTCCAAGGCCCCACAACATCCCACAACGACTTTGGCCATGACAGAGTTCCTTGGAATTCCCCTCAATATTCAACAATATTCATATTCAACATCATGAAAACAAAGGCTTTGGAGGAGGCCGACCATTATATAATAGTAACATTTCGATGCATTTCAGGTGATGTCTTCCCCCGAGCTTCCCCTTTTTTCGCGTTGTCAACGTTGCGCAACGTGAACGTACCGCGCGCCTCCTCCAGTAACACATCCAAGATGTTCGTGATGGAATGATCATAGGTCTCCAGCAGCTGTTCCCAATGTTGTCGTGTGACCTCTAAAAGGCTCCATGCTGACCACTGACGCCAACAGCATTTCAGGAATCACATGGAATCACGAATCCCCAAAGCTTTGATCTTCGATCATCTCTTTCGTGGGAAGTTCCCGGTACATGTTCCCTCCACCAGAACTTAAGGCTCTCCATTCTTGTTGGGGTTGGGCCATGGTTTGGATAAGACAAATAGCTAAAGCGCTATAGTTACGTTTGGGTCCAAATGATTTGCAACGATTCCTATGCGGATGTCAGTGGATGCATTGTGGATATCATTGGGTATCATTGGATACCACAGAGGGTGTACAATCACGACTAAGCTGCCAAAATTGAGGACTGTAGGGCTTCACATGGTTTCACCATCCACGGTATTTTGACTCGTGATCAGAGGATATCAGAGGTATACGGTCCACTGAGTCTATTATGCCAAACTCCTTTGTGGCACATTACTAACCTCATCTAACCTCCAAATGCTCTGACATCCTGCAAAAATTGAAAGGTTTGACAATGTTTGACATGACACTGTTTTCGCCCAGGGGCATGATGATAGGATTTCGTGGCCACACGTCTACGCAAGGGTTCGAGCAAGTCCTGCAGAATCGGGACATGACTTCAGAAGTAGCTGCAAGCCAAGCCACCGGTTTTGGTGAGATCATTAAGGGCCCAAAATGGCCTAAGCTATGATCAACAGTCAACACAAGGTGGCGCCCCCCAAGTTTTGTTTGCTTGTTAAAAAAGTATAGGAACTATAGTACCTATACTGTACCTACCATTGTCTACCATAAGGCCAACAGTGAAATTTTGTGTCGTGATGCACGCACCAACTCTAGGCGATTCTGATCGATTCCGAATGAAGATGCCCCAGTCATCCCCAGTCCTTGGGGCAAAAGCCTTTGAAGAACTGCTCCTGCAAAGAATCCACCAAGTCGTGCCATGGTACCCTTTGCAAACCACCTCAGCTCCAAGCCCGCAACGCGGCAACGTAGGCTTGGATGGCTTGGATGGTTTGGATGGCTTGGATCCCCTCCCTTTTTCAAGTTTTCCAAGGGACCAACATTGGTGTCTGTAATACTTTATCAAAAATGAGCCAACTGCATGAACTCTGCAAACTCCATGAAACCAAAAGGATGGTTGACATTGGTTGACACCGCAACTGCAACATTACAAGTGGAGGGCAAACTCATTGTCCTCTGCAGCTGCTGAGCTGCTGAAACAGCTGTCCCAGAAGGATCTCACACCGCTCTCTGCAACGCTCCTAACCACTGTATCCTGCACAGGTCGACATTGCTCAGCGCCAGAAGGCCCGGTGGACAAAGGTATGCAACAAAGGCGTGCACGTCCCGGCAAGTGGCTCATGACCACGGTGGTAGGTAACAACCCAATTATACATGGCTACGGGTAGGATCTCAGAAAGCAAAGTAGAACAGAAAATTAAAACCAAGGTGTCACAAACATTCAGTGAACATGCAGGCGAACAAAGCAAGATTACGTGGACTTACATAGCATATAAGGATATATAAGGTATAAATCGGTATAAAGGTTTGATTGGGGGTTGGAACATCTTGATGTCCGATAGTTGTGTGACATTGCGTAGAGCAAGCAGTTTGCAAAGCCATGAGCACCGGTCACTGATGCACCACCGGACAACAACAACAACAACGACAACGACAACAACAACAACAAGAAGGTACAAACAAACACTGAATGAGCTCGGGTAGCTTGTTTTGAGGGCACCAGTCTTTGTTTGTACCACCACCACCACCACCACCAACAACAACAACAACAACAACATTAACAACGTTCACAACCGAGCGCACGATTGCGACAACTAAGCGACAAAAGCAGAATCACTGTATCATACGCCTTGGTTATCAGAATCATCGGTCAATTGTCGGTTCCCTCTTGATGTGACAGAAAGTGGTTTCATAGGAAGGCACCGGGCCCCCAGGATTCCAGCCCCGATTCATCTGGAAAATCCACGACTGAGTATGATCAATCTGGATTTAAGTCTGAGCATGTCTGAACTAAACCCTAAAAAAATCTAAAACATCCAATCGCTTAGAATGGTGTGAATTGTCAAAACCCATCAAACCCATCAAACCCATCAAACTCATCAAACCCATCAAACCATGGATTTGTCTAAAACTTCTAAACCCTAATGCTTTCAATGGCCAAATCCAATGTCGTCAGCCAGTGGTCGTCCCATCTGTCCTTGGCCACAACCAGCCATTGCCTCGGCTTGTGCTGATGCTTGTCCCATCGTTTCCAAGTCAACATGAATATGTGGTGTATGTGTATGCATATGTATACACATATAATTATATGTATGTGATTGTATTTGTATATGTACTTGTGTATGTATATGTATATGCATATGTATATATATATATATATGTGTGTGTATATATGCACACCCATATGTATATGTATATGTATATGTAAGTATGTTAAGGATAGTCTACAATTACAAACAAAGCCGACAAAACTAATCAAACACTGATTCTGGCTGAATTACAATATTTCACCTGAAAATAGCTGAAATATGCTGAAATAAAGCCACTTGGGGATGATTTCTCTTAATTACTAAACGTCATTGCCGGCGAGGTCATTCTAATTCAAGACTGATATTTGCAAAACAATCCACTCGTTGCTGGTTGACCTAAGGAAGCCATAAGAAAAGTCAATGGTGGTACCCCCCAGTAGACTCCCCAAATGGCTCCAAATGGTGAATTGACCTGTGGAATGAACATATACCTTCAGCAAATCTAGGATTATTGATGCAATCCCAACCTTTTTACCTGAAAGCTTCCACCAACATGCAAAAGCACACACATACAGTATGTCTTCTGATGTCTTCTGGTTGTTCAATCGTATAGCACATGCAATTTCACAAATTTCAACCTCACTGCTGAACAAACAATAATTCATGAAGTGCAGTGGCATGTTGGTTTCTAACATATTTGTATCCATAGTCTATCTTCCACCCAACATAGATCCTGAGAACCCGCCCATCCTTGTTCGACTTTTGAAGAAACTCGTCTTCCAACCCCTATCTATTTATTTCCTATGTATGATGGTCTATGTCAGTGTCAGTTTGGGGGATGATATAGGTCATTTTCAGACACACAAACATATCATGTCGTTGGTTGTATGCACCATTGTATTCCATTGGTCCTTTCCCCGAAGATCAAACACCCAAAGGAACCCTCGGTTTAGTTTTGAATGTCTTCAGTTTGGGGCCCATATGGGAGGGGTATTAAATATTATGGGGATTGAAGTGCGTATCCCACAAAATACCACTGTTAATACCATGTGGTTACTGTAATTATTCAACGCAGCTATGGACAGTCACCATTCTTAATAGGTAAATCCATTAAATTCATCATAAAACATGTAAAAATGAGCCATTTTGCATAGCTATGGTAAATAACCAGAGGCTACATTGAATCCCCGTGTCACATTCTGCCAAGCTTCATTAAGGTCTTGCTGTGCAAACGTTCCAGCAGCATGCTCTCCTGCTGTTGCGCCATCATCTGCCAAGCTCTCTCCGCCCAGGGTCTGCAAGGACACCAGGTGATGTAGATACCATCCATGTAGCATCCAACTGGTTGGTGGTTCCATACTACTGGTTGGGATTATATAATAAGAGTGGTTATAAGTTATAATACCAATAATAGTGGTTATATATGGTGATTAATGATGGGATATATGATCATACTGGTTGGTGGTTGACCTACCCCTCTGAACAAATGATGGACTTCGTCAGTTGGTATGATTCTTCCCAACATATGGAAAGTCATGAAATTCATGTTCCAAACCACCAAGCAGGTTCAGGCGTTTGACCCTAAAATCAAGATATTTTTTTGCGGAGGAAACGATTTGAAAATGAATCCCTGTTAAGCCCCTACCTTTTTAGCAGAGTCATGCAGAGTTGATGGATGGCGATTGCTGAGTTGATGGCGGTTCCCAATTGCAGACATATCAACGCTTACCAGTTGCTTTTACTAAGTGAGGATGATCCTCCAAGTACAATGTGTGTATCTCATGATATCGCATATCATGATATAAAGACCTGGGTCCATGGATGAATTTGATATAATTTGATGATTCGCGCCACCATAACCAAAGTGACACCACATCCACACGATAAGAAGAAAGAAAGCGGGTTATGCTACCCTGCAGGCCCTACAGTTCCGAGGCCTCGTCCTTTTGAGGTTTGCAACTAAACTGGAAATGGAAGTCACTGCCAGCAAGGACTGCAATCGCTTTGCCTGAGGCCCAAGGATCCTCTGATGATCACCTGGGTTATCCCTAGCCCACTTCAGTTCACTGGGGTGAACTAGCCAATTACCAACTGCACTGGAGAATCAAGTAGGAAACGATTCCGGTACCGGGCTCAAAAGGTCCAAGGAGGAGGAGGCAACAATTAATTGTATAGACTGTATAGATATAGATGGCCTCATCCTAAAGAACGGTAAAACACGGGAAAAAGAGCCAAATGTTCAGTTCGTTCTCCCCGCGGCGCGCGCGGCCATGTGTTTTTCCCTTCCCCCGGGGTCTTCTCCAACTCAGGTGCGGCAGCATATCAGTTATCGGCATTCCTCGGCCAAGCAACCACCAGCATGAGAAGGCTGCGGTCACCTTTCACGTCCAGAAAAGTGAAGTAGATATACAGCTCGCCAACCTCCCAGCAACCCAGCTGACTCCAAAAATTGGGTACCCATGGATGCCATGGATCCCAAGATTTCAGCACAATCTCCGTGGATTCCAATGGCTAACGCCAGGGCATCTCTCATGGAAATCAGGGCTGGGTGGTATGGATATCGGGTACACACATGCATCCATTTCTGGACGAAGCACGTTGAATTAGTCAAACTAATCCAGGCGCGATGCACCTCCATACACCACTGAGAAAATACCTGGCCGAAAACTGTGAAGGATTCTGAAGCTGCCATTTACCAAGCGAAGCGGTTCATGACGATGGTGAAGTCATGGTGAGTCATAAAAAAAAACAAAACTGAGAATGGACGATTTTCAACTCCAGGTGTTCAGGTAGTTCTTGAGCTCACATCCTGAATATTTGCCGTCACAGAACCACGGATCTGGCCTGTGCCCTTGAAGCCAACGAGCCGTGTTTATTGATGTTCATTGCAGGATCTGACATAAAACAATTTTCAGTAGTGGCCATCATGGTACCACCCTTGGTATCGACATCCCTCTCCGCATAAAATTCTCGCACGAGTACAACTTAATAAATCTGATTGAAAACCGTGCTTAAATGGTTTCGAAGAACCGAAGAACCATCCTCGACGGTGATGCCGTGGGGTCCTTTGAGGTGAAAGTTAAGAGGATGACTTATACCAGCCGGGAAATATCATCAGTTCCCACAGGGTGTCAGCCCCAGATTTTCAGAAACCCTGATTGGTTAATTGCAAGGGGGATTCCCCCGAAATTCGGATACAAGGTGGTGCCCGAGTTCGTGAGTTCGTTTGCTAAGTTGGATAATAATTCCAACAACTAGGCTTTATGGCACATTAATTCAAATTATTAATATACAATTATGTAAATATATTAGATATCTCGTGATATACCTACAGTGATTTATAAACCATTATGAATCATTAAAAACCATTATAAACCATTAGAAACCCACGTTTAACTTCTGGGCACCACCTTGCCAATGTCCAACTGCGACTGTTCGCTTCGCTCACCTCCAAGTCTGCTTCCAGCAAGAGACTCAGTGAATCCTGCCCTGGGTGACCCGCAGCGTGGCAATTTCTTGCAGTCATTGGATGTCATCTGGTTGGTGGTTTCAATCCCTCTGAAAAATATTAATCAGTTGGGATTATTATTCTCAATATATGGAAAATAAAAAATGTTCCCAAACCACGAACCAGGCATTGGCATATATCAAAACGAGATAAACATGAGGAGCTTCCATGGCAAAAAATGCATTGAAACTAAAATTGGATCAATCTCGACGCACCTCGACGAGGTGTCCCCTGCTCAATCTTGGAGATGACCTGAACTGCTGGATTTGACGGAACTTATGGATTTAACATACAAAAGGTTAGGAAATAAATGAGAAACGATATGAAATGATTCAGAAAATGATAATCAATGGATTGATGTGAGGGAAAATTGGAAAACCGACAAGGAAGCATGGTTTCTGTCGGCCCCAGAAATCCTGGGAAATCCATCATTTGTTGCTGATTTTTCCTATGAAAAACTAATATGTACTTTCAATCGCCAAATTGTGTGGGGATATTCACTTCCATAGCCCGTACCGGCGGCCTTACATTATGGTATAGGGAACCTCCAATTTCAGTGTCTGAAATGGCCATTGATACTGCCCAAGGTCCAAACATCTTTCAACTCAGCCTCGAGTTTGACTCGTGCAGCCTGGCTTGCCACCACAGGGATACATCTGCATTCATCGATCAGTGTGCTAAGCGTACCTCTTGCATGAAACGTGAAGGGTGGCAAATCCTTTATAATCCCTTACCCCTAATATTAAACATCCCCTTAGAAACCATGGTTTACTAGGAAATATCCACATAATTGGGACCATTTGTGGTGTGTTTAATACAGTATTGATGGGAATAGTTCATCATATTTCATCATGCTGCTGATTTGTTTTCTTGGTCATGAGGATCCTTTCAGCAGTCTCCTGCCTCGTCATAGTAGTATGTCAAGGCCAAATTGAGTCGCTGGCTCTCGCCTAGGGGCAGAAGTGTGCTTCATCGTTTAAGGTCAGGAAACAAACTTGGCACTGCAAAAGTTTCCTTGTTGATAGGGTAAATAATCAAATAATGTACAAAACAGTGAATGTATCATTTCCATTCGTGTTTACCACTGTTGAAGTTGGTTCTGCAAGCTTTGGGCGTGTCTGCCACCTTTCCTGCATGAGAATCTCATGGTGCGAAGTGTCGTCGCCAAGTTCCCAGAAGTGGATGAGAAGGAAGACCCGTTGGATTTGACACATATTCAGTGGGAATTTCAGGATCCTAAAATGGAGGTACCTACCATATATAAGGCCTATGTAAGGGTACATACCTCCATTTTATGGTACAGTACCTCCATTTTAGGATCCTGGAATTCCCATTGACATATTCCTGTACATTTCACAACCTGTACATTTCACAAACCAACCCAACGATTGGATTTTTGTTCAACCTAAACCAGGCGATCTCTTCGGGCACTGGGTCAGAAAGGGGGCACGGTGACCTGTAGCTCCCCATGTCTCAAACGTCGACTCACCTGCTAAGGCCCAAATAATGACATGCATATGTCACATGGTTTGATAAACTCGAAATGACCCACTCTTGACCACAAAACACTGGTGACTCATCCCAGTTCACCCCAGGGTGGCACCAAGGCACTCACACGCGACAGCAGCCGCAGACTTTCATGCACAGCACCAGCGCTGAGCGGCGTTTGCTGCTTGGAAACAGCCTCGGCCTTTGCACGGGAAATGAAAACACTGAGAGCCAAACGGTCAATGTGGTGAACCCAAACATAACCAAAAAAAACAATGTGAGGATGGTTTCTTCTTTGGTTTTCCACATTACGCAGCCTGCAAATCTAACATGGCCAAGAAAAACGTCCATGGAAATCATACAGAATCCAAAAACATCCAAAAACTAGTAACATCTAGTAACTAGCATGTTTTTTTTGCTATTTAATATGTTAAACTACCTGAGAGTACCCAGCTTCAAAGGCAAACGTTGATAACATCTTATTGACGGATCGACAGGCCCAAGGGTAGCCATGCCAGATCTACCAAGGGGCAACTCGCTGAAAGCACCTTTGTGGAGGAAATTCTTTTTGCCTCAGGAAATGATGCAGGCAATTCATTGACATTGCCGTTTTAAATCGTTTTAACCTATAGATAATTACTGTCATCCAAAATATTCCACATAGCTTGGACCTGCAGCCGTCTGCAGTTGGCTAGCTAAAAAAACCATCTGGTTATGACTAACATCGCCATGGAAAATCCCCAAAATAAATGGAGGTTTTAATAGGAAAATCATGGAAAATCATCCATTTTCCATGGCTATGTTAGTCATAACCAGTTGGCTAGTTTGGTTTGTCTTCTTGGTCCAGGAATCGCTTGACCCAAGGGCGCCCCGGACTTTTTTCGTCGACGCCGAAATGTTGATCCACAATACAGACTGCACACATATAATTATTAATCGAATAGTGCATATATGATCATATAATATATGATCATATAATATCATATATGTATATAATGCATCTATATGTGTACACACACACACATATATATATATATAAACAAATGTGTGTGTATGCATACATATATATATTAATATATTAAATGTGTGTGTGTGATGCATACGAAAAAGGTATCTGATCACAGAGTCTTGAAATCGAGATGTCGTCAAAAACTGACATCGAACCAGCGCCAAGCGACTCCACCAATGCATCGAAGAAACCTCCGTGATTCCATGGAGCCCTTGAAATACCACTGAATTTCGTGAAGATATACTTGGTACTCCTGAAGAAATCTGAAAACTACGTATAGTAAGTATGAGTCTGATTTCCAAACAATCACTCTTGAAAAGAGGGTGGAGGTGAATAACATCACTCCGGATTGAAAAACAAAGTTGTCTATCATAAATAATGTAGCCATTGCGTTCGCACTGCGTTCAGATTGCATTCACATTTCCGTTCAAATCGCGTTCACATTTTGTTCTACTTGCGTCCATGTTACGTTGCCTTTAGGAATTTAGGAAGACAAAAAGCGTCCGGTAGGGACAGAAAACGTTTTGGATCAACAAAAAAAACAGAATCGTGGAAACAGGGATTTCTTGAGAATGGAGTGGCAAGTATTAGTATTAGTCCCACAGTAGCAGGTATATTGATATGATGTTCTCCGCGTGTTTACTATAAGTGAACATAACTATAACTATACCAATTACTACATAAGATTATACCATTGTTAATTCATCCTTGAAGCTACTAAGCCCTCAAACAATCTCAAAAATACATCTTTTTGGAACACATGTCGGGTCCTGTTACTCTCATCCCTTTAATCTCACTCTAGGATGCCAAGGATGGGTAGCCGTGGTCAATGTTGACCCGCTCCAGATGATCCCAGATGCATTTGTTGGCCATTGGTGTCGCAACGAGAAAGGGGTGCATCGCGGTGGTACAGACAAAGAATATCTAAACCTATACTATACCCGCACGACCATTTTAGGTATAATCATACATATGTAATCTATAAATAAACAAACATAATATATATATAATATACATAATATATATTATATAGTCATGAGTCATAAGTTCTTGTTAATCTATTTAATTACAGACCTACCCCATCCATCTTCCATCCCAAGAGGGCCAGGCCGGATGGGGCAGTCTTACTGCAGCTGCTGTAGCCAGGAAAGCCTTTCCTGCCGGGGGTGGCTGATTCGCCAAAATTCCGAAGGAGAACACCTGGCAGTTTCCAGGGTATGGACTTTTGAGTGGTATTTCAATTCAAAACTGCTTGGCATCTTAAGAAATTCCCCTCAACATTCAGCCAGCAAAATCCACCAGCCCTTCAACAAATCCCCACGGGCGCCTAAGTTTTTCCAGAAAATTGCTTGATGTGAAAGACGCCATCCTCTCTCGCGGCTGGGCAGCAGTTCCAGAAGGACCTGCTGGGCTTTCGTGGAAGGGGGGGAGTATGTTGATCAAAATGGATCTACCCTCTGGTAATTTAACATAGCTATGGAAAATCACTATTTGTTATGGGAAAATCCACTATAAATGACCATTTTCAATAGCTATGTTAAATTACCAGAGGGTAAAATCTACGGCCCTCGGCCGAAAAGCATGCTCCAGCTATCTCAGAGCAGTTGTTTCGCTGCAGTTTCGATAGTTTGGAAAAAATCTGTGAGGATCGAAGTATCATAACATTGCTAGTCTTTTAGTCAAATATGTCAAACTGATGCATGATCCCACCAGGTATGGGCACAGGCCTGTCTTGTCAGCCTCCAGCCAACAAAAAAGGGAAAAAAACACCAACCGCGAAGTCGCGACGTCTAAATAATAAATCTAATCCCCTTGAACCACGATGGCCACCAGGATGGTGCTTCGGAGACCCGGCAAAAGATGTTGCAGCTTGGTGCTTCTCGCTCAACCCCGGAGATATGTGGAATGTGGCACCGAATTGAGGATCATCATCACCAGTAGGGGACCCACCTGAAAAGTATGACGTTTTTAGTGTACCAAAAGTGCAGCCATGTGCAGGGTGCAGGGGAGGTTGGATCATCCCTCTGATGGATCGTCCCTCCATGGCCTAAGATCCTCTCCGACAACAAAGCATGGCTGTTCAACACCTTCCGCTGTGACCCGCGTCGGCAAAGGAACCACACATGGTTTTGGAAGATGATACAACATATATATATATATAATATAATATAATATACAAGGTGGTGCCCCTCCCGTTATGTTTGTTGGTTTTTAAACCATGGTAACTAGTTCGACAGATCTACCATAGACTCCTAGTTATTGTAGTTGTTTGCACCAAACAGAGGCGCCGGCTTGTAAACTGAAGTCTCTTGGATCCATAGCCTGGGCCTTGGTGCCTCAAGCATTGCCCTGGAGGATGAAACAAAAACATAGCACAACATCAGAACATAATCGACCATAAATGTTGTCTCTACATATAAATTTTACAACTGGGTACATATTTTAAAAAATAGTAATTAACACTATAAAACATCATCTGTAGTGACCGATAAGCCAGCCATAGACTCAAAACTACCACCAAATCCCGTGGTGGATCATCATGTTCCATATTAACATAGCCATTTTGGGCAGTATCCCAACTTCTGGATAAGCCCATATCACTCCGAATTGAAGGAACGGGGAACCGACCAAATTTCATTGGTAATTAACGCCAAATACAATTTCCTGGTCCTTTTTTTTGCCAATTCAATCCATAAACTCACTTTTTCCATAAAGTCACTTTTTCCTTGCTAAAACTTTTTTTTAATTCAAGTCGAATTTTGGAATTGCAACTGATGGCCAAGCCATTCCTGGCAACAAGAAGGCCCCAACCGCCGGGTGACCCGCACATACACCGATCGCAGGATCATCTCCACTCCCACGTCGTCCACGTCGGCCTATCAACAGCCAGATCTTGATGGCCCCCCAAGGTGGTGCCTCCCCAGCCATTTTGTTGGTTTATAAACCATAGTAAGTACAGATATATCTAGCATAAACATGCATAAACCTGGTAGTTAAATAATTATTGGAGTTGCAATTTCAGTCAATGGCCATTTCAACTACCAAAATTGGAGGTACTGTACCACATAAAGATATAGAAATTTGGGGTATATCACCCGAATTTCTGCCTAAAACTAGACCTGATCTTAGGTACTAGGTACCGCCAATTTCGGTTCCTGAAAATAACCATTGATTTCAGTACTTGGTGGATCTTGGCGGTTGACCCCAGGATGGTTGTGGGTCAGTTCACACCAGAAACTGGGCCTTGCCGCTGCCTCTGCAAATTAAATGCGGTGAACTAACCCAAAGACAATTCCTGGGACACACCACCAAGTAGTATGAGATGATGTATTTGTTCTATTCTCACTATAGGTGTGTGACTTTGGGTCAATATCTCTCATTTTATTCTGGGACCGCTGCCACCAAAATGGCCAACAAACATGTACAACAGAACGGCGTCTGCTTGAGAATTCTTATGCGGAAGTTTCGAACACTGTAAACCAACCATAAGAAATCAATGGCCTATAGGAAACTGTTTGAGATGCAGAAGCAATAATGACATATTGACGTATTGAAGTTGTGAGGTGCATCAACGAATGAGCAAACGGCGGTTGAGATGCCAATGACAATGGCTGAACAAATGCATCAAAGAATCAATAATTCAGTGAACACTGAATCAATGAATAAATGAAACACCGAATGAATCAGTGAATCAATAAATCGGGAAATCAGTGATTCGATGATTTACTAAATCAATTAACCGATGAATCTGTGAATCAATGAATGCGTGAGTTTGTGAGTCGATGAATCAATGCAGCAATGACTCAGTCAATACATGGCATGAATCGACGAACCAGTGAGCCGCAGATTCAGTGAAGCAAAATGTATCTGTGAACCACCGAGATCCACCGAGCCAATGAATCATGAGGTCGATGAATCAATGAATCAATGACCGAAGGCTTGCATGGAGTGGAGTGGAGCAGAGTGGAGCGGAGCGGAGCGGGGCGGAGTGGAGGTGGAGCAACGTTCGCGCAGCGCTGCTGGGGACGATTGCTACAGTCTCGTGCACATCTTGTCGAACTCATCTTCCAGCTCGGAACGCCTCAGTTCTTTAATATTTTTAAGTGCAAACCAAGCTCTCACTACAGTCCTGTGCACTCTTGGTCGACAACCTTGCCAGATCGAGGCCCGCACCCCCGGAAACAGAGGCCCTACTTCGGCGACCACAGAAGCCGCATTACCCAAAAAAACACAGGATTTCGCGCCCCAGAGTGTTTCCAACCCTGAATTTACACGCTCCATACTGTTACTCTCCTCTGCTGCTCCCACACGCGAACTGCTCTTGCTCACTTTGTTGTTGACATGGTGCAAAGACTGCCCCTGAACATTCGTCCGTAATTTGGAAGTTATCGAACTACACTTCCTTTGAATATAGAAAATATATATGGTACATGAATGTGACCCGTCCATCAGTCATCATCAGTCTCAAATATTGAGCCTTCCCGATGCCATCCGAAAATCTTTCGGCATCTTTCGGCTATCAAAAAAGAACCTCTTGATGAGTGGCCCCACACTGATGGCTAAAGGCCAACAGGCAACAATCCTGATTGGTGATACCCTCTGGTAATTTAACATAGCTATTGAAAATGTTCATTTATAGTGGATTTTCCCATTAAAAATGGTGATTTTCCATAGTTATGTTAGTTTACCAGAGGGTACCCCCATTGTCTGGTCGCTCAACCGGGTTACCACCTTTTCAAGGGCGGATCGACGTCTCGGAGGGCCGCCCCACGAAGCACAGAGGAAAGGAAGCCACCCAAAGTTGACCCAAATACACGAAGATACCACTTGTTGTCATGGGGGAAGTCACCTACAATCATGCCTGAAACTGGAAAACCACCATTAAATATGTCTAATCTATAAATATTTACCAACATGAAGAGTGGATTGTACCCTGTACAGTAGTAATCATATTTTTTGACTGAAATAAAGAATCTTCGAAGTTTGGTTCGGGGTACGCCTCTTTCAGGAAACAGCCATTTGGAAAATCCATCCTGCATTCAAATCATGTAACGAACTTCAGCAACGTTTGCAACTGACCAATATCATATCCATGTCCATCACTTCCAGTAGGAACATGTTTGAACCCACCAACCAGCAGATTGCTGGACTTACTAGATGGTGAAAAACATATAAGAAAGTAATTAAGCATATCTGTCAACAAAAAAAAACGGCGTTCATCATCATGTTCCAAAGAAAGTTGCCTTGAGTTCGGTATCCCCATTTCGGGACACTATTTTGAAGCTTTTGGGTGGAAGCGAAAACCCTACCAGAGCCTAGCGATTCTGTTCGGGCAGTCTCGGCACCCGCTGTCGCGCCCAAGTTGGACCCAAGTTCAATCAATATATCATCTATACATATCTATACATCGATGTCACCACTCTACCGCGGTTCAAGCAGTGAAGGGCTGGAATCTCCACTGAACATAATAGGCAGGCCTTCAAAGCCCGGGCGGAAGTATCTCTGAGGATTCATGTAGATCGTCGATGTGATTGACATATATGTATATCATATACATATATACATATTTAATTATATACAATTATAAACATATATATATATGTGATATGGCATCATCCATGGCATCCAAATCCATGCAGCTTCCTCTAGACTCATTGGATGTCATTTTTCTTGAGGGGAACGTTTGAACCTGAGCTGTTCATCGTTTCTGAGCGAAGGTATTAGGTGCAGTGAGTCGATGAGTATTTTTTTAGGCGCAGAGTCGCAGAGCGAAGAAAGAAGACAAACATCATGTTTACCCTCTGATAAACCATAGGAAAACCATAGGAAAACCATAGGAAAACCATAGGAAAATGGAGGTTTACCCTCTGATAATCAAACATAGCTATTGAAAATGACCATTTATAGTTGATTTACCCAGGAAAAATTGTGATTTTCCATAGTTTTGTGTATGTTTTCCAGAGGGTAATGTTTAGCTGGACGGCAAACTCTTCAATACGAATTATAGACCAATGACCTACCCTTCTTCAAGGCTTCTCCATACCCCAATTTGGGGCTCAACTTTGCCCACAGGGGGAGGGACAAAGGGCCCTGTGATGCCACCAAAAAAAAAAAACTGCCCACTTCGGGGGACAGGGAGAACAACTGCTGACGACGCAGTTTCACTGTGTCATCATCAATGCGTTGGTCGACAAAAGCTAGGCCTGCTGAAGGCCCCCCGGAGTCCAAAATGCTGGATGCAAAGCTGGGCCTGGATTTGCATGGGAAACTCATTGTATAAACACAAACAATGGCTTTCTGGGAAAGAAACACTTCGGCCAAATCAATCATAGAATTTCTGCGCGCCATGGACATATCCGGGACAAACTTCGACGAGCAAAGAGTGAATGCCACGGTGTTCCGCGACAGCCATCCAATTGCGATCCAAGCTGCAAGCTCTTCTGATGCCTCACTCATATAGAGCTGGCCCACTCAGAGCTGCAATCATTCATTACGGCATTATCCGAATTACAGCACATATCATAAAGAAATAAACAAATAAACATAAACATATATAATCAATTTATTATAAATATGTATGTATATATATATTATATATCATGTTATATTGTGGTATATTAGAAAAAATATTACATTCAATTTTATAATATTATTTTATATCATATTATATTATAGTATATATAATTATTGTGTTATATTAAGTTATATTATAGTATATTATTTCATATTATATTATATCATATGTGTTATATTATATTATATTATATTATACTATATTTTATTATATCATATTATATTAAATAATATGTGAATATATATATATTAAATTGTAATTATATATATATATACATAAAGGCGCGTGTCTGTGTGTGTGTGCTTACTTGCTTATACTTGCCATAAATCATTTATATACTCCAAACATCGCCCAGTTTTATAGAGCTGCACTCAAGAGGACCATCTTCCTCCGCCGTGCCACAAGGTGAGCCAAGATGAGTCGTGTGGCTTTAGAGTACTGCTTCCGATGTTGTCTATGATTTCTTGCTCCACGCAAAAGATCAATAGTACGTGAATTGAAAGTTGAAAGATGATGAACGCCTCAAATCATGAGATAAACATCATTCACAACATTCCATAGAAAACTTTGTCTTTTCTTCGGGAGCTTCCCACTTCTGTCCCCACCACCTGCCGACCCTTATAGGTCTTCTGGTTGGTTGTTTCAACTTTCAACTGCTATTGCAAATATCCAGTTATATAGCGGTAAAAACCGAGTTCAGCTAAATTTAGCATCTCGTTTTTGTGGTTGTTGAGTTATACAAATAAGTATGAATCTAGTTTAACAAAAAACAACTGCATCATGTACCATAACAGGCTTTACCGATGTGGAAAAACAAAATCAAAGAACCATCCGGTCCCATTCTGTCAGTCCTTCTCACCATCCTCACCATGGCCTCTTTCTCTAACGCAGCTCACCGACCTGGGTTGCGCTGGCCTCCTACGTCCTGGGTCTTTTGTGGAAGGCCAGTGACGCTGGCTCATTTTTTTTTGGAAACCCCCAACCAAAGTTCAATCTTTATTGGGGCGTTACGATGAGTGAAATTTTGCAGTTGAATCCCCTATAAATTTCATGAAACCATCATGAAACAAAAAACAGGTAACCCCATCGACCCCTGTTCCCGAAATCATCCCAGTTGCGATGCATGTTCTACGACAACTCCTCAATCATGCTATATAGATGATGCTAGATGATGCTGGAAAATGCGGAAAAAAATGAAAACACGTTGCAAAGATCAGGGCAAAAGCCAAAAGCCACAGTCTATTTAGACCCTCCCAGTGCCCACAAAATGGAGGCTCTCAAGTTTCTTCAAGGTTTGGTAATTCAAAGAGTAATTACAATGATGGATCAGGCTGTGCCAATGCACAGACTTCAGGATCTGTCGGAAATCACCAGAGCAAAGGTCAAAGTTGAAACCCATCATTTCCTGGCTTTAAAACACTTGGAACACAAACCAGTTGGTTTCTGGTTGGACATATATATATATATATATATTATATTATATCTCTCTATCTGTCTATCACATATGGTAAAATATATGGTATTTTAAAGGCTGTCAATTGCAGCAACATAACTGTTGGTCGCCACCACCTTCATGGCGGGCAAAATGATCTCCAGAGTTTCTATGAAAACCAGGTTGAACTACCAGGTTGAGTATGTTGGATGTGGGTCCAGTGAACCGGTTCTTTCACATAGAAAAAAACATGTCCCGGAATGATGAGCTTCCCATTCAGAATGCTCCCCATAAATGTGGTGATACTTTTTTTGCCTGCAGTAAATTCACGAAACAGTATGCAGTATGCATGGAAAACCATGGCTTTCCTGGGAAATGGTCCACAAATGATTGATTTTCCATGTGTACCATCTGCCGTGGAGTCCACCAAGTAACTCAACCATTTCTGACAAGTCATTGATACAGAAACACAGACTTCACCACTTGGAGGTTCACGGTGGACTGGATATCCTGAAATATGTCAACACAAATCCCACGTTCATCATATGTTTTGGGGTTACAGACTACAGACCCGGCTTTTGTTTGGCATCAACCACCAAGATGTTCTGCACTCGTGCTGTATCGCCAGTGTCCTCCCAACCTCGGACCAATTTTTCTCCGTTTGGCCCCTGGGATCTGGTTGCGGATCTCACTTGGCATCGTCCAAGGGCTTGCTCGGCTCATCGCTAGAGGAAGCCTAAGCTGGCCCAGCAGGGTTGAGGCTGGTCTGGTTTTATATAATTTGGAACCCCGAAAGATAAGGCCTCATTTGTTGTGGCGTCTCTCCGGGGCTACCCTTGGATGCGATTTGAAACATCATCCTCAAAACAAAGCGCATTGGAGAGAACTGACTGCGACTTGCAATATCAGAGATAGTTTCTTAAAGTAATGATGTAATGCAAGAAGCAGAAACACCCATATAACATGAGGTGCCATCACAAAACGATTTTTCTACAATGCCACAGCGCACACCTTTGAACAAAGATGTTTAACCTTCCAAATGTGGGGGTGTCCCAGCCAAAAAAAAAAACTTGCGGGAGTTGGATGTGATGTAATCATAATGTACCCTTCTATATGGCTAAATTCTTGGAACAAGGGGATGTGCTGGTATGTCCGACTAAGTTTCAGGCAAGGCCAGAACAAATGAGGTTAATAGAAGTTAAAAGTAAAAAAAACGTACAATTTTTCACTGGATCTTCGCTTGTTTTAACCATCAAAACCCACCCTTTCGGCCGATTTCCTACCGATTTCAACTTATTTTCGGCGACCCGCCAAGTGGCCCCGAAGCCAGGCATCCTCCAGCTACTCATCTGGCCTTGAAGCTGCTCGAAATGGCCGGAAGCCTTTCCCTTTAGCTCCTGGGACCCAACTGGGTATGCTACAGACATCGGGACATTTTTTGTGGAAAAAAGACGACATTTGCCAAGTTTCAATGGATGTAACATATAGTTAACAACGGTTAATCCATTATCATCCACGATAATCGGTAGTAATCCTAACGCCCTATCCCGCAAACTGAATCAGGCCACTAAAGACCATTGGGTCGTGAATAGGAGAGCCTAGGCCGAGGGCCATCAAAGTGCAACACCAAGAGATATTGAGAGCCTAAATTTTGCGGGATGCCTCAAAGATCCTCAAAGAGGCCTGACAAGAGGTGGAAGTCTTTGACAGAAACTGAATTCGGAACCCCTTGCCCACACAGAACGCGCCACACACCACTTGTGCGACTGTCTTGGCGCGCTGGTTTCATGATGGTAACGTCCCCATGTGATTTTCCGACACTGGGCTCCTCCAATTGTCCAGTGGCCTTGCCTTTCATATCCTCAAAGTGCTGACTGGCCTTGCCCTTCAACTCCTACCAGCCGCATTAGCGCGAAGCCCACAACCCCAGCTACCCAGCAAAAACATCTCTGTCTTCGGGGGACAATGGGCGGCACAGGCCTCCATATTATGACCGAAAGATAGCTCATTAACCATCATTAACCTAGCATTCACCCTATACTGCCTATATATACTGATTTACGTTACAAGAATGTTCTCATGTTCCACTTGATGAAAACAAATGCCACGCATGATGTACCTCAAGAAGATTCTCCGGGCAATTTTCTATAATTCCCTATTAATTCCCTATGTTGGCCCATTTTAGGGTAGTTTCCTTCACCCCAGATCTCAACAATCCAACTATCCAAGGGTCCTTCAGATTCTCCTTCACTGCCTCCACATCCACATGCGGCGCATCATAATCTTCCTCCGCAGACTTGTGAAGAGGGAACATCATCCCAATGCAGCCAATGCAATGTAGCAACTCCCAAAAAGATACGGATGATACGGGAAAAAAAAAACAACATTTACCACCGATGATGCCTATTTCACTGGGATTTTACATGATTTTACTCTATCTTTTGGGGTGACTTGTTCAGCCAAAAAAAAAATGTTCCGAACCCCGCATTGTTCTTTAAGCTCCCCTTGTCCTCCTTGGCAGGGCAATCGTTGAAGTAGAGTCCGATATCTTCGTTCACCTCAATGAGGTGCTCCTTACCTTGGCTCGTTGGCAAAAAAACGCTTTCCGCCCTGAAAAAACCTGGCTGGGCTAAGGCCAACATGGTGTCAGGTTGCTTCAACTCCATTTAAGGTCCTAAATTATCCTATAAATTACCCCAGAGGGTAGACTAACATTGTGTCCCTAAGAAAAATACCCTACAAATGATTAATTTTCCACATCTATGTAATCTATGTTAGTTTACCCCAGGTTGGATGTTTCTTTCCCTCAAGCCTTTTGGCTCCAACAGTGGCAAACACCGCAAAGCTTCACAAAAAATGGCCACAACTAAACCGCTCCCCAGCTGAATTTTGAACGCTTGAAGGTCAACGGCTATTCATCGAAATCAGGCAGGATTTCACAAGAGTGATTCAAGTTTGGATCTCAAGAACTCAAGCCGCCCGCACGTAAGGTCTGAAAAAGTCCCCTCCTTCACCTTACTGGTGCGTTTTACGCAGGGAATGAGGGAATGATCCACAATAACTATCAATAATAATCCACATTCCCCCATTCCCATCCATTCCCTGCTAAGTACCAGTAAGTCACACAACCCCCAAACATAGATCTAGATGTGTCTGAACATATGGTACCTCAATCCCCTAGTTCATCACCATTGTCCCTCTTCAAATCACTAGTCACTGGGGCTGTAGCTAATTGTAGACACACCCATAATCAATCAAAACATATCGAAAACAAAGTGTTGGTTATATATGGTTATATGATGTTATATGTCATATCTGGTTGGTGGTTTTAACTATATTGAAAAATATGAAAGACAGTTGGGATGATTATTCCCATATATATGGAAAAATAAAAATGTTTGAAACCACCAACCAGATATCATATCCCCAATGCCCACATTTTTGCCGCCTAACCCCCATTTTGGTCGGCCTGGAATGCAGTACACACAGGGTGGGTTGTGCTGGTAGACGTACTGAGACCGCAAGCAGTACATGGGGTTGGCGCTGAACCAGGAACAGGCTATTCGCCTCGAAAAAGTGAGGTCGCTGTCATTTGATCGATCTCGACCGTTTTGTGTATACTACGATTGCTATGATTATATTTATTGTTATAATATATATATATATAATCATTCCATTCATTAATTATCATTATTATTATTGAACTGCTATTCTCCAGTTCCTCCTCCTTCTTCCTCCTCTACTATACATTATTTATATGCGGCGGAAAGAATCTAGAATATGTTTCATGTGATGATTCATGATGATTTGGAATGCTTCGAGACATCCCAGCTATGGAGTTTTAACGTTTTTAAAGTAAAACACATTTTGAAACAACCAGCATGGAAGCCTTGACAGGGCCAATACGGATTTTCCATCTTTGGGGCACGTGACTCACGTGACCCGCCTGGAGCAATCTTGATAGGTGTTGCTGTCGGCCCCATCCGATTCCCCACTCAAGCCGAACATGGGGACCACGAACCTCGGCCATTTTGGGGTTGTCCTTGTGACACACCATGATGCCAGGTGAACAAGAAAAGCTGGTGCAACTTTGGGCAAAGTAAAAAAACAGAACAAAGAACCAACAAATATGGATTGCAACCCTTTTGATTTGCCAAGGTAGATCCCGCATCCACGGATTTTACAGGATTTTACAATATATATGTTCTACTTGTCTTCTTTTTGGGGGTTGCCACAGCTATATATATCACTACTATGTGGTTGGGAAACTGGTTTAGCTTTTTGCGATCGGATCGGATGTCCTGGATGTCGACAACCATAGCTCCGACGCGCTCTCTCCCCACTGGAGAACGGTCATATCCCGTGTTATCCCGTTCAAAAAACCCTTGAAAAATCACCGATTGTTTGTTGCTTAAATCCAATGACATCCCATGAACATCCCATGAAAACCCCATGAAAATCCTATGAACATCCCATGAACATCCCATGAAAATCCCATGAGCATGCCATGAACATGCCATTTTTTCTAGTTTACTATACTCCGGAACAGAATCTATCCTGGATGATCCTTATCCTCGCCAGGAAGCTTCAGCGCCAAGGTATGGAGCACGATGTGGGCAAAGAAGGCCACCGCACAGCCAGCCACCATGGTGTCGCCATCCACGCAGGGGTAGCCCGGTTGGCAGTTGGCTTTGAAGACCACCTAACGGATGTCAACTGAGGGGAGGACACCTATATTACTGTAAGACTTTTTTGGGGGAGTGCGGGGTACTGTATATTACACAAATTAGACACGTGTTTTTCTTTCAAAGGGTGGTGGGAGGAAAAATGAATTTTGCGGCATGCATTTAAGTTCAGAGTTTGATCATATATTTTAGGGTTTTAACTTTAACATATTAACGTGCCATTCATAATTCATCGCCGTTCTGCTGGCATCCTAACATGCCGAGCTCATCCATATCTCTCCATCGCAAAAATAGAAAGTCTGAAGACCAACAAATACCAGGCCGCGCAAGCCAACATAAAGCCGCAGGGAATTGACATCATCCACTGTGTCCACCAGTCCACCATCTTGTCAGCATAGTTACAGCTCTGGATGGAACGCAACACGCGGTAGTGGTCGAAAAAGTAGATGTACACGTGCGAGGCAGCCAAACCCACGAACATCTGGATGTTGTAGCCACCTGGTGGCTGTCAAATGGATCGAAGAGCGATGAATAGGGTCAGTTTTTGCCGTGGAATTTCCCTAACAAGATCCATTCACCGTAAAGATGTCTTTCTGCAAATCATTGGGCAAATAGTCGCCGTACGGCCAACTATTAACTGCGACTAGAGGGTTTTCTCAGACCTCCAAGTGGGGTTGCTTTGGAAGGTGAAGCGACTTGGTCGCACCTATGTACAGGTGTTGATTGGGGTGCACTTTTTGCATCTTTTTGCTGGGGGTTGGCAGCAGTCATGCCACAGTTCATGCCACCTGGGAAGAAGAAGATGAGCACAGCAATCATGACATCCAGCATCAAATCGGCATAGCGCGAGAGGTCAAAGACCAAACTTCCCAACAAACGTTCCGCCATGAATCCCTTCATGGATGGTTGGGTACGAACGATGGCCATCATCATCTTGTAGGGTGCATAGATGGTGGCCACGGGTTCGATCAAAAAGGGAATGAGGAACGTGGCAGGGAAAGCATATGCGTAGAGGTTGTTGGCCAATGTTCGCTGCATGGCATAGGACTCAAAACGATCCGAAAACTGCTGCAAGTTTTCCAAGAGGGTTCCATCATAGGTCTTCATTCGCAAGCCCACGTTGATGCGATAAGCCACCATGTAGGTGGTGATCAAGTCCAGCGCAACGTTGAACACACAGGCAAAACCTGGTCGGACTCAAGGGGTGTCAAGGGGTGTATGGAGGAGATGCTTCTAACCCAGATTCCTTAGATACACATCTCCTGCTTCAGATCTCCAGATTTTCAGTGGCTTCCTCCCTTCAATGTTGCTGCTACACTCCCCCAGCACCAACTCAGCACCAACTCAGAATAATGACTTCTCAACGTCCATTCCCGCGGCCATTTTTTGGGCATTGGGGCCATATTGGGGCCATATTTCCCACCCAGAAACAGTATAGCAGCATGTAGCAGACCTCACGGTCGTCCACATAGATGAATCTCGTGCGGTCTGCGACCTGACGAACGTTCAGACATGTTCAGAAGCTTGGATGATTGTCGACTTGAGGGTACGGTTCCCTCAAGTAGAAGATACTCTCCGGTAAATCAACATAGACACCGAAAATCACCCACTTTTAGTGGAAATGAATCTTCCAACCCCTATCTGCCAGGGTCTATGTTAATTTGCTGAAGGGTATATGGAAGTATGATACAACAATCCCCGTGTCTGGCAACATCTTGTAGCTTCAAGTCCATCAATCTGGATAGATTTCTCTTAAATACGCACGCACCTGAAACTTACCATGGGGTGAACTAATATATAATATAGATGTGGAACACCAATGGTTTCCCTATAAAAATTATCTGCAAATGGTGGGTGTTCCACATCTATGTTAGTTTACAGGAGGGCAACCGTTGCAATCTTGACCATTATTGCAGCGACGCCGCGACGTGAGGTTGCAACATCATTTATCAAAATATGTGTCTAGTTCTTGTCCTACTATGTCCATCTAAATTTCCCCGTATCATATCAGATAAGTTCATGTCATACGACTATATCACATGAGTATCATATCATATCATATGAGTATCATATCATACCATATCATAACAAAGGGGTTGCTAATTACCATTGTTGAACCCCGAAGAGACCATAATAATAATTAATATCCCCATTGCTGTTGTATATATCTCATGTATATATATATACATTATGTGTGTGTATGTAAATATATATATATATATACATATACGTATGTAAATTGTTGCTTGCATGATGCTCCCTACCCAAAATATACCGTGTATACCGTTAAGTTATATGGATGGTTACTTACCTTTGCTTAACCATATTACACTTCAAATACCATAACGGTAGCAGAAAAGTAAAATCCTACAAAAATGGTGATGACGTCTTGTTCTACCTTTTTAAGGTTACCGAGAAAACAAAAATGAAACCACCCATACATCCCCATAGACCATCACCCTGCACCCCAGTAGGCCCCACCGGTGAATTGCCATCGCCTCTGAACACACCAAGTACATCAAGGCATTCCCTGCCACAACGACCATAGAGAAGGTCATGCCGGCCACAAAGCCCGGCTCTTGGCCATAGGAGTAGTTGAAGGTTAGGGTGAACCAGGCGTAGGGCAGGTAGAAGGCGACCCTAAAGCTGAACTGAGATACGCTGATGGCAACTTCACTTTGTTCAAAGAATCAAAGACTAGAGGAGAAAGGGAGAGAGAAAGGGAGAGAGAGAGAGAGAGAGAAAAAAAAATATCCTTACAATCCGTCCAAGACTGGGAATCAATGGATATCAATGGAGATCAATGGATATTGGATAAATCCTCATTGATGATCATTGATGGATTGATGACCATCTGCCAATATGGGCAATGTATCCAAGTTCTGACCATGACACATATGCTTCGAAATGCTGAGAAGACACATGCTGATACTTGACTTTTTGGTGATATGCTGGATTTGTCCCATTGGCCTACCCCAATTTGATTGGACAGGCAAGCTAAAGCAAGATCCGCCTAGTTAGACCTTAGGACAAGACATGAGACAATTTCCCCCCGCTACCAACGTCAGCAATAGTCCCAGGACTGATTTCCCAGTGTCGTCCCACTGCAAACACCGTGTCGTCCCCACTGACATGAGATCTACATGACACTGCAAATTTTGGATACCCTGGAAACACAAGAGTTCATGGAACTATTGTTCACGTCTAAGTCTATCAGATCATTCATGTCCATGACCCTGATCATTTCTCCAACCTTCGAAATTCCCATTGCCAATTGATACCAATTGATACCTATAAGATCCTATAAGTATGGGCCCTTAAAAACTCATCAAACGTTACCGCTTTCCGATCCAAGGCTCACCCAGAGCCCCAGGCCCGCCAGCATGATGCAAAAGCCCATGGCCACGCGTTTCGCCTTCACCTTGTACCGGGAAACTGATGTTATCTCAATGGGAGTGACTGGGAGTGGTTGAGTTGAACCTAACTTCGATTTCCAAATCGTCATGGTGAACAAAGGGAGCAATGGAAAATGAAAAAAGATGGCTACCGGATCTTTTAAATGTGTAAATTGTCCGAAGCAATTCTGTCCGAATTAGTTGGAGGTTAAGCCACCTCAATGAGATGTAGACTTGGGATGCCATCCGAAACTCTATCAAATCCGTGAAAGAATCTGACCACGGGGTGGCACCGTGAGGAAAACGGAAGAAATGGGACCCTCCAGCACTATTACATAATCTAAACCTGCAAAGGGGAAGTCCGCATTTCCAACAAGTCATTTACATATCTTGGGGATTTTCACAATGCTGTTGTACCAAAGGGTGCCCCTGAGGCTGGTATGATGCTTAGCTCGCTCCGCTCCAACTTGGGATATATTTTAAGGGTGGCTCAGAAGAAAGTGGCTGCTTCGCACCTGAAAAAATTGATGCACAACAACTTGTTGTAAGAACTTGTTGAGAGATATATTTATCCCAAAACGACGGCATTCAGAATGGCAGCCTCAAAGTTGGGGTTCACCTGGCCATGAAAAAGTTGGATCTCCTATTCTTGGATTTCTTGGGAACTCCCTTTCCCCCACATCCGAGATTCCCAGTCGAAATTTGGGGATCCATCCAGAGCTTCCGATTCGCTGGGGATCCCAGTCGATATCAGTGACCGTCTCAGACTGCCCAGTCGCTACAAGGTCGGTGTTGGCACAATTCCTCCAGTTCACTGTTTGGGGTTCCACGCGCGAGGCGTTCAGCTTCAGGACGTTTCCATGGAACTCCTTAAAGCAATTGCCGGGCCTATGGTCAAAGTCATATTTGAAGCCACCAACCTCAAAATATGTTATATAATTGATAGCTATCTCTATGTGTATGTATACATATATATATATATATATGCATATATGTTTATTTACTTATTTATATTTATATGTGTATATATAATTGTATATATATATATATACGTATATACGTCTATATACAGTCTTGTATGTCATATGCATGCATATCTATAGAGTCATCCTGGAGTAGATGGAATGTGGATTTTTCAAACACTGTCATATGAATTGTCTGATTTGGGTGAGGATTTATTGAGTGCTTCACATTCTATCTACTAGCATAGCTACACTTCACCATATACTAAGTAGATCTAATTAGCTATAGTTATTAGCCTTATTAGCTATAGTATGCTATAGTTATATGCCCATCTTCCTCTATCTTCAGTGTGGGGAAAAACGTGGAACAAGGTGGTGCCATAAACCCAAGAGTTACCCTCCGAGAATCAAAACATTGCAGAACTCCTCTCTCTCCCCTATAAGTGGAGGTTTTTAATCAAATTGCTTTGATGTGCAAATATGCAAATCAAATAAATCAACTATAAATATCTAGAAATGGGAGATTTTCCTAGATGTTCCTGTCTTTACCATCATGTTACCATATTACAATGTTTGATTCACCGGTGATGTTTTTTTCCAACTGAGCGATATGTCTGTTTCGCCCATCGAGGAACGACGCCAGCGCTCTGCACTGCGTCCACGGCTGCATCACGAGCAGCTTCCGTCTCGAAGATGGCATAGGCATCCGGGCAAGTCTTGATGCTCTTGAGGATTCCAACCACCTGAGCCAAGGGATTCTTGAGTGGTGGGAAAATGATGGAATTTTTGGATGGCGGATTTCCTGGGGTTTAATGGAATTAAAGGGGACTTACAAGATCTTACAAGTAAATGGCTTGAATTCACCCCAGTTAGTGGGTAAGTAGGGTTAGTCCAGTTATAACTTATGGCTGGGGTTATAAGCCACTTAACTGGCATAAGCGATAGCACCTCCAGGACAGGTTTGAACTACACATGGACAATGCATCACAGGGTTTTGAAGACAGGTCTTTCCAAAGGATCAGCGGGGTGGAGCATTCTGCCAACATGCCATTTGGTGAACCCAGCCACTTCTTTTCGAATGGAAAGCAGGCCCGGCCAAAAGGTCCAGTAATCAGGGCTCTCTCTCACCATTTTCACCATTTTCTCATTGGGATACATTAATTAAGTGATATATTGGGATGCTCACCGCCAAAGACGCTCACCCAAGCAAATCTCATCATATCTCTGCAAATGCCAAGGGACATCCACCTCCTTGCATTCCTGAAAGCAAGAGGCCAAAACATTTTCGATCTACAAGGGAAGACTGTGACTGAGCATCGTAGGGGCTTGTGGGAATTTGTAGGTGTATGACGGGCTGATGAAATGCGAGGTTTCACCTGTAGTTGGACATGTTAAATGCACGAAAAAATGCCCTGGAAAGTCAACATCTATTACATTTTATTACCAAATCTAATCTCAGAATCATCATCTAGCCCGGCTTGGGTACGGTATGGATCAAAATTGGTTACAGTACCCGCCAGTAGACTGACATAGCTATGGATATCCATGGGCTTCCACATAGGAAATGTTTGTGGAAATGATCTAGAAATGCGTTATGTCCCATATCTATGTCAAATGACCAAATGGTACCCAATACTTGGACAGTTACCCTTTTGAATCAAAGGTTACAAAAATCAAGCAGTTCGGATGATGCTTTTCCCAGCTGTAAACCTCCATTGCGTTTGGGCATTTTCCAGCGAACCACGTTTGACACAGGAGGGTAACACCAGTAAATCCAGAAAACGAACTGCTGTCTAGATGCTTCTATCATCTCCTCAGGATTGGCTGCTTGAGCCTTCAGCGTCGGTGATTTCCGCAGCATCTTTGTTCCAAGTTGGCTACTCTGTCCAAATCAAACACACAGTAGAAGGACGTCCATGGATTTTCTCGCTTTATTTTTATCTACATTCGTTGTTGCTTAAAAACAATAGGCATATCTTCCCATTGAATTCTGTAAATGAAACCCGTTTCAACAAGGTCATCGGCTTACTCGCAGGGCCTCACGGCTGGCCGTCTGCCGTTCCTCCTCGGTCATCTCGCCCTTCACCACGACGCGCTCAGCCTCCGCGGCCAACATGGAGCGTTCCATGCGGGCGAAGAAACTTTCGGGCTCCGGCGCGTCGGCCTAGGCCGATAAGTGGTGAATGTTGGAGGAGAGAAAGGACCCGGGTACCCTCTGGTGATTCAACATATAGCTCTTGAAAATGGCAATTTATAGCTGATTTATCCATGACAAATGGTGATTTTTGATCGCTAAGTTGGGTGGTGTACGATTTTTGGAGGAACATTCTGACAGGAAAGTTTAGCTGTAAAATATCCATACAGACACAATGTGGATTATTCATTTATGTCCCGTCATATATTCATGGATACAAACGGGGAGTGGCAACTTACAGTACATCGAAAGGAAAGGTAAGCCGATGCAACAAATGATCCTGAAACTGAAACACTCAATCCTAGAATTGGTTGAAGGAACAAATCACAGGAAATCCCGGCAAAAATATGCAAAAATCATCAAAAATCGGGGTGTCCTGCAGAAAAGATCCTACAAATCGGGGTGTTTTTTCTCTTAAGCCTTAAGCCACAAAGCGCGTGGCACCTGCACAGTGGTCGGTCCCATCTTCTCGTCCTTCTCCACCAGCTTGCTTTCAATCAATTCCAGCCTGCCGGAGTTGGTGGATCTTGGATCAATGGATGGATTTTAGGGAAAAAAGACGGTTGAAACATGTTGAAACTATGGTTTGTAGCCCCAAATTTTGAGTTTCCTCTTAGGTTTTCCCTGAATAACTCTCCGATTAGTGCTTAAGCCAGCACTCTAAAAAATATCATCAGCCAGAAACGGAGGCCCCAAGTGCCAGACTAGTTCCCAATAATTCAGGCCATGTGTGATAAAGAGAAACTATAGGGATTGACAATTATAAAGGACAAAAACATGCGCTGAAGTTGAAACCTTCAGGGGACACCAAGATCTTTGAACACTGACCTCGGCGCCTTGAAAAATGAAAAAGACCACGTGTGAAATATTAATTAGCGAATCTCAATCAACAACAAAGACCTGTCATGGATACCCCCTGTAGCATCGGGGGGCTAGCCTTTCGATTTCAATATATGCAGGAGACACTACAGTGATCGGTGTTCCAGCTAACCCCTTGGAGAATGATTTGTCGGGGTAACCATCGCAGGTGGGATGGAAAAAAGAGTTAACATTCATAATAATCAGTATACTAGAATTTAATCAGTATACCTACAATGTACATCTTGTCACATATATGTAATATTTTATATATGTAACATTCATAATAATCAGTATACCTGAATTCACCAGCCAGATATCCAATCAACATCTTTCATCTTCAACCCGAGCAGCAATTCATCTTCGTGCTCTTGGAAGTCCCAGCAAACCTGGGAAAGCAACGAGTTGAAGCCACGTCCGAATAGCATTACCCTACAGGAACTCTGGGTTAACCATTGCCACGGCTAAATGCTTATAAACAAGACACCATCTTCACAAAATATGTTTTACACATTTATTGGGGTCTTGCACATGTAACTACATATCAAGTATAATATATATATCTCTCTCTCTCTATCAAAGTTTAACATTCTATCATATTATATTATATTATATTACACTATATATTATATATCATTATATCATACTATATCACATGTGACTAGAGAGACTGCATCCCTCTCCATTCTGCCTCTCTAGTCACATGGCCGAGGTACTGAGACGCCAACGACCTTCTGCCCCGTGGCATCCTCCAAGCGTCTCTTCAGTTCCTCCTCCACCGGCTCGGTGCCGTCCATCAGGGGCAGGTTGCGAACGCGCGCCGCGTAGTCCTGCCGGAGGTGTTTCCGGCAGGACAAAAAGCATGGAAAATCCATTGGAAATGTGGAGAAATACTGTGGAAATACTGAAATACTACGGAAATACTATGGAAATACCTCGGAAATACATGGAAATACTATATGGAAATACTATATATATATATATATAATAGCCGTAATAGCCTTGCATTGATATGTGATTACCATTGATTTCCACTAACATTTCCACGACCTTCACGATGATTTAGTGCCGGATGCGTTTCGATGACAAATGGGGGTGTCCCGCTACGGTAGGTTCGAAGTTTCGGAGAGGTAGATCGGGCCCTTGGGGGCTATGCTCCACGAGAGTTTCACGGGGGTGGTTACCCTCTGGTTATTTAACATAGCTATTGATAATGGCCATAGAAATAGTGGATTTACCCATTGAAAATGGTGATTTTCCATAATTAGTTATGTCAGTTTACCAGAGGGTATGAGAAAAGAAGGAGGGGATTGTGACTTACAATGACAAGTACCAATCAGCCATTGTGTCGGGCAGTGGGAAAACTCAAATGTTTAGTTGACTCATATAACGTATAATATAACGTATATACGCGTGTCAAACATATCCGCATATATTCCACATATCCTTATAAGATCTTATAAGATTATCAAATATCTCACATATGGGGTAATTACATGTAATTACAATGTTTGGCTTTTCTATAAACATACACCGAAAGTGTCTCCTATATACAAAATTTCCTCTAATATATACCCTCTGGTGATTTATTCAACAGTTCGCTATGGAACATCACCGTTTCTATAAATCATCAAACCAAACGGGCTGCGAAAACCCATAGCTATGTCAGTTTAATGGAGGGTGAACATTATCTGGCTGAATTAGAATATATAATTTTTGGGTCCCTCGGCTCAATGGTTCTTGGCATTTGAGCTTAACGAACTGCTTAATTTGAGTATGCAACAAGCTGGCTAGTGCTTCATGTTGGTACAATTTATATTCACAGGTTATTCAACCTAGATCAGCCAGCAAGCAAGCACACTGTTTTGTTCTTGAGCCATAAAGTCAGGTGATATACATAGTAGACTACAGGGCACACTTTACAGGGAGGTTACGGATACTACCTAATGACATCCCGTAAAAATACCCCCCGTTTACCGTGGCTGCTTGGCAGCCCCGGTAAAACAGTGCCTGCAGTCTGCCGCCGCGATGAGACCTGAGTAAGACAGTTGTACAGCTATACATTGGGTCGATGCGGATGCATTGTAGGGATAAAGGAATCGGATGTCAAGGCAATGGACGGATGCAAAGCATGCATTGCGTCGAGGGCTCTTTTTGCCAGAGATAGGCTCGGAATTGCACACAGCATGGCCAAGGCTCCCGCCAGGCATCTTCAAATGGAATGAAGGAACTTTACCATTCCTATAACGTCACTCCAAATGGATACCATGGCATGGAAAAACTGTACAGCCATGAAAAGTGTGAATCGATTTGATTTCTTGCCTTGAACATCCAATCTTATGGCCTGAGAAGTAATTGGAGTAAAATTTTAATTCATTCAAACTGTGCGGAAGTTTGTGCATTTGAAGTTCACTTGAATGGGTAGATGCATAATGTGCGTCAAAGCTTTGGTTTGTTCAATGGGTGCGATGCCTGCCAAGTTTGTCATAGACAGGCATGCCTCCCGGCAAGCAAATTTGAAACAGGAAAGATATGACCTAAGTGTCAATGCGAGTCATCCCATAGTTCAGGTCCAGCGCCAGTACCAGCCTCGCTGTTGATTCCAGTACCACGTGTAGCGATAGCCCTGAACCCAGAAGGAATCTCCTTCAAAGTCACCGTAGGCCACACCTCCCGGTGGGCTTCTGCCTTGCTTGCCCTTCCCCTTCTGCTGTCCCTTCCCTTTGGTCTGTCCTCCACCTTTGTGATGACCTTTTCCACCACCACCACCCTGGCCGTAAGGACCGCCGCGAGCAGGCTTGCCAAGATTCGGTTCAAACTGCTCGTGATGGGGTCGTTCATGTTCAGGTCGGCTGATGGCTGCACTTGCATGAGGAAGACTGACCTCCCGGTCGTCGCCGGTGGTCTCAGACTCCTTGTGCGTCTGTTGGGAGGCAAAGTTCGACCATTGCAGCTTGCTGAACTCCACCAATTCTTTCGCGATCTCTTTGGCATCTGAAGCATCAGGCACAAAGTCACGATTGCCCCATCCATAAACAATGGGTAGAGGTCTTTGCCTTGGCTTGATGAACTTCGCCACGTAGACTGCGAATTGGCCAATGTCGAGAAAGACGCCCCGATGCGACACAAACACCTCGGTGTGAAGATCCAAGGGTTGGTCGGGCTCCCGCTCCGACGATGGCACAAAGATCAACTTGGTGGCCATCTCAAGCTTTTCGCCAAGAACCTGAGCTTTGGTGCGCTCAATGGTCGGGCTCACGCAGCCAGCCAAACGCTCAATGAAGAGCAAGGCCTCCGGCACCAAGTTTTGATTCGCCGCATTGAACTGAAAGAACGGGTCGCGGACGAGTCGGTCAACAAGGTCTTTGAAGCCCCTTTTCTTGAAAGATCTGACGTAGTTCTTGGCCATGTCTCTCAAGTTGCCATAGGTGCTTCTGGTCCGGATGGCTGTCGAAGAAGATGATGATCCCTTCTCCGGCTGCCTGGCTACTCTGCCTCTTCGCGGGTGGTTGAAGATCACCTTGTCCATGGAGAAGGGCACTCCTCTGGTACGGGCCATCGCCTCCCGGCGGGCAACTTCCGTGGCGATGTTGGCATCGGTCACGGGTTCCATCTGCCGGGAGCAGCGCGGGCATTTCAAATGCCCATCCACCATCAGATATCCACAGATCGGATGGCCACAACGTACCTGAGGCGTGTCTTGGATCTGGTTGTAGGAAATGTCCTTGAATTGCAACTCAAATCCGTGTCGACCTTGCCCACGACTCCAATTTCCACCACCGGGTCCATTCCGTCCACGACGTTGGAAGCCACAGGCATCCGTGCTTGTCATGGCGGCCATCTTTCCAACGGTGTAGCCGGGCACCAGCTGAGAACCTGATGCCGGCTCACCCTCCCGGGTGGCAGTACTCTTCTCGACTTCAATGTCTTCACGCCTGGAAAAGGGGAGGAGCTTGCCGAACTCAATGCGCTCTTTGATGCCTTCAAAGTTCAACTGGGCATTTTCCATCAACATTTCCATGCGGCTCATGAGAACATCCGTCGGATCAAACTCGGCCTTGGCCTGCTTGAGGACTTCCTGGTAAGTCTTCCGATGGTTGACATAAGCCCTGTTGATAAAGAAAAATTCGCCCGAACGCATATCAAAGGCGTTGATCATCGGCTGGTTCGAGATCCAGTCTGGCGACAGGATGGCCTCGTCAGTCGCGAAAAGTTTGTAGCCCATTTGCATCATGAGCTCCATGTCAACGCGATGGCGATTGGCCTCCCGGCCCGCGTACCTTGCAACTTTTTCATTTCCGCTTTCCAGGGCGGAGTGGAGTTGAAAAAGTTGTGGGCTCTGCCCGTTTTGTACGGGAATCCGCCAGGGATCAGGCCGTGCTTGATGATGGAATTGAAGGCGGCTTGGTCACAGGTGTGATACACCACTCTGGGGAACTTGTGCCACACAGGCGAGCCTTCCGGCATCGCGGAGAATGCGGGGTGGACCGTTGGGTCGTCGATCTTGGTCTGGTCGAAGTTCTCATCAAAAGTGAACATCGTTTTGATCATGCTTGACATCCCCCCTTGCTCCACGAGAAAGGCCCGATGACCCTGAATGGCCCTGATCCTCACTGGCGTCCACCTGAGCTTTCCGGACGACAAGCCGTTCACCTGGACTCTGAAGCGACGCATCGGAGAGTTGCGCACAACCATCAAAACTTCTTCTTCTCGAAGGTGCGCAAAATCTCCTTGGAGATGCCTCACCAATGCCTTGAAGTCCATTGACAAATCAGTCCTCCGAATCTCAGGTGATGGCCTCCTGTGAAACATTCGATGGCCACGGAGGTAGTCGGACATAGCATGGGAAATTGATCCAAGCCTCCCGTAGTCCACCTTGCGCACAGGAACTCCTGCCATGTTGTCCGGCTCAATCCAAACCAGATCCTGCGCTGAGGCAAATTTCGACGTGTCAAACTGTTCAGCACTTGGCCCATGTCCCTCATCCACAACCTTCAATCTCTTTGGCATGGCCTTCTTCTTGGGCTTGAGCTTGGACGTCGGGTCAGAAGGCGTGGCTCCCGCCGACGCAGCTGCAGTGGTGTCAGTTCGCCATGTCTTTGCAGATGAGGTGCTCTGAGCCATGTCAGTTTTCCACGTCTTTGCCGATGACGAGCTCTGGGCCATCTCCGTCTTCCAGGTCTTCGCTGATGCCGTACTCTGGACCATCTTGTTGCCCTGATCATCAACATCCATGGGCTCCGGGTCCCCCCGTGCATCAGACTTCGAGGCCTGCATAGAAGAGACCTTGTCGATCACGGCCATGTCGTCATCGTCATCATCATCAATCGGCTCTGCCTGCCCCTCCTCAGCGTCGTGGAACTCCTCTTCATCGACAATCTCCACCGAAGCCACCGTCTCGAGGTCGTCAAGGTCCAGCTCCTTTTCCTCTTCATGTACTGGGTCACTGGCCACGACTCCCGGCGGGCGTTTGTCATCCTCAATGAGGTCCCACCCTTTGAAGTCCTCGTCTTCATCCTCAGCCGCATAGGTGGCATCTTGCCATTCTTGGTCGTGCTCCTCTGAAAGGCCTTTTCGCCTCGCCAAAATTCGATCATCCATGGTGAGGGCCTGAACTTTGACAGCCTCATCGTCCGAATCAGCGTTGTCATGGTGCATTGGTTCCAATGCCTGGTCCTCTTCAGGAATGTCACGCAACCAGGACTCGACCTCCCGGTCGGCAGAGGCTGTGGCGCTCTCCTCAGCTTGAAGCACCCAGTTGAAAATCTCGATATCTGCATCCAACATGAGCTTCTCAGGATCAGGTCGCTGAGGAAGATCTTTTGGAGAGGATACATTCGAATCGATTTCAAGCTGGTACGCGGCCTTGAGGATGGTGAGGTTCGGGTAGTTCTTCTGCTCCTGGAGATCGTCAATTCTTGGGAGCGTTCTCAAGTGATCGTCGACGCTGATGAGCTTGAGGTAGGCAAGGTGGCAATCAGCGACGGCTTGGAGGAAGTTGGTGACATACTTCCGGTTGATGTCGTCGTCTTCCAAATGCACCTTGTCATATCTCACAGTTCTGGCAAGCATCAAGGTGGTGTCCAAAGTTTGAATACCATGGTCCTCTCGAAGTGCCCTGATGTGGACCCGCATGGTCTCATTGTAGGCTGACGGGAGAGCAAAGATTTCCGCGTCAGCGTTCCCAACGACCACGATGTCCAGGATCCGAGGCTCATCACGTTTGAGCTGGCCCAGTTCGTTGACGGACCGCTCGACTCTTGCCTTTTGCCGCTCACACCAGTTGGCCGTGACCTCCCGGTCGGCAGCAGACTTGTTGTAGGCAGCCCTGTGGATCCAATGGACACCTCTGTAACCCCCTTCGCCAAACACATCATTGCCGGCCCACCCCACGATGACCAACACCGGCAAAACCGGGCGACCATGTGCACGATTGGTGGACTCGATGTCGTCGATGGCCTCGGGGATGTACTGCACCATGTGGTTCAAACCTTTGCCCCACAACATTTTTGTGTAAATGCCACGGATGTCTCCCCAGGGCTTCAAAAGATCGCCTCCGGAAAAACACGAAGCCTTCCCTGCTTGGGGGTCAGGTACCAGAGCAAGAGATGAGTCTGATACGATCAGCAGGTCGACCTCGCCTCCCGGCGGGTAGGGGCACATGGCCAAAAACCCATCGGGCGTGTTCTTGTAGACCTCCGCGAGCGTGTCGTATGCCCCTTCAGCATTGCCACCACCCAGCATCGGCTCGACGATATTCGCCAGGGGTAGGCGGCATCCCTCCATCTCTCGCAAGAGCACCTGTGGGTCGTCCCATGTCGCAACCGCAATGGCTGCCTTCAGGGTGTTGACCACACTTTCCCATTGGGTGATGCGCTCGAGGACGGCGGGCCTCCCGGCAACCGCACAGGCCTTGGCCATCTGGATTGCACGAGTCAACATGACGAAGACGGGAGAACAAAAGGGCGCGATGAGTGCACAGCAAGTTAGCTTGAGAGCGGGATGCTGTCGGGTAAGAGCTTTATGTATGGCGTCTGTCATGCGGAAAGTGTATTCCTCCGTTTTCTTGAGTGCAATACCTCTACCTGGAGCATGACGCCTGTTGCATGTGCATTGGAACTTCGATAATGCTTTACCGACTCCAGCATGGTTTGTGGCCACTGTCCAAGGTTTCTTCAAAGGATCATTGTCTTGATTTACCATTCCAAGAGCACATCCATCAAAATGATATGCAATCATCCCATAAAAGTTCAATAGCTTTGCAACTTTGGTCAATTTCCAATATCGACATTTTCGTGGCCACTCGAGTGCAATGTGTACTTCACAGTTCAACATCCGAAGAAACGACTTCAAGGAAATCCAAAGTCGGTCAAACTCTCTGACATGTTTCAACACCTTTTCACGTGCACTGGGGTTTTTCATGTTGATATACGTCCATGGTGTACCCCCCGTGCACGGTAGGCTGATCCATATAAATGGTTTCACATCACCTTTGAAAGAGTTGACGTACTCTGCAATCCTCATTTGGTTTTCGACTTCGTTTAGATCAAATTCTTCAGTGAACTGTAGTACTTCACAACCTTCGGACCACTTTCTGTTGGTTTGGCTGAGTTTGGACTCGGGATGACAGCAAACTTCAACGATCAGTCTCTTGGTATCAGACTTGGCAGCGGGTCCCCCCGTGCTTGGTGTGGCAATGATTGGAGGTGTGATGGCCTCCGACGCCGACGCCAAAGCTTTCGGTGGGGTAATCTTCTTGGTGGGGGTCAATGCAAGAAGTTTGACAGCTAGTTTCCATTTCTCTGCATTAACAAATGGTTTCGTGAGAATGTCTGCAGCTTGGAGCATGCTTGGACCATGGACTAGCTTATACCACCTTCTTTTAAACTGTTCCTCCAGCCAAGATAGATTAACTCGCTGTGTTTTGTCTGTATGCCGGAAAGTGGGTGATTTTCCGTTCTCAAGGATTCTAATGGTGGCCTGATTGTCCTCTACAAAAACACCTTTTATCGACCGTGGGGAAAACATTGAGATCATACATTCTCCCTCTTTCTCACGTCCTACGAACTCGTAGTCGGTGATGGCTTCACGGATTTCGACCGATTCGATGTTGTAGTCGGACTCGTAGGGACCATAGACCCTGAAGAAAGTCTTGCCGGTCCACTCCCCGTTGATCGGGTAGTCAACTTTGACCTTCCAATTGTCCTGCATGAAGTCAACCATTCCGTCCTTTAGCATCACGGTGGTTCGAGCACATCCGATACGCTTAAGGTTAATGGGTGACTTGGACATGTCAACGGGTGTGAACAAATGTGACCTTGGTTTTGTATGGACTCGGATGAGCAATCTTCTACTTCTCATGAATTGCCAGTATTCCCCATTGGATTCTTTTTGGGTTTCAATGTCATGCCTTGGCAAACCTCCCGGTATGCTGTCTTTTGGTGCTCTCTCCCCCCCCGCGTTCTGGAGGTATGCCCACAAACCGGAGGAAGGTAGACCGACAGCTCTGAGGGATACGTTTGCACTGACAACTTCACTTTCGGTGCTTGACATTGCAACGGCAGTTTGTTTCTTACTGAATGCTGTGAGCGGGAAGTAGGTATTGGGTCCTACAAGAACTAACAAACAACCACTGGTGGATCGATTGTCGTACTCCCCTGCATGGTCTGCATCAGCAAACAGCCAAAGCCTACATTCACTAACCTTGTCCCCTATGAAAGCCCTTTGCTTGTGATCCAGGGTGGAATTAATGTAACAAATAAGTCTGTGCAGTGCCTTATCGCATTCTGCACTCCATTTTGTCACACGAGCTGCTAGGCCTTGGACGGCGCGCAGCAAGTCGAAACGTGCCATCCTGGCTGCAAATAGCACTTTCATAAGGACCCTTGCGGCTATTGGAGCCAATACGCCTTTGGTTTCCTTCTCATCGGCAATGGGCCGTGCAATTCTTTCTTCATGAAATGGTGTGGAAACTTGTTTCAAAGGCTTGGCATCCCTGCCCGCAAGTGAAATGTAACGTTCAACACATGATTTGAGGAAAGGCTCCATATCATATGTGAATGTAGTCACAGGCTTTTGCATGCAGGGTTGGTTCTCATACAGTTGGTCCATATAAGAGAAACCTTCCGCTCTAGCTTTCTTTTTGGCTCCGGACTTGTCCCTCTTGATGGTGGCCATGGCAGCCTTTGGATCTTTGCATGATGTTGGGAAGAAGTATGTTGTGCCAACCCATGAATCATTGAGACTACCCCCTTTGTTCACGTTGGATCCAATTCCAATAGTATCCCATTGCTCAACTTCACTTCCATTGTTGTTACATGGGATTGCATTCGTGAATCTAAATGGGGCTAGTTGGCATGACTTAACCACTTCTTCATCGGGCAAAAATAGTTTCTTCCTTGGCTGCACATGGTGTCTCATGTAGACATCGTTGACGGTGTCGAGCTCCCAGAAATCCTGAGTCCTGTGGCACGCGGCGGCGGCAGGCGCGGCCGGGTCGGCCAGTGACTTGTCAAAGACATGAGCATAAGGGTGATCCTCGACCTTGAGCTTTACGTTGTGTTGAGCTACATGGTCGCATCCAAGATATCTATTGACTTCCCCGGGAGTGTCCATGTCAATCTTTGATGCAATCAAACTCCATCTCTTTGACATGTTTTCTTTGGGACCGGACATCTTAAAATCGTCAACATACACGACAAGCAACAATTTGAGCTCTGGATGGAAAAACACCGAAGGCCACCCTTCCGGGTCTGGCATGATAAAGCCCACTAGTTTCAACATGGCTTCACAGTACTGTTCCCAGAGTCCCCCCGAGTCGGGGTGACCGTAAAGAGCGATGCGAAGCAATACAACTGGTCTAATGAACTTACCATGCCACTCTTTGGGCCATCGATCGGGTGGCAGTTCCACCCACGTCTCCACGCCCTTCCATAAGGCTTGAGTGTAAGCTTGTACTCCATCATTTTGTTGGGTTATGAATCCCGGTTGAGCTCCGTAGGCATCTACTGCTTTGCCAGCTTCCATGGTGGCAGGCGAAGACCCTAATTCCGAGAACAGGGCAACATCGGCACTTTCGTCCTTTACATTGTTGCCTTGAAATACTGTTCTTCCTTTGAATTTTCGGAGTTTATCTCCTTCGGGTAATTCACTTCCCTTTTCAACGCAAATCTCAAAGACCTTTCCTACATGGACCTTCTTCCCAGTCTTCTTGGCCTTGTCGGCAATGACCTTCCATTCGGCCACTGTTTCATATTGCCAGGCCTTCTTCTTTACCAGTTTATCCCATTCTACATCTAAGGCTTGCTGGGCTTTGGGATTGGCTCTAATTTCCTTTTTCCCCACTGGCCTAGCCACCAAAGTGTTAACGGCTTTCTCCCCAGATTGGATTCCAAGCCTAATACACTTAACTCGATGCTTTTGAGGGTTCATCTGGCAAACAGGCATAGCTGGGATGAATTCGTAGGATAAACTTTCATCCAATTCATTTGGTGATTCCTTGAGAGTTCCGATCATGGGTACAGCTTTCACTCTTCTGGCGCGTTTCTTTTCCTTTTCTTCCAGGGCTAATTTCCGTTGCTCATCTGCAATCGATGCTCTTCTTTCTTTTTGAGACATTGCTTGCCAAACAAATGGAGGGATGTCCTTTGGTTTGCTTGAATTCTTGTATTTTCTTGCTTTAAACCCACCTGCGTCATAGAATGAGGGGTCATTAGTCTTGATTCTTTCGAGTTCCCCTGTGATCGGATTGATTACCTCGACTTCGGCATCAGGTACAGCTCCTCTGATGGGCTCGTCCACACGGTTCCTCAGGTCGATCGGCTCTTTTGAGAATATTGTGACAATCACTTCATGAACCTCAATGTCCTTTTCAAGGTCTTCGACCGGAGGATCAATCTTCAAGTTTTCTTCGTGGACATGCCATGATTCATCATCTTTAATGCATGTTGTCCGAAACGGAAAATCGGCTGCATCAAAGTCGGGAGATGGACCTATACACTGATTGTCGATGATCCGAACATTCACCTTGCAATTGGCGTATTCGTACCATGCTTCCTTGTGATCAACATGCTTGAAAAATTCCAACCATCCCTGGTGATAGACTGCGGATGCACTGGATTGTTGTACAGGCTGTCCAGCTTCAATGTCAGTAATTGATCTCTTGACTGGGCCTGGCTCCCGCACAGGCTGAGCATCTTGCTCTTCCGGTGGCGGTAATGCATCCTGCTCATCACACAGCTGGTTTGGTTTCAAGCTACCGTCTCGGATGGCATCGGCACGTTTGCGACAGGGAAATTCAATCCTCTCGGGTACTGAAACCTTTAACACCCTCAATACTGTGACGGATTGGTCAAAATCTGCATCATTGATTTGCTTTAGAGAAGCTACTGCAAATTCTTTTCTCCAATGGAAGCCTGGATGGATGACATATCCTAGGAAGATACCAGGTTCAGTGGTCGGTTCGAACTTCATCTGTTTCTTTGGTTTCTTCCGAGGTCCATTCCAATAGTCCACCTTACATCCAAACGGGATAAGTGGTCCTTCGAAGTCTGTCCCAAACCTCAGTTTCCATGGTGTGTCCTTTCCAGTCCCATCTGGTGCCGTGTCATGCATGATGCACCAATGTCTGGCAGCATAAGGCCAATATCCATGGTGAAGTCCTGCTTGAAGTAAATTGGCACGCGTTCCTTCCAATGTGGACCGCACGGCTCGTTCGGCAATGGCATTGGATGTCGAAATGTAATCTTTACTGATTTGATGCCTGATCTTCATAGCTCTCATAGCTGCTACAATTTCTGGGGCATTATCACTGTAAAAGATTCCAATTTTCTCCAAGTCATCAACGAAATGTTTCATTGCCAGTGTGGTGTTGGAAGTGTCACGGCGTGCAACGGGGTAAACATATCGAAAATCAGTGGCAACATCCTTAAGTACCATTGCGACCCTATCTCCATCAACACCGGTTTCAGGGTCCGATTTGGCAATAAGATAGTCACCTGTGACATGATCCCCAAACTTCTTTGCATCGACCATGGATGATCCTCCTTTAGAGTAACCGGGTGGCTTGTACATCTTGGCCTTTGTACAGACATCACAGTATGGATTCTTGGGAATATGGGTAAGCATGTGTCGTTTGCTCTTAGCTTCAGCCTTGAGTGCGGCCTTATCCCTCTCCCTACGTCTTTCCATTTCCGGGTCACGACGGACTTCATCCCTTGAATCATCAACATCATCAGGCTGGACCTCCCGGTCAGCTGGTGCACTGCCTTCTTCATCGGAGGGCGCATCGGCACCGGGATCGCCTGAGATGTCGGGTACAAGGTCATCGTCAAACTTTGATGAATTACCTCCTACAACTGCAGGTTCGTCATCTTCATATTCTTCGTCGTAAAGGTCTGGTGACGGGGGAGAATCCTCCTCTTCTATGAAGCCTGACTCGGATCCTGATGAACTAGCCATCACTTTAACTCTCTTCAGGGGAGAACCATTGTTGCTTGATTTTGCCACCGTGGACACACTTGGTTGATTTGATTTGGAACATAGATATGGGACATAGTCTCTGACCTCAAGTTCAATGACCTTCCCATCCGGTGAAACTAATTTCGGCTTCTCATTCTTGGAGCCCCTCCACACGAAGTCAAACCCATCCTCAACGCACCTGAGTCCAACTGATAAAACAGGAGGTGAACTTTGCACCAGGTACGGTGACACGGTAGCATTCAGCTCTGGGACTTTGACCTTGCCCTGCTTCATGGATGAACTTTCCCCATTTGCAGTGATGAGATGGATTGGATTATCGGAAAAATAACCATAATGATCCGGTACATGGTGATCAGTGAGTAAATCTTGTGCACTACCGGTATCAACAATCCAATCGATAGAGGCTTCGAAACATCCATCAACGTACTCCTCGGATTTGGCAGGCATTGCAACTATTTCCTTTGGAATACAGTGATCACAACCAAACATGGTGTCACATTCATAGTTGCATTTGCAGACATTGTTCATTAACGAATTCTTGACTGCTCCTGCCAACATGTTCGCTGACAAACATGCGTCCTCTACGTCTCTTCGGTCAAAATCAAACGGATAGTTGATAGGAAAAGTTCTCTTGTATCTCCTTGAAGCTGGATTGATAGGCTCAAGGTCTCCCTTGGCAATGACTTGATACACATCGTAATTGGTGTCAAATGTCACTGCTGGGCAACTGATCACATCAATGGGTGGCATAAGGCATGCATTGGATACGGATGCTAACATCGAGGCAATCAGGCAGACGGCTGCTGGGGAAGCTTTGGGAGTGTCAGGCTTGCCTCTATTCCCGTTTGGGGAGCGGCTATTCCTGGGACTCCTTGATCCCTTCTGCTTTGGCGAGCGGTCCCTGCCTTTTCCTGGACTTCTGCTGTTCCTTCGTCTGGATCCTTTCGAGTCATTGGACGAAGGCCTGGCAGGAGTGGCAGCACGAGGAGACTTGGTTTGCTTACCCTCGTGACTAAACCTACAGTCATTGCCTCTGTTGCATCTTCCCTGTTTCCAAAACTTGCATGGCTGCTTCTTCTTGCTCTTATCGTTCTTACCCCTTGACGATGATCTGCCACGGTCGGATGAGGGTCGTGATTGACTTCTGTCTTTCTTTGGTGGAGGCTTTTCATGTTTGAATGGGCAGGCATCATTCGTGCAGGTCCCTTTATTCCACTTGACACAGTATCCCTTTGGAATGTACCCAGTCTTCTCACCCACAGCCGGAGCTGCGCTGGACGACGAGGCACCGAGGGTCCTGGCAACTCGTTCACGATTGGACTCGAGTCGCTCCCTATCCAAGTAGCGGCGAACTGCTGTCACTAGGAAATCGTAGGACTTCTTTTCGGTCCCATCCTCAGCACGATGATATTCCTGCAAGTCGTGTGCTATTGCTTTACTGGTCTTGACTTGGTTAAAGAACAGAGTCTCCAGAATGCTAATCTCAGGAATCTTGGGGATACCAGCCATCACTTGATCCCAATTGCTGATGAATCCGCGTAGGTTGTCACCCTTAAGTTTGACACTGAACAAATCCTGTAGTGAGTAGGTCGCTCCATGCTTGATGTTTGTACTGAAATGTTCATGCATCATAAACAGTACTTGACGGCCCCTCACATAACGATGGTTTGTTGCTTCAGTCTCTTTATAAGTGTCAACCTTTCTTGCGAAATCACCTGTGAGAATATTGGTGAGCGCGGACAGCAACTTGGCATCCAGTGTGGTGAACTTGCCTACGTCACGAAGAGCCCCGATTGTTTGGCCTTCTTTCCAGGTCTCACTTATCCAATCAAATGCTTTATCAGGATCAGTAGATGCTGACATTACAGCTTCCCTTGTGCGAATCCTCCAATTTCTGTATGACTCCGCATGGGGAAAAGCTGGAACTTTCACAGTGTCGGCTTCTTTGACCTTGTTCTTTTCATGTGACTGGTCCCTGGAACTGCCAAACATGGCTCTCATGCGACGGATGAATCGATGGTCACTATCATCAGAGTTGTACCCATCCCCGTCTCCATCATCATCATCATCACCGTCCCCAGGCCCACCTCCCGGTGGGCGTCGGCTCTCCGGAGGGGGCTTCTTCCCACGATTGTCCTTACCACGTCTGCTGTCGCGATCTGCCTGTGAGTCCTTGTCATCATCTGGAGGGTCAGGTCCTGGTGGCTTTCCACCTGCATCCGATGGTGCAACACTTGTTGGTGGATACGTTGGGGACCTAAGACCGGTTATCTCAGAGACAGGATCCTTATTATCCACTGGTGCATTTCCTTCCGGGTCAAGCATTTCCCATATATCTTGGTTGGGTTCCGCTGGTTTAGACGCACTTGCTGATGCAAATGACGGCAACGGTGCAGAGTACTTGACCTCAGTGGACGGCGGCAATATGGCAGTGGCGGTCTGGACAATTGGAATCGGCATTGGGCCTATTGTGTCAAGGAGTTTACTCATCCTCATGTTCATGGATTCGGTTTGCAACTGTTGGGCCTTTATTTGCTCACTTTGTTGCTTGATGATGGATTCAAGTTGGGACATCTGCATCTTACGATGTTCATCCTGGCGTTCATAGTGATCCCTGAGTGATTGGATCTGTTGTTCCTTCGTTGCATTTGACTGTCTGGCATTTCCGTCTAAAACCCTTTTATATACTTCCCCTTGTTGGGCCAATTCTTCACGAAATTGATTTTCCCGACTCTCTGCGAGCAACATCATCTGTTGCATCCGGGCACTCGCAGCTTGTTCTTCTGCATGGAACCTACCGCTCATTTCGGACATCATCGATTGCACCATGTGTTCAGTGTTGGCTAATGCCTCTCGATGACGTGCTTCGGCAACCTGCTCTACCATCTGTGTAATTGCAGGGTCGTGTGAATTCACGTACACTTCATTGTTTTGTACCTGTCGTAGATTCATGGTGTTATTCACCTCAGTCATCTCATGGTGGTGTACCTCGACAGTGTTGGATTGTACATGATGTGAGCCGGCAGGCATGCCCTCCCGGGATGCGTGAAAGTCATATCCACGGTGTGAAAACCTCTGGGCTCCACTTTGGGGCACAACGGCGCCTGGTGGAAGCGGGACACGGACCTCACGTTTATCACTGCGGGAGCGTTCTGAAGGAGTCTGGGAAGTTGTGTGACTTGGTGCATTGTTTCCAGTTTGGCCATTGTCTGCATCCTCGATCGCCATGGCTTGATGGATCCCGGAGTCGCGTGAGCCCTCTGGAGATGGTTTTCCAAAGGGGGCAGACATTTACTTACAAAAGGAACGTATCTGGCGATACGGCTGATAACCTATACTTAGAGGTTAAACAGCCTCAATCAACCAGCAACAGCGGCACACCTATTTTTGTCTTGAGCCATAAGATGTCAGATACTATACACATACCACGTGGCACAACTTTACATGGGAGGTATAGAATACTAGTTATTAGCATCATGTAAAAACAATTATGACTCAGCATCTGTCCACAGGGCCTTATTGGGCCCTTATTAAGGGCCGCAGTGTGAACCCATCAACATACGTATGTCTCATACCATTGGATGATATCCTCATCTTCATTCAACTACTTGGTACAATCCGAAAATCACCATCATAGTTGCCTGAAGTCACAAAACAAAAAAATCGTCAGCAAATACTTAGTACATCTTAGTAGCCTCCTATTAAGTTGATAATCCACTATCACTGAATTTCAATGTTTTTATCACATGAAATCGCCATTTGATATGGGTGAAGGACCATCATCCACCATAGCCTCCAAATTTTTCCAAATGTCGAGATTCTGAAGGATGCCACCATGCAGTTGCTCAGTGGCCTGTGCTCCGTGAGATTCAGAAACAATTGGTCACACGGAAAAATACACACACGCATCTAAAGAATGCAAACAATACTGGTGCATATTAGTATACATATCAGTCTAATCAAACGAAATATATATATATATACATATACATATATATGTATATGTATATGTGTGTATGTGTAAAATTGTAAATATTCTGAAACAAACACATATACATGATGTGTATGATCTTGTATGCATCCATTGCGTCCATCATTGTTATTTCTCTTGTTTCTGTCGCTCCTGAAATTTCTTTTTTGCACCGTCAAAACCCAGGACCGTCATTTCATGTTAAATGATTGAATCTTCATTTCTGGATAAAACTGAGCCAAACTATGTCAAAATGCAAACTGGTTGGTGGTTTCATCCCCTCTGAAAAATATAAAAGTCAATGGGAAGGATTATCCCATATATTATGGAAAAACAAAAAATGTTCCAAACCACCAACCAGTATGTCAAAATGCAAAGCTGTGCTGGCAAAATCGTCATCAGATGGCCAAATGCCCCAGTGCTCCTCCATTTGAAAATGGACTTGGTGAAGGGAAATCTACAGTCACTAGATGATAATCCCCAATATATTGCGGAGTATAGCCACGTGTCACCCCCTGCCAGAATCACAACCAGATACCTACTCATCAAGTCATAACTACTCGGATGATTTTCACATGATATTCCCTTAAAGTTTACACACCCTCTAAGTGGACGAGGAGCAACTGCACCGCCAATGCTGAAGATTTTAAAGAGAGAACCCTATGAAAAAATGGTAAATCCTCCATTTTCCCGCATAAACCCTATTTTTCTCCACAAATCATCCATTTCCTTCATAAATCCTATTTTCCTCCATTAATCCTCCCTTCTCCTCCATAAACCTAGTTGACCTTGTCTCCTAAACCGAGCTGCCTCTTGAGAGCTCGTCGAGCTGTCGACCACAAAAATGAGACCATCAGCAGATCGATCAGCATAGATGTTGCCCAGCCTGTGATGAGGCTGCCATGTGCAAACCTGGAAACTGAACAGACAAAAACTATGAGTTGAATATCTATCTGCCGATCTATCATGATCAATCTATCCAATGATCTTCTCTACATCTTTCTGTCCATTATACCTCTATATCTATCCGTCCTTCCGTCCATCCATCCATCCTTCCATCTATCTATCCGTATATCCATCTATCGATCTAAATCCGAACCCATCCGTCCAGAGATCAAGTTGTCTATTTCTCTGTCCAGCTATTTATCTATCTATCTATCCATCCATCCATCTATCTATCTCTCTATCTCTCTCTATCTCTCTCTCTCTCTATCTATCTAATCGAATCTAATCGAATCTAATCTAATCTATCAAATCTATCAATCTGTCAATCTATCAATCTATCAATCTATCAATCTATCAATCTATCTATCTATCTACCTATCCATCCATCCATCCTATCCATCCTATCCATCCTATCCATCCTATCCATCCTATCCATCCTATCCATCCTATCTATCCTATCTATCCTATCTATCCTATCTATCCTATATATCCTATCTATCCTATCTATCCTATCTATCCTATCTATCCTATCTAGCCTATCTATCCTATCTATCCTATCTATCCTATCTATCCTATCTATCCTATCTATCCTATCTATCCTATCTATCCTATCTATACTATCTATCCTATCTATCCTATCTATCCTATCTATCCTATCTATCCTATCTATCTTATCTGTCCGTCTGTCTGTCTGTCTGTCTATCTATCTAATCTAATCCAATCTAATCTATCTAATCTATCTGTCTATCTATCTAATCTAATCTAATCTAATCCAATCTATCTTTCGTTTCTGGTTTTTCTCTCTCTCTCTCTCTCTGTGACTTTATGTTGTTCTTGCTTTATTTGTTTCTTTCGATCAATTATCTTAACCATAGAAGACCATAGACTAGCCTTATCTTAACCCATCAAGTCTGGAATTTCCGGTAACAAGCACATCAGAGCTCTGCATATACATGTACGTTATATATATATGATACACTGGGTTTGACCCCATCAAGCGTGGGAATTTGACAAATAAAATCAAGTCGAACTGGGTCGAGGTACAACCTATGTGCGTTTGACCCCCGAAGTGCAGGTGTTTCTCCTATGATGGATTGCTGGAGGGTACATGGTGCCCCATAGATGGCCTTTCTTCCTTTCCAACTGGATGGCAAAAGTAGATACGATATGATATAATATGACAAGGTACACTAATATACACCAATGAACACCAATATACGCGAATTAATATATATGATTATAAATTATATACCAATAAACACTAATATATTGATCAATTTACATCATATCTTTGTTGTTCGATGGGTGAACTAGACCCTTTCTTAATGCCTCGGGGGATGCTCCCCTTCCGACTAGCGAGTCCTCGTGTTCCCCTGGGCTCTTCCGTCCTCATCTCGTTGGGGGTTCTTGTGGATTTCATCAATGCCATAACTGGTTGGTGGTATACCTAGCCCTCTGAAAAATATGAGTTCGTCAGTTGGGATTATTATATATTACTATCCCCAATATATGGGGAAAAAAAAAGTTCCAAACCACCAACCAGTAATCAGTTCCTTAATTTCGAATTTATAAAAACTTTGGACTTAATTAGCCAGCAGAAATGAGGAATCAACATGAATCAACCACTCAAAACAGAGTGTTTGATACAAAGTGTTGGTGCTTCTATCCCAACCATTCCAGTGATTTCCCAGGATCTGCGCCTCATAATGCGGTCTTTCCCGGCAATGTCGAAGACAGTGAAGTTTGTGTTCTGAAATCTCACCGCCTCCACGTTGTAACCAACTGTTGGTATGGCCTGCATGCGTGGCTGTCTGTGGATGTGGTGATGGGTGGAAGCCGGTGATTCTAGGAACATCATGGAAGTATATATATACATATTATATATATATATATACATATTATATATATATTATATATATATCATTATATATTGTTAAATATGCTACACATGGATATATGATATATATATATATAATTACATATATGGCATTTCTCATGACGTGATCAAATGCTGAAAATATCTCAACCACCTCTTGGTCCCCATGAGCCCCGCATGGTCTTGCGTATCTGGCTTCCAACTTATGGCCAAATTGGGGCCCCCACCATCCCTGCTTTTCCATGCCCACCACAGCCTGCACATGTTCACCCAGCTTGAAGTGATACAGTAGGGTCGTTTTCCCCGCATACGCTGGGCCAATCATCAACAGCCGCCGTGAGCGGCGGTCATTGCGGCTGAACCACGCGCCCATGGCTGCAACAGAAGGTGCATGTTGAATGGGTAATGTCACCAACGAGAAACAATTTGGTCATCTTATACTTTTATATTTGTTACCTCCAGGGGTCACGTTCACTGGAATATCAGGATTAGTTAAATATAGCAGGTAACAACCCCAACGAATTCGCAGAACATTTTTTGGGGGCTACCTGTTTCACTACTTGGGTCGTGCGTGACCTACGTGGGGCACCCGTACGGTCAAGCCAGCAGATTAGGCAGAAGCTCTGTAGAAGCAGCTGATCCCTTCAACCTGGCTAAATTATAGCACCTCACCCACCTCGAATCACATAATTTCTAGTTCTAGTGATCATGTCGCAGTAAGAATATTACAAGTCACCTATATCAACTGCATGACTCACTGCCGAGGTATAAGGGTCGGTCAAACTGAACATGTGCAGCTCAGTGGTAGGAACAAATGTGACAATTTCTTTCAGTGATGTATGGGCTATACTGTGGATAGTGGTTAGATTAGATTTGATTTAGATTGGATAGGTACATACCTATTGTATAATATGATGTATGCAAATTCGGACCCACAAAGAAAATATAAGCCATTCTCACATGCACCCTTATCTCTGACATGATCAAGATATTACAGTCTCCCCTGAAAATAATCATGATGATATCCAGAAATATCATCCAAACATTCATGCAATGTAACCCAACGGCCAACCCCAATGGCCCAATGTCTGTTTTATGTCCCCATACGTGTGGCGTTTCTGGGGCGCTAGTGGCTGGTCAAAACACTGGTAACCAGCATAGCTGGCATACGTTGATGGATGTTGACCCACCAAGCGTGCTTGGAAAACTTTGGTGTTGATCCCATTGACTTACCCTCTGGTAAACTAACATAGCTATGGAAAATGGCCATTTATAGTGGATTTTCCCATTAAAAATTGTGATTTTCCATAGCTATGTTAGTTTACCAGAGGGTATATACCATATATGTTTGTTGAAACCAGCATTTGCGGTAATGAACACACTATTTTTCGATTAAACCACATTTTACCGCTTGAATCAATCTTTTTGAACCAACTCACAATTTCCGAAAATTAAATCATATTTTTTTTGATTAGATTGAACAAGTAGATACATGCAATCAGCCATACCATTTTGTTTGGGGCTTAAAGCTCATCTAAAGGGTACCCCAGTTATCATCTAGTCGTTATGACCATGACGACTATTGAAACCCATGACTTGGGGTATCACCACGTTAGGAAAGTCCCAGATCTGGGTAAAGAAAATCATAATTCTCAATTGAAATATGTAATGTAAGGCTATTCTGGGATAGCAACAAACTCCTACTAACCATCAATTCCAGATGGACGTGTGGTAACGTGGTGCAAGAAATGATCACTCAATTTCCGATTTCCATGGATTTCCCAAAAATTGTCTAGAAATCTATGGAAATGGTTGTCCATTTTCCAATTTTCCAAAAAGACAATCATTTGGTCCTAAATGTCCATAGATGTCCCATAGATTTCCCATAAATTTCCCATAAATTTCCCATAGATTTCCCATAAATTTCCTAGAAATTTCCCATAAATTTCCCATAAATTTCCATCTTTAGGACACCTCCCAATGAACTGAGCACTGAGGCTCCCAGCCAGCTCCTCGCTCTGCGCTTCTGGTGCCCCCAGGCGCACCGCGGCACCCACTGCGCCCAGGACCAGACGGTCCTCATGGGGATACTATGATACCATGGGATGTTCTATCTATAATGTGTATATATATATATATATATATTATTATATTAAGATATGTATAAAACATACATATAAATATAAATATGCATATATTATAGTAAGATATCTACAAAATATATATTATATGAAGATATGTATAAATATATAGTTAATGATGTATACATCATTAATTTTCATGAATGATACTTGATGTATATATTTTTATATACTTGATATATTATATAATCTTTAATGGTTGCATATGGTTACTGGGATGCAAACTAATCCCAGACTTTCATTGGGTTGATTGAAGGGAACATCTGAACCCCGGAAACCGTGGGTTTTTCCCATTGACATCGATGAAATACCACGGGATTCTCGGACAACATTATCTGGTTGGTGGTTGACCTACCCCTCTGAAAATATGAGTCAGTTGGGATGACTATTCCCAATATATGGACAAATAAAAAATCTTCCAAACCACCAATCAGTTATATATATATCCCTAGAACATCCTAGAACCAATACAATGAATAGGGATTTCATGGTGATTTGACTGGACCAAAACAATGTTAGGCCACCACGGTGATGTAAGGATACTTAATGCCGAATGAAACGCCAGCCACCACAAAAAATAAGGGTGAAACTTCAGATTTGGATTAAGTGGACCCAAATCCACAAATCTGGAATGGAGATAAACTGAGTCATACCTCCCATTTATATGATTCTTGGAGAAATCGCTAGGGAAAGGAAACAGAAGCATTACCCTCTGGTAAACCAACAGTTTGCTATTGAAAATGGCCCAGTCGAAATAGTGGATTTACCCATTTAAAATGGTGATTGTCCATAGTTTTTTGTTAATGTTTACCATGTTGTTTACCAGAGGGTAACCTTGAGGGTGAAACCCTCATTGATTCCCATGGTTTTTCAAACTTAATGTCACTCAATCCCGATGTTTTAGTCCAAATCAGCAGGTCAAATCTCCTCAATCTTACGCCCGGTACGGGCAAATCATTGCCAAAAGCAAAAGCCTATATATGAGGAACCTACCATATATAAGAATCTATATATATATATAACATAGTATTGGTTAGTTGGAGAATATTCACTTCAATGGCCATTTCAGGAACCTAAATTGGAGGTACCTACCATATATACGGCCTATATAAGGGCTATGTAGGGGAACAATCCCACAAAATATGGCCTGAAAAATGGTACAGTACCCCATTTTGGGATCCTGAAATTCCCATAGACCTACAGTATTGTTATTTAACTTGGATGACATAGCTATGGACAATCATGATTTTTGTTAGGTAACCCATCAATCGTCATCTATTTCTATGGGCCATGCCTTCCACAAAGGGACCCGTGGTTCGGTCACATTCCTTTGGTTGTGACATGTTTCTGACAATTGACCGGCCAAAAAACGGGATAGAAAAGATATGATTAAGACACAGGGACTGATAAAACAAATCTGTCCCAAGCAGAAATGTAGGTCTCCATTAAATTAATGGATTGATGGCTATCCCCAAATATACACATATATGTATATATACGTACTATAACTATATACCATTAAAAAAAACATCAATATACATCAATCTTCACTATGGCACATATACTTGGATTTGCTTAAGGCTAATAATTCCACTCTACATCCCAGTATATCCCTTTATTTATGGCCTTTTCCTATCCTTTCCTATCTATGATTCCCCATGCATTCTCCCTCCAACTAACTATGGTTTATAGATTTGATGGATCTATCTATCTATCTATCTATCTATCTATCTAACATTATCTAACTATCTATCTATCTAACTATCTCTCTATCTATCTATCTATCTATCTATCTATCGATCTATCGATCTATCGATCTATCGATCTATCGATCTATCGATCTATCGATCTATCCATCTATCCATCTATCAATCTATCCATCTATCCATGTATCGATCTATCCATCTATCGATCTATCCATCTATCCATCTATCCATCTACCCATCTACCTATCTATCGATCTATCGATCTATCTATCTATCGATCTATCGATCTATCGATCTATCGATCTATCGATCTATCGATCTATCGATCTATCCATCTATCCATCTATCGATCTATCCATCTATCCATCTATCCATCTATCCATCTACCTATCTATCGATCTATCGATCTATCGATCTATCGATCTATCGATCTATCGATCTATCGATCTATCGATCTATCGATCTATCGATCGATCGATCGATCTATCCATCTATCAATCTATCGATCTATCGATCTATCCATCTATCCATCTATCCATCTATCCATCTACCTATCTACCTATCTATCTATCGATCTATCGATCTATCCATCTATCCATCTACCAATCTACCTATCTATCTATCTATTTCTATCTATCTCTATCTATCTCTATCTATCTCTATCTATCTCTATCTATCTCTATCTATCTCTCTATCGATCTATCTATCTATCTATCTATCGATCGATCGATCGATCTATCGATCTATCGATCTATCGATCTATCGATCTATCGATCTATCTATCTATCTATCTATCTATCTATCCATCTACCTATTCATCTATCTATCTCTATCTATCTATCTCTATCTATCTATCTATCTCTATCTATCTATCTCTATCTATCTCTATCTATCTCTATCTATCTCTGTCTATCTCTCTCTATCTCTATCTATCTCTATCTATCTCTATCTATCTCTATCTATCTCTATCTATCTCTATCTATCTCTATCTATCTCTATCTATCTCTGTCTATCTCTGTCTATCTCTATCTACCTCTATCTATCTCTATCTACCTCTATGTATCTCTATGTATCTCTATGTATCTCTATCTATCTCTATCTATCTCTATCTATCTCTATCTATCTCTATCTATCTCTATCTATCTCTATCTATCTCTATCTATCTCTATCTATCTCTATCTATCTCTATCTATCTCTATCTTTCTCTATCTATCTCTGTCTATCTCTATCTATCTCTATCTATCTCTATCTATCTCTATCTACCTTTATCTATCTCTATCTATCTCTATCTATCTCTATCATTCTCTATTTATCTCTATCTATCTCTATCTATATCTATCTATCTCTATCTATCTGTATCTATCTCTATCTATCTCTATCTATCTCTATCTATCTCTATCTATCTCTATCTATCTCTATCTATCTCTATCTATCTCTATCTTTCTCTATCTTTCTCTATCTATTTCTATCTATCTCTATCTATCTCTATCTATCTCTATCTATCTCTATCTATCTCTATCTATCTCTCTATCGATCTATCTATCTATCTATCTATCGATCGATCTATCGATCTATCGATCTATCTATCTGTCGATCTATCTATCTATCGATCTATCTATCTATCGATCTATCTATCTATCGATCTATCTATCTATTTATCTGGTTTACGTAAATGTTGACAAACCAACTATCTATCACTGAGAGGGAGCACCATCTCCCCAGCCACCCCCCAGGTTTTCACCTCCTCAATGGAGCTTTTGTTCAACTTCTTCGCTTCCTTCTTCACCGCCTCCGCCGCAGCGGCGGCTTGCTCCACCACCGAGGCACCTAGCCACGGAAAGCGGCTGCGAGGAAAGATGCAGAGTTTTGATGGGAATTTCACTAAGCCAGAACATGATGTGCATTTATGATGATTCATGTGGATTGAAGGCTATTTCACCCATAAAAATGGAGAATCATGTGAAACCGTTAGATGATTTCACCCATGGGAAATGTGGATTGAAGGTAACACTTCGATGTCGGACACCCACCATGAAAGTAGATCGCCCCCCTATGGACTTGACTTATCCTACAACAGTGGAGCACCAGTGACGTTAGTTGCTTTATAAACCATAGTAACTGGTTGGTGGTTGACCTACCCCTCTGAAAAATATGAAAGTTCCATGGCCAATCCCTTCTGGTCCGATCCGACCTCGACGGCCAAGGGTTAAAGGGTTAACCTTTCCCGCAACCCCCCAAAAAAGAAAGAAAAGTCATGTGTCATGGTTTTAGTGATATTACTTTGTTACTTTGCTACCTTGTTTTCGGAATTTTTACACTACGGCGGAAAACCTCACCTAACCTCGGCCAGGGCCACGCACCTTGCTGCAGCTTCTTCTCTTGCGCCGTTTTGGCAGCTTCTTGCAGCACGGCCAGGTGCGAGGTGAGCTTTCCTGCAGCTTTCCCAAGGCCGGAATTCGGTGGTGCCCCTTTGTTTGCTAAGTTGATTTATAACTTGTAAATCCAAACAGCAACATACTATAACAGTGATTATATAATTCATCAAACTTATATAACTATAGGGCGTGTATGGTGATTTAACACTATAGTTGGAGTCATACATCAACAGCCAGAAAACACCTCCTGGGGTCCTTCCTTTTTCCTTGCGGTGGACCAATCTATCCACGTTGGTGAAACACGACGTGACGCGACGTCCGCAAGCCATGGTTGCACCGCTTAGCACGTAAGGGGCAGCTGATGGCAACATGAGCTGGCACAAAAAAACTATACCCTCTGGTAAACTAACAGTTGCTATTGAAAATGGCCATTTATAGTTGATTTACCCATTAAAAATTGGGATTTTCCATAGTTATGTTAGTTTGCCAGAGGGTAATCTAGTTATAGGTACTGCATTCCCATAACATAACCTTCGAATAAATACATGTAGATACCCCTTTTATTGGTGAATTTCTGCATATATTCAACTATATCTGATGTTGAAGGCATGTTATAAGGGTTCGCTTCGTCCGATTTACACACTGGTGGGTAACCCTCATACAGAGTTTTGCATGCTGTGAACAGTCATTGATGTCGCTGATAACAGCCTATTGGTTTTCAGGCCATGGCACTTTTTCAGTGGGCAGTTGGGCATTTTCTAGAAGATAGCTATGGAGCATGATTAAATGGCCTGTTTAGTTGGACGTTTTACCTATTAAGAATTAATAAGAATGTTCCATAGCTAAGTTAGTTTACCGGAGGGATTAGAATAACAATCAATCATACCAAATTATTAGATAGAGTATGATAGAGTTATATTATATCTTTAGATGAACACCAAAAGTTTACTTTTCCTAAAGTAAAAAATGTCACAATGATCTTTCTTCGTTTGGCCTTGATCATCACCATGGGTCATACCAGAAATCACTCCCGCCGAACTCCAAATTTGTTGAACATGGGTTTGTCTGAAATTCTGGCATCTTCAATTTCAATGGTTTATCATGATTTCCCCATATTTTCCCACATGTTCTTTATTAATTTGAACATAAAAATATCATATTTAATCCATTGAGTAGGGGTATCTCATATCCCCCACTTTTAGACACAGCCAACTCAGAAAAGTCCGACTCAGAGCAATTGATTCAAGACCTTGTCCGAGATGGCCCCCGGGGCTGAGCGGCTGGCGCCAGCAGCGCTTCCGCCTGGTGCCCAGATGTGCCCAGTCTGCCCGGCGAAGGATCGGTAACTAACAGATTACACAGAGACCACCAGAAAGATAGAACAGTTGGATACCTGGAAATGTGAACTATGTATTAAATATGTATTACCCATAGGATCCATGGCATGGTGCTGCCATATATGGTAACATTTACCATCAATATACCCCAAATGTTAAAATATATACCATACATGGATCCTATGGGATATGAACTATGTATTAAATATGTATTAAATATGTATAAAATGTCATCTATAACCTCCCGCAGGAAAGACTTTTTTATATAATTGTTTTGGGGATGGTTACAAAATATTATATAATAAACATCTATAAACCATCGAAGATCATCAATCATCAACCTCCATAAATGCCCATCAATCAGCATCGATAATCAACCGCCATCAATCCGAATCAAGAATCCATCACCATCATGAATCACCATCAATCCGCATCAATCATCATCAAATCTCTATCGATCATCATCAAATCTTCATCGGCCATCATCAAATATTATCAATCATGACCACTCAAACATAATAGATTATCACCAAATTCTTCAAAATGCCATTTTCTTGTGGTAGACATCACCAGGTGACATCTCCATACACATCACCCCAACATCATCAATTCATATCAAATCCACCAATCTCTCCTTCTGTTTGGTGGTGTTTACGTGATTGGGCGAAATCTAGCTTACATAGTTCTATAGCTACCTCCTGATAAAAGGTGCAATCCATCAACGAACCCAACGTTCATTTTTGAGTATGTTTGTTGGGTTTGTCTTAAAATGAGGTCGGGTTTCCCTGCTAGCCCAAGAGATTTCAAGAGGCAAAATAATGATAAACCACCTGGGAGTTTCATGGTTTTTTATGGTTTCCATGGGTTTTCCATGGTTTTCCTCCGTTTTCCATGGGTTTCCCTTCGGTTTCCCAGGCTTTTCCCAGCCAACCCAAGGTGTTCCAAACCAGTTCCGCTGCCAGCCTGCCACCCGTTGCTGCACCGTGACGTCCGCCGCGGAACCAACGAGACCTTTGGCGGCGCGGCGCTCGGTGATCTTGCGCTGGGTTCTGGCCTGGCTACCGTTGGAAATGGGTCATGGGAACCCATGGGAACCCATGGGAAGCCATGGGAATCCTCGAAAAGGGAGGACCATGGCAGCCATGGATGGAGATAAAATATGGGAACATGATGGAACATGATCATGGTGAAATAGCTAGGAGGTGTTTTTGTTGTGGTATTTTTTTTGTTGGGGGGTTCTATGGGTTGCCATGTAGTTTAGCAATGTTAATCTTGTTCTAGAGATGTGTCTTGAATTTGATGTTTGTTTCGATATTTCGATATGTTTCCGTTGCACAATTGGCAAACATGTGCCTTACAGCTTTGCGAACAGGCTAAGCCCCCACTTCTTGCAGGCTGTAGGTCCGCCCGATGCCCGAAGCAACCACAGTTTGAAGGATTTCTTCGCAAACTTAGTTGCATGTGTAGTCTTCACACAGCCGGAAGAAAGGATTTTTGAGTTTACCCACCAGGACGGATGGATGCATCCCAGCATCGAAAACACAAACCAGGCATGAAAAATCTTTCTCCCACCCTGCCCAGTCTTCCTTCTCAACGCTCTCGAGGTAGAAGCTGTTTTCCCTTTGGGCCTGCCAAATAACTCTGTCAGGATGTCATGGAATATGGGAATGCAACCAACCTATGGTAACCTTCGTATACAGTATACAAGCTAGCATTTCGTTTGACGGCATTTTTTGACAATATCTTTTTGCAATCTTTCCAGATCAAGGCATTCTTTCAACAGCTTTCAACATTAGAAAGCCGATGCCTGGCTCATGCGTTGCTGCAGGCGCGCTTTTCGGACTTGCCTCGGTGATGGCAGTCTGGTCACGGATGGTCCGGCCAGCTGGTGACCCATGAGGGCCTTCCCTGCTTAGCGCTTAGGGATTGGATTAATGCCATAAACCATCCCCAAAATCATCATCAATGGGTGGTATAAACCATCCCCAAATGGTACGTTTTTTATTGGGTCAACCACCTTTTTTTTGTCTCTGACATTTCTGGGTAAGGTTGTCACAACCAAAACATGTGGGTCCTTCTGCTTGAGCTTTGCAGGACAAGGATGGGGCCCCCGAACTTGCCAGCATCTGATTATCTTCATTTATCTTCTATCTTTTTGGCTGTCTTCATCCCAAAAAAAAATGAATTCTCCTGGGGCATCTTCATGAAAAGTCACAGAAACTGTCGTTAAAACGGCCAACATGCCCACGAGCCAAGGCACTGGTCGTAGATGGTGCCTTCCTTCAGCATGTGCCACTTGAAGCCGGGCAAGTAACCTGAACACTTCTTCGCGCAGGCATGGCATCCCCACCGTGAAGAGTGGATGGGTTCCTGGTTTCTGAGTCGTGGCCGTTCAATGTTTTCAAGGCCAGCGTTTTTGTCCAGGGAATCTCATGGGGATTCCAAGGGGTGAAATGTCCCAGGTAGCCGGCCCAGAATTTCACCCATAGGCCATCCCAAAGAGCCCGGGCAACGCATGTTCCACATGTCGTCACGGTAGGCGTTGTGCCGCTTCTTCCTGCATCAAACGCTTGGGAGAACCATTTGTGGTCTGCTCCAGAAACGTATTGTGAATTGCAATGGCGAAGCAACTTCTACCCTCCGGCCATCTGACGTAGCTATTTCAAAATGGCCGGTTTATAGATGATTTTCCATAACTCTGCTGAATTGCCAGAGGGGACATGCTTCGTAAAGTCAATTTCTGAGTTCCGATTTCAAGTTCTGAGTTCCTATTGGTCCTATTTCATATTTGGTTTTCATCACCATGCCGTTCTTTTTTTCCAGATGGCGTGTATAATCTGCACGTCCATTCTGGAGCGTCAGTCGCAGCCCATGTGTTCCGGTCCTTCTGATTGCTATGTCCAATTCCGCCATATGTTCCAATCTCATCCCGAAATATTCTGAAATGAGTTCCCCTTTCTGTGTTGGATGAATGACGGTTTCCAGAACAAAACTTGACAGTCATTAATTGCTACATCATTTCCATTCATTTCCTAGACAAACCACGGCTTTGCCGCTGGAAAGGCTGCATCTTGGTTTAATTGGTTTATGATATTTATGATCGACATCCAGGTTGGTTGAAAAATGGGTGATTCACCCATTTCCGCGACAAACCCCAAATAGTATCAAGTTGCATATCAATATTTAATAATGTATGCAGCAAACATTATACATACACCTCCCGGAAAATATCTCTATGATTTCCCTAAAAACACATTATCATCATTACCCCTCTTTAAACAAATGCCCCAACAGAAAATGCTAGAAATTGCGAGATTAATCCAATATTCAGGATCTTTATACGTATAAATAAATATATTAATACCAGCTAAGCCCAAAAACCCGGAAATCCAACGTTTTTTCAAAAAATGCTCGTTTTTGTTACTGGTGTTGGAATTCCTCCGCCTGTTGAATTTGGTGTGAGAATTTGTTCCGACATGCATTTTTGGGGTTCCTGTGGCGTTCTGAAGGTGGCAATGGCTCAACTTGAGATGCCTGCAGGGTATTCTGACATTTGTTTCTGGTATGCTTGCTTAGGAACTTGCCTTCCATTGCTTCTTGCAACCAGCCATTTCTATTTGGCACAGTTCTGGTGTTCTTGTGGGGATTGTTTTTTTCCGAACTTGTTTTATTGCAATGATGGGGGGCACGCCTACCACTTTGGCCACGCAATTTCTAAACGGGGCAGGTGCAGTTGCTGGTGCAGGCATCATTCAATTGGAAAATGTGTTTTTTTTTCAAAGTGTGAGGACGCAGGATGTCTTCAAGATTTTTTTTGCCGCTGCTTGGGTGAAATTGCGCATGGCAATTGGAGCCACTAGACCCAGAGAAATTCAAAAATAAAGCCGGAGAAATTCCACACCCGGACTAGGTGCGAGAATACCCGGAGAACGAGCGAGAATTCCCGGAGATGGTCGGAGAAAATGCATGTATACTATGTATTCAACCAACTTGTATCAACATTAAAAATATGGTGCTTCAGATTGCTTCATCAAAAAACCTTTTTCCAAACCATAATTTTTAGGAATTTTGACCCCATCGAACGGAACGCACATACATTTCCCAAATGCCAAACACATGGAGACCCTTGGGAAGTGCAAGTGTCAGTGATAACGTGACAAACACATGAATAATTAGCTGCTTTGGGATATTGCGATGACAACTGCCTCCATCGCAACTAGTTTGGTAGCATGTTTTATCCAAGGTTGATATGTTTGATGAATAGGCCCCTGAGGACCATGCTAAGAGTGACAAAACATTTTAAAAAAAAAGTGTGTGTTGTTGTTCGGGATGAACCGCCTCAAACACAGAAAAAAAAAACAACAAGTGTGAGAATTTCCTGTTGGTGTGAGAATTTTCCGGTGAACCCGGAGAAGTGTGAGAATTCAAAAAAAAAATGTTCGTTTTTCAAACTGGTGTTGAAATTCCTACGCCTCGGGCTTCGCTGGTATATACACACACTATGGTTAGAGCCCGCTCTAGGGCCTATATTCTAACATCTATATGCTGCATATACCCCCATGATTTCCCCATTAAAACCTTGATGGCTAGGGATTTCCCAGGCAGCCATGTTTGATTACCGGTACTTCCATTGATCACCATTATTGACCATTAAGTACCATTATCAGCCATGATGATCAAATATTATTGAACCATATTGAACCATGTTCTTTGCCATTATTTAAGCATTCTGAATGGTTCTTGACAAGCTATAATCCATTCCACCATTATTGACCACAATTAAATGATAATTATTCTTAAATGCAGATTAATCATCATTAAGGTACCCCCATGACTAGCAATGAATGTCAAAAAAACTATGATTGCATTTGGGATGTGAATGATGTGAACCAATGTTAACTAAGCAAAGTACCAAAATCATGGGAAATATCCTATGTATATATCCCTTCCCCCCAATATTAAACACCCAGAAACCATATGGTGGATGTCGGGGCTGGGATTTAGACGGATGGCCGTAGGCGGACGAAACGGCCTAGATCGAACTCAATGGACCATTTTCCATAGGTGAAAAATCATCATTGATCATCAATCATCATAGTGATCAACATCATTAAGACTGATTCACCATGACCATTGATCACCATTTCAATGCACCCTCTGGTAATGACTAACAGTTCGCGAACTGGAAAATCACCATGTTGAATGAGAAAATCAACTATTTCGACTGGGCCATGTTCAAGTTCGCAAACTCTTAGTTTACCAGGCCGGGTATCACCATCTATAACCATCGTATAACCGTGGTAAATCACCCCAACCACCCGGAAGTCATCCCGTGCCGCCGTTAAGCGACCCGCCAATGGTTGTGCCATGTAGAGTCTCGGCCACCCGCCGGGCGATCCGACGATCCAGGAACCTGGGGTTTTTGTTTTTTTTTTTCAGCAGAAATCCCATCGGACAATTGGGGATTTAACCATATGTTGAAAATGATTTGAAAATGACATGTGATGAAAATCATGAGTCGGTTTATAAGATCATATGATATTATACATATATATATATATGTATATTATTGATTAGTGTTGTATATATGTATCCCCATGTGTATCCATTCCATTTATAGGCATTTCACAATTTGAACAGGTGATTTTCCGCTGTGGCAGAGCTGAAAAAGCCACTAAGCGACTGCTGCATAACTGGTGAACCATGGTTATGTCATGGTTATGTCCAAATTTAAAGCAAAGCCCAGCATTTCATCATTAGAAAAGAAACAAATGATTCCATGCCCAAACATCACCTGAAGCCAATCAGCTGAAAGTCATGCAAGTATCAGCATCCTTCTGTTGCCTGCATCCTGATCTTGACATATGCGCGGTAGGTCGACCATGTGAAACACACCCTCTGCTCCCCTGTTCATTGCCAATCTTAGATACCCTGCAAAAAAATAGATTCTTTGCTGGTTAGTAGATATTCCCATTGATACCAAAAGACTAAAGGATTAAAGTATCCATTGTAAGATTGACCTAGTGTTCAAACATGAACCCGGGTCATGGTCATGTTGCTGCCATGGCGCTCCACCCACCCCTCAGTGAAGCGTAGCTTCCGGTTGCCGCCGGCACGCTTCCTATTCCTGGGCAGCACAGCGAGCGAGATGAGACCATTGTAACCCCTAAAACGACAGAAAAGTAATGCATGACTATTTTGAGTGGGGTTTTAATGTTCATATGTTATAATATTTTCTGTTTTGGGGCTGCTATAAACATATACATTGACAAATAGAGTCAAATAATTTAAAAATATGCAGTAGATGGATAGATTGACTGATATGTGCATTTGTACGCAATGTGAGTATGCGTAATGCGTGTCCTAATGTACATATACATGCCCATAAATAAGTACAACTATCACCAGCAGCATTTAGGAACCATTATGACAGCCATTTCTTGGTCGTTGACGGCATCTGTGGATTCTCCTTGCCAGGCGGCTCTCAAACATGACCATGTGACGATGTATATATCTATCCCGCTTTCATCTCTACTCCATGACTCGAAGTATATCGCAGTCAAACAATGTGCAACAACAGGGACTTACCAGAGCTAAAGGCACATCAAGAAAACAATTCTTGATGCAACGTCGAGTGTCTGGTGCCTGATCTTCTCCTGCGGAAACCATTGGGACGAAGCAGGGCACATTAGCAAGGTATACACCAACAGCAGAAACATTCTGTTGGTGGTCCGTCGAATAGATTGATCAAACAAGTTCATCTTTGCCAATAGATGATAGGGTGTAGGGTGCCACAATGGCAGTTGGGAGACGATCTCTGTAAATGGAAATTGTCCATTGCCACGTCGGATGGTCAAAAAACATCGTCCATGCCCATCAAGCCCTACCCGCAATCGACATCAATCCACCCCCTGCCTCCGGAGCCAGGTAGACACGACCCACCTCTCCAAACTGCTCCATCAAATGGCGCAGCTTTTGGAATCCCATCACCAGTGGCACAGAGGCAAGATGGATCACACCCTTCCTGGCATAGTGGCTGAGGACACTATGCCAACATATGGCAAAGCAATAGGATCCACCATCCCCGTTACTTCACCAGAAATGGATGGGATTTCAACCATCAAAATAGTGGTTTACTATTGCTTTACTAATTTTAGGGATGTCTTGATATGTCTTAATCACGAGTTTGTAACCATGGTAACATACTGAAATAGTTCAAGTCTGTTCGTGTCCCCCGTTACGCCCTGCAAACGGAGCTTGACATAGGGTGGATTTCCAACCAAATATGTCAAGTGGAAATTTCATGAGATCAACATGTTCAACAGAATTGTGCCCGTCATGCTTGGTCCCATCCGCTTTTTGGGTGGCTCAACTCGCAGAATTGAATTCTCCGACTCCAGCTGAAACCTAAAACTTGACCGTGAGAAAAGTCTGGAAATGCCAGTTTAACACAGTAAACTAATGTTTTTTCTTGGATATCTTCGTTTGAAAATAACCTCTGATAAATAAACCTTGACGATTTAGCGGGTTGCCCGATAGCATTCAACAATACTACTAAAAATGGCTCCTCCCTATCAATAACAGAAAGGCTTGTTGCCAGCGCTGAAATCATCGATTGTTTGTATATATTTGTTTCTTTTTGTCAATATATTACATGATCTGAAGCAATATTGTTGTTTGTTGTCCATGCACAAGCCTTTTCTATTTGAAATGCAGAAGGGCTTGTTGTGGGCGCGCAAAAAAATCCCCCAAATACAGTACATTACATGGTCTAAAGCAAGGTTGGCCTTTTGCTGTCAATACACAAGCCTTTTCTAGTGGAAATAGAGCTTAGAGTGGTTAACCATCATAAATTAAAACCAAGGAAAACAAGGAAAAAAAAACATGTTTTAGGGACTACTCGGATCCAAGGCATGTTCAGACTAGTCTGGAAAACATTGTTTTCTTTTTTCAACTGCCACATCTCATCCGTCCACATCCACTCCACGCCGACCTGTCCACTTGCTCACCCTCAGCTGCACGTCGTTTTCGCTTCGCAGTCGCCTGCGGTCAAGCTGTTGGGCTCCAAAAAAAGCATAGTGATGCACAGTCAAAAGAAAAAAACATGGAACATATGGAACTTCAAAAGTGCTCATAAATAAGTGGCCATTTCAGGTAGGAATTTGCCAACTTCCAAAGCCACGTGCTTTTTGGAGTAAATCGGCAAATCTCCATATTTTAGAGGCATGCTCGTACAACCATGAATCTTGGAAACAGCTCAAGGATAATCCGGCTGCTTAGCTACTGCTTCCAGCTCTTGGGACTGGGGATGGCACAACATTCCAATGTGGTTTTTACTATTTGAAGTATCATTAAGATGTGTGGGCGTAAATCACCGAACTTTAAAAAACAAGGGAAAATGAGAAAAAAACACACCAAAACACGCTAGAGATGTCTAAAAGTAAGAAAAAAACATACCCCAAACCAAGGCAACCAAGACACCGCCCTGGTGGTTTCTTGCGACTCTGACGCCGGCTCCGATGCGAGCGGCGCTTCTTCGACAGCAAGGACTGAGGCGACATCGGCAGCGGCCTGGTAGGGGAGGCTGGCTGTTCGGATAAAGTGAGGAAGACCTGGGAGCAGAGAAGTTAAAGTTGAGTTGATGTTCATCCTGTGCATATTATATCGATATGTATGTGATCATTTATTTGTTTATCTATAATTATAAAAGTATGATTTTGTGCACCAGAATCACAGCTATCTCCGTGCTATTTACCTATAGGGATACAACATAGCGGAACTTATAGCTGCTAGCAAACTCTGGGGCAGATTCAATGGGGGTGCGGTAGGCTTTGCCTTGGGACCGCGTAGCGTGAGTAGCCTATGAATCTGCTCGGTGGTCAATATTGATTGTTTGCTTGCTAGGTTGGTACGCGCTGTGATCAAAGGACCGAAGCCTCATTTCCATCATTCAAACCCAGGTATGTCAGCTACAGTACTTACTTTGATGAAGCAACAAGTGCGCGTTCCAAGACATCAAGTGTAAGTAGTCCGCCCAAGGAATTGAGGGGATACACGGGGGTATCCTTCCCTTCTCAAGTATAATTGCCAAAGAAACCGCTCCTGAAGTCACACCACGTGATTTCACTTTCAAAACTGTAGTATCAAGTAGTATCATTTCTTTTCTGCTTGCATCATCTTTGCATCTTCAATTTCTCCCATATCTTTGGTAAAACCACACGTTTTTTTCATATGGACCTCTTCCAATCCCGGCGCTGGCGCTTTGCGCTTGCGCTTCTTGATGAGCTTCTTGGGCGCCATGGCGTTGAAGCTGGGTGGACACGAATTAAGGGGATCACCACGGGGATATTTTGCAAAAATGGATGTGCTGGTATTTAGCCTCTGGTAATTTAACATAGCTATTGAAAATGGCCCATTTATAGTAGATTTACCCATTGAAAATGGTGATTTTCCATAATTAGTTATTCCGTAATTAGTTATGTTAGTTTACCGGAGGGTAATATCAATTAATAATTAATATTAAAAAAAAACACGTCATGGATATTCATTGATACCACCAACCACTCTCTCGTATGTGCTCTTAAAACCGGTGGATTTTTTGGAATTCTGAATATGACCAAGACCTTGAGCCTGGTCTTGCCCTCAGACATGTTAGAGTGTAAGCTGAGGCTATCTTGATAGCATCACATCCATAGGGTCTGCCATCCAGTCGAGCCGTGTCAGCCGGAAATTTGACATAACTATGGCATCTATGGAAACTCACCAGCGAGTTTAGGTGAATAATCAGCTATCAATAGGCCAATTTCCATAGCATTCCATAGCCATATGTTAAAAATTACCAAAGGGTACTCCATCACTGGTTCGATTTTTTTGGAAATCTTGTCCAACTCACCGCACAGCCACAACAGCGGCGGTGCCGGTACGCGAATCCATCTTTGACACATCGGGTGCCAAGATGTGCTGGAAAAGGAACCACAAAAACTACGCTTTCCTCAAATTTTGAAACTGGCCGAGTTGAAAAAACCAATCGTTTCAAGGTATTATTTCTGGTTGGTCGCACCATATTACATCCAGCTTACGCAACATGAAACTAGTATGGCTCACGCCATAGCAAACTCCCACAAAACACAATTTTAGCACTTCATCACCCCTGTAAAACCGCTCTCAAATGAATTGGTGTTACCCACTTTGCCCCTCTGAACTTAGGTAATTAATGACAATTAATGACCAAAGATTTTTGCTTACAAACAGTTGACCTCAAAATTGATTGACATATCCTCCGGTAAACTAACATAGCTATTGAAAATGGCCCAGTCGAAATACTTGATTTACCCAGCTATAAAATGGTGATTTTCCAGTTCGTTATGTATGTTTACCAGAGGGTAACCATCCCCAATTTCACCATAAATAGGTGGTATAATGGTGGTATAATGGTGATATAAACTCCCAAATGGGTGGTTTCTGTGGCAGTTTACCGGGTATTTGTTGCTGTCCAGTTCACCCCGTTGCGCGAACCGCCCCGCAACCGGCGGCCCTCCTTGGTTCAAGAAATCCGCAGCGCGCTGCGCCGCGCTGCTGGGGCGATCCTGCTGCTTGGAAGACTGAAAGGCCTGGCTGCCCATCCCCAAGCCATGCCTGGAAAGTATGATCAATGGCCATTCCAGGATCCGATTTATTGGAGGTACCAACCATATATAAGGCCTATATAAGGCCTATGTAAGGGAATATCCCCACAAAATATGGCCTGAAAAATGGTACAGTACCTCCATTTTAGGATCCTGGAATTCCCATTGATATGAGAAAAATGAGAAAAGACATAGGAAAAGTATGGGACATGAGGAAATGATGAAGCAAACTGTTGCATATAATCTATAAATATCTATAAATATCTACATGCATATTTTGGGGGAAGTTGCGATTATATCATTTCAATGTCTAATGTCTTTTACTGGCAGAACTATAATTTGAAAGTTGAACGTTTACAAAGTTAAGAGATGCACTTGGCTCCAGGATGTTGTAGTATGGGAGTAATCCCGGTATTATCACTATTTTTTTTCCTCATTAAAGACCTAGCATATATAGCTGAATTGTTTTTTTAGATAGCTGAAACATGTTACACCACCATGTCTTGTGTGTATAGTTGACTAAATTGAGAAAAACTCGTTGCTTTGGTGCGTTCAGGAATCGCAAATTGAGAAAACCTCTAGGAGCGGAACCCCGCAAAATTGCCATTCTTCAACCACAGATTTTTTTTGATGATTTGTAGTCCTGGGGGTATTAAAAAAAAGACATGATAATCATGCTTTTCAGAACTTTCACATGAGAGGCCTGTGATTCCAAGTTACCAGTTGTCATCCGGTGTCATCAAACATGGCAGCCATGGATGCAATTGGGAAATCCCAAAATCCTCCATTAACATGGGTCATTAAATGTCCCCATTGAACATCACCCAACCATTAGGTATATGGTCTATAATGGCTACTATAAGGTGATGTCCTATATTCCCAAAATGGGACAGTTACCAACCCCTGTTAAATGTTCGATGTTTTCCCCATCAAAAACCTCCAGGTTTTTGGCGGATCCAGCCGCCGAAAACCACGCCTGGTGAAAGGCTTGGCCCGCCCAGACCAGATTGGCCGCCACAGGATCTGACGACATGTCTGGTGCAATGTGGCTTTCACAATGGGGACATGGTAAAACCACAGATGTTTCATGCAAAACACCAACCACTACTCCATTTCAAGTAAAATGGGGATAAAATGGGATAAATATTGATAAATATTGATTATTGGGTTTACCACCATCATAATGACATTACATTCTGGCGTAGGACCCTATTAACTTCGATGTCCCGGCCTGTGATGTGCTTGGCATTCTCAACCTTCCATTCTGTGGCCTCCCATCATGAAACAGCTTGGGAGGGAGGTTCATTACTCCGAGCTCAACACTAAATCGAACAACTAGAGTCGGAAGTCTCAAATTTGGACATGCACCCACTCAAGAATTAGGCAGCTGGCAGCACAATTTTGGGCATTGGATAGGTCACGTTCATTTCTTTTTGGGTGTTGAACTTAGAGCCCAACGCACCGTGGTGAACATTGCTGTAGGTACACCGCCGATACTCTGGGCAGCCCACTGTAATGATAGACGTTCTTGGTTTCTTCGAGCATGGCTGAGCTTGGACCATATCATTTGATGGTTTATACATATATATATGTGTGTGTGTGGAAATTATTTATACATAAATAAGTATAAATTCATATATACTGATCTTGAAAACTGGAGGTATTTCGGGTTTCCCATGGACACTGGACTAGCACTGAGCTTACTGGCTTGCCACATTCAACAAACATTCAACAAGCTGGTGTCCCCATTTGATCTCAATGGTAGTATCTATTGTGAAACACCAATCTTTGCTGGCAAACATCCATTAAACTGGTTCCATCTGGTTCCTCAACCATCTATCCTTCAGAACTTTAACCTGACACTGGAAAATCACCCGTTTACATCCGTTTACCTTAGTTCCGCTCCGCGATTTCCCCAGTTTTCCCATTAAAACTGAGAATTTTCTGGCCTTCACAGAATTGCTTCAGGGCCCTAGGGTTGGTTCTTGTAGATTGTTCCTCGGGCAAATCCATTGAAGCTAGCTAAATTTAGTAATCCCATCCCGCGTTCATACCGGGTTCATTAAACATGCACCCTCTAAGTCTCTAAGTGGCCCCAACATGTGGAAGTTCCCTATTCGACCATGGTTTCTTGGGCCAATGTGAACGGGGGATGGGATCATGGTCGGGTTACAAGAATACCCTCTCTCTCGGCATAAATATGTATATCCACTGGATCCCAGTGAATCCCAAATAAACTACAAGAAAATCCCAAGTATATAACTGGTTGGTGGTTGAGCCTACCCCTCTGAAAAATATAAGTTGGTCAGTTGGGATGATGAAATTCCCAATATATGGGAAAACAAAATTCATGTTCCAAACCACCAACCAGATAAATCACCAGATGCTCAGGTTGCCAGGGGTCACCACCTGCAGGGCTGCCCCTGGGCTGCCAGACCATCGCAGTGACGATGGGCTCGATCAGCTGTCGCTTTGTCCTTACCGTGCCTGTGGCATTCATAATGGGAATTGGCGAAGAACTGTGATATCTGGGCTACTAAGGTTAGTATCTGGGCTTTATCTCAACATATCCAAGTTGTAGCGAAATTTGCCTCCGGATTTTTTTTCGTCGTCTCTGGCATTTGCCAAGTAACCATTAGGGCGGGTGACCCAGGATTCAAGACCTGGAAGGTTGCATCCCGGGATGAATGCAGCACATGAAAATGTAGCATTTAACCCTCGTATCGTATATTTCCATCAGTTGAGCGTGACGCCATACCTTCCCCCGGAACAAAAGCTGGATGTATGGCTATCAAGCCCTCATCATATGGATTTACATGCTTATAATGTATATACCCTCTAGATCCCTCTAGTAAATTAACATAGACCTTGCCAGATAGGGGTTGGAAGATTAGTTTCCACTAAAGAAGTTGTTATTTTCAGGGTCTGTCCAAATTTACCAGAGGGTAATGATATTCTGGACTTGGCAGGGCTGACTCCTGCGGGGACCCTGCTTGGATGCTGCGGTACCACCCAGGATTTAGAGCATTTGGGTTGGCATTCCCTTCATCGTTCCATGCTTGGCACTCTTCCGGACAGAAATGAACACCCGCAGTCTGTGAGTAATTTTTTTGCAAGGTGCATACTAATATGCTGCATATATGCACACATACGCACCAATATGTTCAACCATATCAAACCGCCCAATTCTCCCGACAGAAAGGTTGATATTGAATGAGGTTATATACTCGGTTGAAATGAAATGATTTTTTTCATGATATGAAACTAAATGGCATATTGAATGATATCGATATAAAATGAGTTCATACGATATTAATAATATTTAAATGAATTTAAGCCACTAACCATCCACTCCCCAGAGCTTTAAGCAGAGCCCCAGAGCCCCAGGGCACCCAGCCTGGTGATTCGACGACCGCCCGCTCGATGGCTTGACGAATGGCATGGGGCTCCAAATCCTTTGCCTCGGAAAGTCGTAACATGTCGTAACTTGTGGCTGCAGCTGGGGGTCATGAATGATATGATAAAACATGGTAATAACTAATGTAATAACCAATGCAACATGATAAAACCATACAAAACCTCTACAGTTATTGAAAAATATACATACACACGCACACACATATATATATATATTATAATAATAATAACAATAACAATAATAATAATAATTAACCCGTTTATGAGTGGCACTGTGATAACTTAACCCCCAGTAGAGGATCATCAACTTCTTTTACGTGGTTAGTAAATGGGCGGTTCCTATCCGGTTATCAACCTATGCGCTGAAAGGGGACTTGGCTAACAACCTGGTTCAGTTACTAAGTGGGATGACCCTCCAAGTAGGGTACATATTCTTCAGTAATTAAACATTGTGGAAACTATGGATGAAAATGACCAATTGAGTTAAATGATCTACCTGAATCTACGTATTCAAAAATCATGTTGTCCATTGCTTCTTCAGAGTTGTGTGAGATTTCGAGAGGGTATATTATTTTGGGGATGGCTTCAGTTCATGTTCATTCCACCCATGAAATGGGGTTGGATTTGCCGCCCGGGCTGAAAGATCCCAATGGTAAGAGGATCTTCAAATGAGCTTGGCACGTGACTCGTATAAATGGTTGGTGAATAGGCTTACTTGAATAACCACGTATATTTTTAAGTAAAGCAGTAGGATCCACCATCCCCAAATTTACCATAAATTAGGTGGTATAAACCATCAACATATTATTGAGTTTGGGAGTAAAGACTGCCCGTGCGAGTCAAGCCTCATGTCTCTAGTTACTAACATTGACAGGGATGTTTGCGGATGCCACAGCTCCTCGCCCCCTCATGAGGTCCAACCTCCATTTCCATTTGAAAACTCAATACCTGAACATATGGCTAACTACTTCAAAATGTCTGACCATTTCATATGGGGAAAATTGGTCTTAAAACATCTTAAAACAACATGTGTTTTGCTTGTTCCCTAAATCTTCAGGTGCCAGATCATCAAAAGATCATTCATGATCATTCAGTAGTTAAACTCCTAGTGTTCAAAGTTAAATCCGTTTTGTCCTGGTTAAATCACAATGAAATACCTGGTTTCAAATCCCATGTCACCTTCAACCCATCCCAAAACACGCCTGGGCATGCAATCCAGCCGCCAAACCTGCAACCTGTGCTGCTACTTCCTGGGGACAGGCTTGCAATATGATCAACATGTTAACTTTTAGCCCCCATAGATCTGAAACTCATGTGTAATGATCATGATTCTTCCTATTGTCAAGAAAATGGTAAACCATGGTAAACCCAAAAGACCCAAGTCATCTCAAATCATTGACATCTGGGAAAGGGGGGAGTGGGTCAAAATTTGGAGCCATGAGACAACCCCAGATGTCATTCAGATCTGATGCATGAATCAATGAAGTAACATGGCAGTATCCCCAGTAACGAAGCATGGTTTGCTGGAAAATCATGAAAATCCCACATCTATAGATGATTGTTCCATGAACAAAACCGGCAATCTTCGAAGGGATTTCCGATTTTTTAATCTTTGATTGCCAAAGGGTTTGTCGGATTTTCCCTATACCATCTGGTTATTTAACATAGCCATGGAAAATCCCTGATAAATGGAGGTTTTAATGGGAAATTCATCTATAAATGGGCCATCTATACCATGGCTATGTTAAATAACCAGAGGGTAAATCCTATAAACATCCAGCCTGGGGATTCCCCATTCCACTTCTGGATCGGCTGGAGGGTGATCCAAAAATTTTGAGCCATTTTTTTATCTGGGATCACCAAAAAAAATGAAAAAGATCACCCATAAATATATAAATATATATATATAACTCATAAAGATCCATAGGGATCCATAGGGATATAATGGATATACCATGAAAATAAGCAAGAACAGAGCATGAAAAACTCCACCAGTTGTGGTGATGGCTGTCCTCTCGCTGCTGTTCGTTCCAGTCGCTTTGGACCATGGACTTCCATGCAGCGTGCCGTGCTGCCTGCAGCGATGCGGGGCTAAGAAGATCTTGGTAGATATTTCACAACCCCTAACTGGTTGGTGGTGCAATAACCCTCTTGAGAACAGATGGAGTTAGTCAATGGGAAGGATTACAGGATTATCCCATACATTATGGAAAATAAAAAATGTTCCAAACCACCAACCAGCTAAAAATGAGAGTGTAGTGAAAAGTTAGCTAGATTCAAGATAGGTGCTAGAGGGCTTAGCGAGAATTCAAGAATATATGGTACGGTACGGTTGGGAAATGTGTTTTCCCTGGTACGTACGGTTGGTACGATTGGTTGATACGGTTGGTACGGTTGGTTGGTACGGTTGGTACGGTTGGTACCGTTTGTTGGTACGATTGAACCGTACCAACCGTACCCAGAAACCGTACCAGTGAAGCGTACCACCGTACCGTACCAACCCTACCGTACCAAGCGTACCAAGCGTACCAAGCGTACCAAGCGCAGCGTACCCATCTTATAGCTGGATATCAAGCACCTATCTTGAGTTTAGCTAAGTGAAAAGTGGCAAATCCTGGGAAATATGAAGTAAATAAAACGGCAAGTATCTTCTCCAAAATCCTTGGAAAGGCGCGCATCTTTCCGCATCTTTGCATCTTTTTGGCCGTTGCTTTGGCTGGCCATTCGAGCTGGAAAATCCCAATGATAAATTTGAATGGGAAAATCACGGATTTTCATTGCCATGTGTGATTGCCGGATGGTACAGCGTGTGTGTGTAATACACCTGAGCTGGCTGGCAAAGCCAAATTTTTGTTGATAGGGTGTGGGCGATGGTTTAGCACACACACACACACCCGAAATGAAAGGAATAAAGATGTCAACATGACCAATCTCGCGTAAAATGTCCAGCCGCCTGAGATTGCTTGCGTTGGGTAGGTAAGCATATGAATGGCGGTATCAGATATCACCATCCAACACGGGCAATACGGGTATCACACCCCCATCGTCATGGGGAGTCAACCAATCCCCTAGAAACTTCGGCCCGCCGCGACCAAGATGCGCAAGACACTTTATTAATCTTTATTCCCATTAATTTTTTTGGTTTTCTATGGTTTTCTGCCATTAAATGACACAAATTACATACTGTTACCGTAACTAATTGGATCCTCAATTTTTTTGAGAAATGCAAAGAAATGCCGCCTTTTTGTTCGTTTTAGATCCACTATATAAGATCCGCAAAAAAAATCTGCTCAAAGATCTCCATGGTGCCCGTGGTGCCCTTGGTGACCCATTGCGACTCTACACTCATGACATTTATTTACCATCTGGTTATGACTAACATAGCCATGGAAAATCACCATGCTATTAATAGGTAAACCATCTATAACTGGGCCATATATACCATGGCTATGTTAAATAAACAGAGGGTAATATCATTTGCATCATGAACTTGATGATTACTCATGTCATATGTTCATGTTATTTCACTACCAATATTATCGTCTGGTGATTTTGTTCAGCTTGCCCATAAAAGCCATGGCCATCACCATCATGACACAGCTCGGTTGGATCATCTGGATCACCGTTAAAAATAAACGATAAAAACAGCATTACCCCCTGGTAACTAACATAGCGATTGAAAAATTAAATCACCATAACATCCCAATAAAAATTTCATCAAATCACCATAACATCCCAATAAAATCGCCATCAAATCACCATAACATCCCAATAAAATCGCCATCAAATCGCCAATAAAATCACCATAACATCCCAATAAAATCGCCATCAAATCGCCAATAAAATCACCATAACATCCCAATAGAATCACCATATGTCACCATAAAATCGCAATAAAATCGCCACAAAATCCCTAGAAAATCACTATGAAATTTCACTAATTTCTACTAACCCCTGTGGCCCAGGTCCAGCATGGCCCAGGCACCTCCACACAGGACTTGGCCCCCGCAGTGGCCAACCCAGCTGAGAAGCCCGCGGCCAAGCAACGGAGTGCCATCTGGCGTCTGCTTTAAGGTGGAATGGGATCCATAATCAACATTAATCAACCATACAAACCCTAGGATTTATCTGTTTTAGGGCACTTATGATAGTGTTTGCGACCTTGGGATCTCTGTGTTGTTTTAGTTTATGTTTAAGTTTATGTTTAAGTTTCCATGAATTTGGCATAGTCGCAAAAGATGTGACATGTTCCCAGTTCTTTTGACATCCAGTTGAGGGAAAAAACTATTGATATTGATGGTTGCTGTACATTGATGGTTTTAATCGATTTCTGGTTCTGGTTACATGGAGGGTCACAATGGTTGTAAGAGTTTTATTGTAGTTGTTCAAGGTATAAAATTTGGCAGACCCAAAACCCTAAACCATTCCCAATGACTTTGAAGAGATGGGTGACACTGATCATCCCCAAACAAAAACAAAAAAAGGTGACTCCCACGTCCATCAAGAATACGGCCGCATGAGGGGGGACGTTGGACTTGGTAACTTCTTGAATCAAAGTGAACTGTTGAACTTTTAAATGGATATAGAAACGCCCAGAGATAGAAAAGTTTCTGCCAATATTGTACTATTGATGTGTTTCCATGCTTCATGATTTTCCCATGTCTTGAGTTTTTCCATCGTTTTTTTCCATGTTTCCCCGTTGGTCAAAAAATGGCGGGATGCGCCACACCGGCTCCGCCGAGGTCATCAAAGGGTCCATCTTCTGAAAATGACCAATTTATAGTGGAAACTCGTCTTCCAAGCCCTATCTGGCGGGGTCTATGTTAATTTACCGGGGAGTATGTATATGCATAATATACATATACATATATATATATATACATATGCATACTAGCATCAAATGAGGACTATTCACGAAGCCCATCACCTTGCGACATTTGGTCATCTACAATAGGCACCTGCCAGACCTTGGCACTACTTGGCACCTGATTCTTCCCAGGATTAGCCCTGCAGATAGATAGATAGATAGATAGATAGATAGATTAGATTAGATAGATAGATTAGATTAGATTAGATTAGATTAGATTAGATTAGATTAGATTAGATTAGATTAGATAGATAGATAGATTATATCTGTATGTGTATATTATATATATATACAAATAGATGTGTGCGGATGTCTGCATATATGTTTATATTTGTTTATCTCAATTTTCTGTTTCTACGCTTTCTATGACCACAGATCCAAACTTCACGATGCGTCCATGTTATTTGATCCATCTTTGCTAGCTCCCCACTAGGTGCCTACTGTGGATGGTTGCGAAATCCTGCACCACCAAAAGGATGGTTGAAATCCTATAGAGTCTATAAATTTCGGGATGTTTACCATCTATCAACTGGTGCAGGATTTCGCAACCATCCACTACCTACCAATGCTGCCCAACTACTTGTTGGCTCTTGGGCAAGTCCGCCGCCACTGCGTCTGCTGCTGCAATGGTTTGAGACTGCAAATCCTGGACCAGGATGGTTGAAACACCCCTTGAAACATGTCTGATTGGGGGTCATCAGGCTAGGTAAGGGTGGAACAGTACTGTATATAGCAAATTAATAGGGGTCCGAACATGATTCAAAAATGGAAACTGACAAGTCAGTTTGGGTGCCAATTGCCTGAAAAACAAATATGTTGAAGTGTTTTTCACTTTCACGGTGCACAAACAGAAGTCCGAAGCTACTCATCTGCAAAATCTGCCAACAAGTAGCGCATTTTCAATACAATGTCTGATGGCTAGGTGCCAATCCCCATCATCCAAAGAATCAGTCAAAATTTTGCAACTCAAGACCGAGTGAGAAAATAAAAGTGGAGTTTGCTAAGTGTACTAATGTGCACTATGCAGCCCTATACACACACACCAAAAAGATTCATCTGGACACCGCACAGGTTTGCCGCTCCCAGGGAGTAGACTTTCGTCCCTTGGTGGCAGAGACCACCCGGGGCATGGACGACAGATGCTGTGTCTTGCCCCTCGCCGTCTGACTCTTCAGCTGCTCTTCTGGCAACTCTTCCGTGCTTCTTCGTGATCTTGGGCTTCGTCCTGTGAGACCCCTTGTTGATGTTTTGCCCTGGTTTTGTCTTTTCCTCTGAGTTCTTCTTCGCCAGAGCGGTCTCCCCGCTTAATCAGTTGGAGACATGACCTTGTGAACCCATCTTCATCGGGCCGGGTTTTCTTTTAACGTGCTTTCATGCAGCAGTTTCTCCCTTGTTTCTTCCTTTTCAACCGGCTTTGCGACCACCAACCACTGATGAGTCACCGCTGGAGAGCCATGTTTATTTCTAGAAGTTTCACTAGTCTAGCGTTCAGTATTTGGGAACCTACGTTCATGTAGATCTGTAGTGAAGTTGCTGAAATATTGAAAATACTATGTTGATCCAAACATGTCATATCATCAATTTTCTGGTTCATGAGTTCAGGACCGAAGACCCAATACCCATTCTGTGGTTTCAGTAAACATCTACAGGATGAACAGGACGAACTTCATGACATTATTGTGTCACATTATTTCCCTGCACGTTTGAATGGAGAAGCCCAAGAATACAGGAAAGCAATGTGTCACTATTTCAGGTGGATTTGATTTTTCTATGGTTAATTGTGGATTGTGGTGGTTCCTTACGGTTGATGATTGATGAATTGATGATGTTTAATGATGATTAACCATTGGCTTGTGGAAATTCCTATCTGTTAAAGAAAATCATCACTACTATAGATCTTAAAGATGATCTTACCTATAGTGAACCATGAATTGTAATAGTGAGCCATGATTTCTCTTTAGTTGTGGTTGATGATCAATGATGATGATTGATGATTAATCGACCAAAGTTCCGCTATTGACTGACCATCATTAAACATCATTCAATTCACAATATGAAACCATCATGTCCACCATATTAAACCATCATTAAACCATATTAAAGCATCATTTCGCTAGTAAACCATGAACTATTGGCTGGTGGTAATAAATTTCTATCTTTTTGTGACCTGCAATTTACAGGTCTCATCCCCATCCGTTCCGGTCCACCTTGCCCTGCAGCTGCCCTTCGACGAAGCCGGCGGCGGCCGCGGCGGCGGCGGCACAAAGCTCCTGCTGGACGTACGGCAAACCGCCTTTCCTCAGTGCTGGGGTGAATATGGTGAACCAAATGTCTGGTTGCGCAATGGGATTGATGTTCCAGTCATGGAAAACTATTTGGATAACACACATGTCAAACATATACTGACATATATATATATATATGTAAATTATACTTATACAAATATTCAATATGTCTGTGGATGAGCATGATTGATGTCTGGATGATACATAATATGTTGTGGTCAAACGCCCGTTTTGGTGATATTTTTGCGGATCTAACCACTCAAATGAGATTGCATCATATTTCGGGGGAGATGGTCTTACCTACAGAAATTAGCTGTATATATAACGCCCAAAAAATTGATTGAACCCCCAGATTTTGATTATCATCGAGGACAATCTGTGAATGAATCAACGGGGGTTTCTTGATGCGGGGCTGACATCATTTATGATGAGCTGGTCTATAGCTGGTGATGGTGCTTTGGTTTAGCACTTTCGCAGCATCTACTACTGAGAAAACCTGGTTGGTGGTTTTAGCCCTCTTGAAAAATATTAGTCAATGGGAAGGATTATCCCATATATTATGGGAAAAAAAAATGTTCCAAACCACCAACCAGAAACTAATGTTGAGAAAGGGATCTTGGTTCCATCGCGACCTGGTGAGTACCTATTTCGGCTCATGAAATCCAGTTCTTTCTTAGTGCCTGACCGAAACAATGCCCCTTTAACTGTGCGTAAAAGACATCTGTTGGCCGGGTCCTGCCCCATTTTGATTGGTCAGCTTCCGAGTTGGGGGCTAGTGAAATGTAGACATGTCGTGTCTCTTCTTTATTCAATATCCATCAATATCCAGCCACCATGTTTATATTCTTAAATCCGGCTATTCATCTGTTTGAAGCAAACCTTTTTGCTTCACTCCCAATTTGTTCTGGTCACAGCGCCATTTCCTCCTATGAAAACCGATTTTGCCAATCAAATCCAGAATCTTGGCTGCTCAAACCTCAACCTTGCTTTCAAACATCCATGGTCAAATTTCACTGGTGATGCTCTTAAATGCTCCACAGTTCATCTCACCCGGCCGGGTTCATTGGATTGTCCTAATTTCATTGGGGAAACCGGCCAAAGAAAACCAGCCAGTTTCACAGTCTCCGCATGAGATTTTCTCTTCAATCAATCCTAAACCTTCTTAAAACCTATTGAAGCTACCCTCTGGTAAACTAACAGTTTGCTATTGAAAATGGCCATAGAAATAGTGGATTTTCCCATGAAACATGGTGATTGTCCAGTTCGCTATGTTAGTCATAACCAGAGGGTAAACACCATCAAACCTGTGGACTCCAGTGATGAACTGTCCGCATTTTGGAAACAGGAGGCAGCGCCAGATCACGTGCCGCCCCAGCGGACAGCGTCACGATCTGAAGCAGGGACCCAGGGACCCAGGGACCCAGGGACCAGCGACGGGAACGTAACGGAGACATAGAGTGTAGTACCTGGGCACCTTGACCTGGGAAAATATCTGATTTCATTTGTGTATATATATATATATGGGAATTTCAATATGACAAAAAACGTTTTTTGGGGGGAATATCCCCATATACAACTATTTATATTACTTATATAGTGGATCTGGGGATATAATTAATAATGGGTTATCGGATGGATATTTTGCAGATGAAATATACAAATATAAGTAATTACATAATGTTTGGGATATGCTCTCATGTATAATCGTTCATCAAATCTGATCCCACTTCAAAACTATTGTGATTTAACATGGAGATACAATGGGATATCATATGAATATAATGGGGCATGTAGCCAACTTAGACACGTAGTAACTGGTTTTTGTGTTGTGGGGTTAGTTTCCTCAGGCCGGGATAAGGGAACCATCCCAAACCACCAGAAAAATTGTGGCTTTGATACTGGGGTGTTTTTACCACCAAACATACGGAAGTAATATCATATAACATCAAAATAAATAAATAAACATATATATATATATACACATAATTTTGCTGGAAATTTGCCATTAAAACATCGCAATTAATTACCATCAAGACGTTCAATCTGTTGGAGAGACCATTCCGCCAAAACTTTGCCATCGCCCAAGTAACGTTGCTTTTTAGTTGGCACTACGCGCCGTGTGTGCATGCACATGCCCCAAGTGCATGCGTACATGCACACACACGGATATGTATATATATATATATTATCATTTATTGTACTTATCTTACATGCATGCCAATAGATAGATAGATAGATAGATAGATAGATAGATAGATAGATAGATAGATAGATAGATAGATAGATAGATATATAGAGATAGATAGATAGATTAGATTAGATTAGATTAGACTAGAGTAGATTAGATTAGATTTAGATTAGATAGATAAATACATAGATATATGGACATACATACATGTATATGTGTGTGTGTGTTGTGCATGTGCATGTATGGGCAATACCGTCTGAAAAAACCGAATCATTTTGGGATCCCTCTGGTTATTTATGTTATTTAACATAGCTATGGAACATGGCCAATGTTTAGATCATGAACGTGATTTCTCTACCTCTTAACCATGCGAATTTTCCATCGCAAATGGTACCTTTACCATGATTCTGGGTCAATTCTAACATTTCACCATGATTTCACCATGAATCTTGCGGCCATGGCTGGGGATGATGTCCCTCAAATCAACCATGATTCCAGGCGTCGGTCGCTCGGATTCAACCCCCCGTCCACCTCTTCCTGGGACTTTTTCCGACCCTCCCAGGCCTGGCGATGCGCGACCGAAAGCAACACGTGTTTTCCATGTAACAACCCGCCAAGAGAAAAACAACATCCTACTGAAATGAAGGCAACATATTCCTATCAACAAATCAACACTGTTCGATTTTTTTGGGGGTCAGCTATAGATACGAGATCTTATCTTCTGCCAATTCGATGGGGTATATGGGGAACACCAAGTTGAAAGAGCTGCATCTGGCACCAGCAACAGAACATGTGGAGAAAGTTGGCAGGGCACTCCAACCCCACGACAGGTTGGCAATGGCGATCAGTCATATGACCCTTCAAGTTTTCTGGGCACGCAATGAGTTTACAATTCTCATAGGTCAGCACCATTGTGACTTGTAAATCTAACGTTAGTGTTTCTTGCGAAACTCCCATGCTCTGCAGTGCATTGCAGATGAAGTATGATCAAGTATTTTCTAAAGAAGCCCCATGCAAAAAAGGTAAATCCCAAGCTTTGAAGGATCCTAAGCTTTAGAAAATCCCAAGCTTTTTTCAGGATCCTTACGATCCCCTGCGCTTTTTTCAAGTATTTTCTAAGGATCCCAAGCTGCAAAAGATGGGTCATTTTCCAATGCAAAAAGCGATCCTGCCGCGACCTGCCACGACCCAGTTCCAACATCGACCTGTTGGAATTCAATGAGGTTCACCTCGGAGTCCTCTGCCCAAACAAAAAATCGACCGGCTGATCATCCCATGGAGCTGGCGAAAAAAAAAGATGGTTGTTATAGATGATTTTGGCTATCTTTTAGATGGTTATCTAAATTTTCTTATTACTATGATAGCCATCTATCAATCTGTGTTAAAAAGATGGCTTTTATAGATGACTATCATACTCACGTATCAATCCTAAGAATAACTTATACCCAATGTGCTAAAAACCCCCATGATAACATATGCCCATTTGGAGTTTATGACATTTGCTGGGGGCCCCTATGATCATAGGTGATGTTTTCCATAACCTCCAGTCATGGTTGGTTAATTCGATGGTTTAACACTTTTGTCGGTGATGAATTATCATAAAACGCTCAAAAAAAGGGCGTGCACATCGAAGTAAGGGATGATGGTACGTCACCCCGGCAATAAGGCCTTCTTTGCTTGGCACCCTTGGTGTGGGATTGATAGGTGCCATAAAAGGATATTCGGATATTCATTCAGTGAGATCACTTGTACTTGCCAAGACTTGTACAAGTCCCATGACTTCCAAAAAAGAGGGATAGCAACCACACATGTAGACTATGTAGACATCTGGTAAACTGTCACATAACTATGGAAAAAATCACCATTTTTAATGAGAAAATCAACTCTTTCGACTGGGCCATTTTCAAGTTCGCAAACTGTGAATGTCATTACCAGAGGCTACAGTCATCAATCATCATTAATCACCATGAAAACCATCATTAAATTGATGACTGTAATGATTATTAACCATTATTAACCATTATTAACCCTTATTAACCATTATTGACGGGGTAAAATGTCCCATTGGGCATGATCTCAGCAGCGATCATCCCATGAGTGAATCACCGGTCATGGACGGTCCTTGTTGAGATCGACCTTCTCAAACGACGTCTTCGTCGTCCCTCCCAATGCCATCAACTTGGAGAAGGCCTTACGAAACCTGGAAGAATCTGGAAGATATGGCTGGATGGTGGGTTTTCAATGGTTTTCATGTGTTCTCTGTTTAATGGATAATCCTAAGAACTATTAGTTGCTTGTTTTGGAGGTATATCCTCAAGAATAACATGACTGGTTGATTGATTGGAGAATCGTGACCTATCTTTTCTTCTACCCCGATATTCACGTTTCTCACTCACACTCCATCAAATGCAGATATAGATGATATAGAAGACCGGAAGACCCATGGATTCGCTGGGAGATTATCATATAGAATATGGTAAATGTCCCATATCTATGGCAATTCATTGAAGGGTAAACCCTCCAATAAACACCACCTAGCGACTCAGTAGGCTCGACCATCCCATTTTTGTCCAGGTCCATGTGGGCGAAACTTTGTTGGCTACCTGGCTTTGGCTTTGTAAGGATAGCTTGGATGGCAATTTGAGCTATCTGGAAACAGATGAACACATTTTAAAAACAGACAACTGATCTGGAAAAGAAACGTTAAAATTGTACCTGGTGAGGTATTGAGGAGCCATGCGAGTTGAAAGCCATCAGAGACATTGGTTGGTTGTCTTCCTTCTTTTGCATCCAACCAATGCTGCAAAACGAGTTGGCACCGGACGCATGCAACATGCACTATAAGATGGCTATATGCTACAATCAGTGCCAAAACGCTCCTTTGCATTGTTTCCCAGGATGTCCATGTTTGTCGACGGTGTGAGGGCGCAGAGCACAACAAAAAAATGATGTCCAAGCAATATTCTCGATGAATTATAGTAGTTCAAGGATGTTCAAGGAGTAAATCACTAAAGTAAAAATAACATAGGGCCACTATATGCCATTATGATAAATCCAACTATCTATCCATCTATCTATGTATAAATATATATATATACATAAATAGTACCTCCTATATTTATCCAAAAATCCCATGGAGATCACCCACCGTGGCACCTGAACCTGTTTTCTGGAGAAGTTCCGACATGGAGGCGTCCTGTGCGGCGGAGCACCGTTCTCCCATGGGAAACTGAACCAGGTCCTGTCGCATGTATGTAAAACAATAGAGAACAGATAGATAGATGGATAGGATTGGATAGGATTGGATAGGATTAGATTGGATTGGATTTGACTAGATTAGATTAGATTTAGATTAGATTAGATTAGATAGACGGGTAGATAAATAGATACTGTAAATAAATAAATTGATCTCTCTCTCTCTCTCTCCTTCTCGACATGCTTGTCTCAATATGTGAGAGGGAAACTGCTCGTGCAAGAACGACATGGAACTGTATGATCATGACCAGGTACATCCCTACAGGGTCCTGCTATGTACCAATTGTCAAATAATTAATGATGTCACTATCTTTGGGGAAAAAAAGCGTAATGTGGTAAACCCAAGAATAAATCCAACAAACATCCTATATAAACTTCCCAAACCCTAAACCGACCATTCGGGGATGGTTGGAATCCCACCCATTGTATATTTGGGATGTATGGCATTGGCTCCTTCGCCTCTTCCACAGCGTGTCTAGCAGCAAACTGGCTGGCCTGCGCAGGTTCCATGGACAGAAACATCTTGGGGCAGTGGAAGTTTTTAGATGAACCATGGGAGGTTTTAGATGGGAATGAAACAATGGAATTACAATTAGAACCCCCATAAGTTGGGATATAAATGGATATAAATCCTATGCCAATATAGTCACAAAAGCGTGATAGAACCACTTACCACTGGAACTACAAACCTGGGTGATTTCAAGATGTTCAAGCTGGAAATGACCATTTCAACATTTACATCCATTGCACAACCTCGTTACTGCAGCTATGACTGGACCTGAACAGCTGCCGCAAAGAGCTCACCTGCAGCCACCCAAGGGTGCCATTTTCGGGCCATTTCCGGTGGATTCAAGTGGTTACCCTATGATAAACTAAGATATATGTGCACATATAATCACTGGATATCTTGGGAAATGGGAAACATAATAGTATACAATGTTATAGATATTATAAACCAATGGTTACCAATGTTTTTATATCTAGTGGGTGTCCCATTCGGAAAATGATTTACAAACACTGGATTGTCCAGATCTATGTAAATGTTCAACTGCCTAACCTCCCAATGCACCGATCTTCCGAAGGTAAAATCTGGGGCCTTATATCACCATCATCCCAAGAACTTCGTCGAACGTTGCTTGAACATATGTCGATCGTTGCCGCAACGGGAAAATCCACCGTCCACCTATATATAGCACGTATATATATATATATATATTTGTTTATTTAGTTGTGTATTTATTTGTTTTATTTATCTATTTACTTTTTTATTTATGTGTGTGTGTATCCTTGTATCATCCCATGTTTCTTTATATGTCTAAATGTAAATATAATATATATATATATATATATATATTATATATATATGTATATATTATATATATGTATATATACTGCAGTCTTTTTATGCCTGCTTTTTTGTGATGTGTATGATGTGTATATATGTGTATCACATGTGCGTGTATCCATCCATCAATTCACATCAAACCGGATCTCATCTCACATGTCCTCGCACCACGGCTGGTCAGCCAGGGAACTCTGTCCATTGAAGTGCGCGGCGTCGGGGATAAAGAGCAACGACCTGACTTTGATGTTTTTTTTGGCGAATAGGTGGATTGATTAAAAAAAGGAGCACATCCGCAAAAATGAAGGAAATCACATGATCACGGTGTATCTCCATGATCTCCGGATCAGAATGGAGGATAAGGAAGAATAAGACATGGAAGTCATAAACCTGAAAAATGATGGATTTAGACTACGATGACACAACCCAAAAGCAGGGAGGATTCCAGCAGGTGTAGTTTCCTGGTGTCCCCGAAAATCATTCCCGACTTGGAGTGAGACCCTTCGTGTCGCCTGACACTTGCATCATACAACCACATTCCATCTGCCCAAAATCCACTTAATATAATCTTAGTTAGATGGTGTGGTTATCAAGTCGGTATATCACTTACTCCACTCAGTGGGTGAGGAGATGGCAGCAGGAAAAACAGCCTAAGGCTAGGAAAAAAAACCTGCTGCATGGAAGACAATAGCGGGAGCCAAAGTCTCCTGAGGAGAATTGGAAAAAAGCAACCCGTCACTGGAAAACATGATAGCAAACGTGGCCTTGTGATTGTGGGCGCACGAATACAAAAATGGTGAAAGCTTCGGCTACGCCCTTCTCACTACTGGTGCCATGACCGATGTAGCCAAACCACTGCGTCAGCTGGGAGGGTGGCGCTGGCGGACGATGGATGGAGGCGCTTGGTACAGCTATGCTGAAAGCCACGACAAAGGCGAAGGAACTATTGGGCAGGATCCACAGATAAGAGTAGAGCAGCAGCAGGGCGGGCAACATCACCATCAGCAGGACTGGCCAGTTCAGCTCTGCGACGAAGGACTGCCCGTGCTCGGTATCGCACGGTGACGCAAAGCTCTTGAAGGAGTTGGGCGTGGCATGCTGCAGCGTCTTCGCCTTCCCGGGCCGCGGCTGCTCGAGCCAGAAGCCGGAGAGTGTGAGACGCCGTGGCAGACCAGGCGCCCGTGCTTTCCACGACCAAGGGCTGGAAGCGCACTCCTTGACGTTCACAATCTTGGCCGGTTTGAAGGTGACCAGCTTTGACCTCTGTATAGGCGTCGGCCGCGGCACCACTTTTGCAGCTAGCCTCGCGCAAGCTTTCCGACCGCTGAGGTGCTGTAACAGCAATGTCAAGTGCAGTCGGAAGGCCGGCTAAGCTAGGTACAAAGATGTCTGCGGGACGACGGCGCCCGAGGCTCGTGTCTTCGGGGCGCTGCGGCAACAGCAAACCGGGCTTTTCTCGTTCAGGCTGTAGGCCCGCCCGCTCGGCCCATCGGAGAATAGTGTCTCGAACCGCATGGTGCCGGAGGGTGCGTTCCCCCCCCGCGGAACACGCCCCAGCATGCAGAGAGAAACGGTCGAGAACCCCATTGCACTGAGGGCACCATGTGTCGTCAGCAGCATCGGGTAGCCCAAGTCTGTGGCGAAGCTCAGTGACAAAAATTGCAGGCTCAATGCGCAGCAGGCCATGCGGGCGAGCTGCCAGGAACGCTCTTGCGCCAGGTGCTGCTTCAGACAGGAGTAATGCACGACCAGTCAAAGTTGAAGAACTAAGCTGGGCTTCCCAGCTGGTATCGTCCAGGGCCGTGGTCAACTGTTTTTGCGGCTGCCCCAAGCACTGCTGCAAAGTAACCTGTTGAGCCGGCGGGAGGTTGCTGTTGTAGAGCTGCAAGGTAGTACCAAAATGCCCCGAGGCGAAGTCAGCGTCAGAAAACTTGGAGTCAAGTTGGGCACAAAGTTGACGACTTTTGCCTGCAGATGAAAGGTAAGCAGCTGGCCCATCCAAGTGCGTGGAGCGCAAGCCAAGCCCCGCCTGAGCAAAGCTTCTGGCTGCTTGCTGCCACTGGGCATCGGTTGGGTGAAGCCCGGTTAAACTGCTGAAGCAAGCACGCACTCGTTGATCAAACATCTTGAAGCTGTCCATCTGGGGTCCAGGCGGCGAGCACCGCATGCTGTGCACCATTCGGCAATGCCCAGCGCTGGAGCGTAACAGGCGGACGCCGACCTGCGCATCATCCAATCCACCAATGGCATCCAGGAGCTGAGAGGCAGCGACTGTTCGGTCTTGAGCATGAGTGGAAACGAAGTCGTCATCCCCCACGGCTGCCCCAAGCAGTTCAAAGTTACGCTGAACACGACTGTTCCCAGCACCATCGGTCAGGAGGGCCTGTTGGAGATGGGCAGCAAGGCCGGAACAGCTACCATTGTGCAAGCAAACCACTTCCGATTTGTCCAAATTGAGGTGAAGGCCGAAGTGAGCCGATCGAGTTTGGATGTGGGCCAGCGCAGCACCAACAGCCGCCACATCTCCCGCGATGACGCCATCATCCAAATAGAAAAAGGCGAGGTCCAGAGGCCCTTGGCTCAACTCAAGCGCCAAGGGGTGCAGAGCACTGGCAAAGAGCAGCGGCCCCAAAGGGTCTCCTTGCTGGACCCCACCAGCCGAGAGCAAGTGGGTTTGGCCGAAGTGGAGCTCCGAAGGCTGCTTGTAGCACCAAATGACCCAACGGGTCAGAGCAGGAAACCGCAAGGCAACAGAGTCCAGCACCGCTTGCCGAGAAACCAAGTTGAAGGCATTTTTGAAGTCAAGCTTCACCAAGATTTTGCCGGTGTGTCCTGCATTGCGGTCATGCCAAGCCCGGGCCGTGTGGACGGCCGCTTCAGCCCCTCCAGCAGTCGCCACACCAAGCTGCACTGGAGCAAAATGCTGCCGGGCCTCATCCCGCACAGCCTCCATCAAACACTTGGCCGTGAGGCGGCGTAGGATTTCTCCAACGGCAATGGGCCGCACGCCACCATTGGGTTTTGGCAGAGCCACCAGACTAGCACCTGCCAGGCTGGGAGCTACAGCAGCACATGCTTGGCCTTGAGCTAGCAAGCCGACCACCCCGCAGAGTTGTTGTAGCAACGCTTCGGACGAGCCAGACGCACAAGCTTCCCGAAGATGTTGGACCCGCAATCGTGTCAGCTGGGAAACTGCGCAAGGCCCGGGCCACAGCATCAGGCACCAGCACTGGGGCCAAAGGTTGGGCCGCCAGCTCGGGTGTAGTAGGAACAGGTTGGGCTGGGTGAAGAGCTTGAAGAGCTTGGTGTGGTTATGTTAACGTTGGAAATACATAACACTGTTGAAGAAAGATACCGGGTGATCCAAGGTCAAGATGGCTTTTCCGAAGGCTTTTCCGAAGGCTTTTGATTGGAACACAAACAAAATAGACTCGCGACGTCTGAAGACTTTGCATGGAATCTTCCCCAAGTCTCCAGTGTTTTGACATTACCAGCAAAGTAGTAAGCCCCAAACTTGAAGGGTTCAAGGCCATGTAAAGTTTCTTTGTGCCCCCCGGCTCTCTTGGTTCAGTTCCCTTTTTGGCTAAACGGCTAAATTGCCATGTTCCACCACCAGTTTCTGTTTTAACTACCAGCTTCAGGTATCTTCAGGGCACTTCATTTCCCTAAATTCTGCTGAGTTTTAGATCCCCCTTCCCCCCACCCAATATTAAACCGAGTTTTAAAAACGGCTGGATAATATGGATAATTTCGGGCGAAAATTTCCAGCCATTTTTGACCCCAAAAACTGCCGTCAACGCCATCTCAACTGAGCTGCTCTTTGCCCTCCAGCCGGGCACCTATCTCGGCAGGGCAGTCCTGGAAAACAGCAGGCGGACCCTTTCATCTTAGCTAATCTGGGGGGAACAAAACCGATTAATATAGATGTATGATGATGTATGTAGATGTTATAGATTTTTTAAGTTGTTTTTTCTCTGGGATAGTTCTTTGATGTTCTTCGCCTTCTCCGTGTAGAGACATAGCTCTGGCCATAGGTTCAAATTGATCAAGTGATCTGCCCACATCTTTGCATTGCCACATCTAACTACCGGAAGATGTCCCAAACGCGTACTCCTTACAGCAACCATGTCACAAGTTCAACTGCATTGTAGACCTGAAGGAGTGTGCAAAATCTTGGGGCTCCTTGGGCCCACTAATGGCGTGCGCTTCTTTCGTCGTCTTCACCTCCATACATTGCAGTTTCCATTCATGGCAGCCTATGGAATTCAAAGAACTGGTTGTGGAAAATGATGTCCCCCTTGGAAATATATCTTCTTGGCATTTTCACCTTAGTTTTCACGGGGAATTAATTAGACAAAATGGAAACAACAACTTGGTTGTGGTTGATATCATCACTCGAGGTCGCAGTTCCGAGAAGATCTTGCCAGGCTGCTTCGATTATTCCCAACATATGGGAAAATAATCCAGCCATGTTCCAGTCACCACCAATCAGATCTACATGATTGCATTGATTGCCCCAAGTTTTCTAAGGAATGGTCCGGAAGGGTGGGATGCTACCACAAAAAAGCCTCTAGATCTGCCCATCTTACTGGCAGATCTGGCACGATGATTCCCCGTGATGACCATGCGATGACCTGAGAACTTCCGGAGCCGCTGAGGTAGCAGAGCTTTGTGTCGCTGAAGAAGGTGAAGTTACGACAAGGCCTCGGCGGTGCGACCGCTGTCGCTGTCCAACATCCAAGCACCATGTTTTTGTCACACAAAAAAGGGGCCTGAATAAAAAAAAGGGGGCATAACCATTGGTGCTATAATGGAAGAGTGTTTTCATATCTAGATTGGGGTGAAAATTGAGGTGCGTGTTTTTTTCTGATGAATGTTCCCCAGAAAAACCGCCGAAAGAAAGAGGGACGGAAGTTCACCAAGCCTTCCAACCAGTTTTTGATGGAGATGCTACATTCAAAAGATGAGACACACTTGCTATTACCAGGGCTAGCAAGAGGTTTTATCCTGTGACAGCCTAATCTGACAATTGACAATCCGCACTAGTTTCTATGCAGATGTAGTTGCCCATATCATCATGTTATAGTTGGTTTTCCTGCCCCCTCAAAAAAAGCAGCTGTGCAATGCCAGCCTAGGTGCCATACCATGCTGCACCAGATGAATTCGGGGCTCCCAGAGCCGTGTCCCGTAACAGTTTGCGCTTTGTTTGAAACGCTCCGCCTACTGAAAAAAAACAACATAACCCCAAACGAAATATGGTACCACCCATCCACCAACAATACACACTATTTCCCTTGCCAGCTGGTGACGTTTGAAACAGGTCATATTTCGGAAAAGTCTGGAAGAGCTTGGCAGGGCCACTGAGATGATGGTCCCAGCTGAGTTTTCGGGCTGCCCACTGACGGCACCGGAAAACAAGCTCAATGAGCCCGCTCCAGCACCTGCGAAAAACGGCCGCTGGGCGAGTGTTGCAATGTAAGTGATGAGCATATCATGGATGGATTGATTCAAAAACGAAACTTCGCCCTGGGGCCCTGGGATGGAATCGGGATATTAACGCGAAAAAATATGGAATTGGACCATTTGGACTGTGGTGGAGTAGTCATTGAGAATCAACAAATCTCCTATGGATGGCCCCTTGGTTGACTCCCGAGGCGTCTACTCGAGGAAAGATAAGCTTTCAATCCCATTAAACCACCATAAAATCCCATTATATCCCATTAAACCACCATAAACCTGGATGTTCTAAGATACGCGAAGTCAGGTTGCGTGAGCAGGGGATCACCGTCGTTTAAGTCTGGCGTCCATCCATTTTTGTTAAGACCGAACCATGCTTAAAAATCCGGGAAAAAAAAAACATGTCTTAATGGTCACAATATGTCACAATCTATTTTGATCTTCCCCAATCATCAAAAATCAAATATTGGGGAATCCCCAGTCATCATCAATATTTGATCAACACTGACCAATATTAGAGTCATCTACTGACCAATCAATCATCAAAATATTTTGGTCAGTAGAATCCCCCGCAATCATCAACCCATTGGGGGTCCTGAACCAGTATCTCCAACAGCAACCCCCGGTTTTCAGACCTTCGCGACTCGAGGTAAAGCAGGCCCTGAGCACCGTCTCTTAGGCAAAGTGACTCTTTTTTTTAATGTGCATTCATTTGGTCATGTCACGCTTATGTCATTAGTTTCTGAATATGGGTTTTTTAGTGCACTATCAATTGATCCATCATAATTTATAATCATTACGCATCGTAGTAACTGTCAAAAGGATAGAACATGTTGAATTGTCCGTTCTTTTTTGGTGGGATGTTGTACTTGTCTGTTCTTTTTTTTGTCTCTTTCTGGGTATTGCTATAAACGCATGATGAGGTAAGCACTGTTGAACCATGTCCATGTAGTGATTCAACGTGATTCATGCACACATCCATTTTTGGAACCATATTCATTTTGCATGGGATCAATAATTTTGACTCATACCCATCATCCCCCCATCCCCAACATTACCCGCGCTTGCTGGTCGTTTCGGGCCTGGTCTTCGAACCATGGGAGGGTGGGGATGGAACGCAAGGGCCGCAAGGGCCCAAAAGATCCAAAAGAAGATCTCACAAAATAATGGATGACATTCGAACCAATTCCCCCATACATCCCTTTTTTTTCATCTAACATGATGTAGCTGGGAGTTGCTTGGGACCATACCATAGTCATCGTCATCGTCCACAGTTGAGGCCCGTCTTTGCAGGGGATGAGTTGCACCGTGCGCGCGCCTCTGGCATTGCAGCGCGGTGTTCGCAACTGCTCGCCAGCTGCCATCTTCGCGGCTGGACAATCCAAATTGGGCGCCTGTGAACCAGCGGAACTAGCGTGCAATGATGTGCAATGAGCCTCCCTTCTCAATAGGACCAATAGGACTCCCCACATTAACGAACCACAACGAACCCTTCATGTCATTCCTCATGCGGTTTTTTTGAACGAATCGGAGCTGAATGCAATTAAGAAGCATTCTTCCCACAACCAAAACACACTCAGAATTCATTTGACCTTCCAGCTATCCGCCTCGATTACAATGCTTCGTCATGTGCATGTCCAAAATGCTTGGTATCTCGACCTTTACAATCTCTACATAATAAATGATTTATATACACATATCTCCATCTACCCGCTTCTAGTTTTGTGGTTGCTTGGAGAGTCAGACTTCCAGTGGCAGCACGGCGGTGTCGTGCTAAGTCTGCTAAGTCCGCGGCAGTGTGGCGCCGAAAGGTGTTCTGCGGCACTGAAGGCAAAGGATGCCTGGTTCTGCGAAAAGGTTTCCCTAAAACACAAAAATCCTCCCTTCCTAATTTAATGTCCCTAAACCATGGCTTCATAGAGGTTTTGCACATATGTGGGACCATTGAGGGGGCGTTTAATAAAACATAATAAAACTGTAAGAGATGGATTTATTAACTAATTTCTCTTGGCAAGAGCTTCAACTTGCCACTTGGATAGTCCTTCGCTCCCGCCTTCAGGTGTTGTGCAACGATCAGTGCGGACAGGAGCCAAATCATGCTGCTGGGGAAAGAATTGGTGAACTTGTTGGGTGTGGTGGATGAACATCCAGAAGTTCATAGAAAGTCCAAGTAGTTGGCTCAACATGACCCCTCTATGCTCAATCAATAACCATCAATAACAATCAATAACAATCAATAACCATCAATAACCATCAATAACCATCAATAACCCATGTCAAAAGCTCAACCAACTTGCAAAGAATGAGAATGTCGCATGAATTTGAGACCATGTGACGGATCTTCTGAATACATCTTGCAGAGTGTGACCAGGTGGAATGATTGGGGAGTAGGAGATGGCAAACTTGACTGGTTAAGTGATGAGTTTCCACGGTTGATCTACAGAATAATAACCTGTTCCAAAGCTCCTTGAACCTCCGATGAAGCAGCAGTCCAAGCTGTGACACGTCAACAGGGATTGAAGATGAAACCATGAACCAGTCATTTGGCATGAGACGTGCGTAGCTGCCGTAGCTGTTGGCTTGTCACCTCTTTGACGTACCGTGGGAAAAAGCTCGAATTGCTATGGGTCTGTTCATCCTGGTTCCTATCATCCCCAAAGAGACTTCCGGCGAACATAAAAGTTGCCAGCCAGCCATAAACCACCGGTTGGATGTGTAGCAAAGCCAATAATAAACCTATAATCTACCATAGTCAGCTCTCTCTAATCATTTTGGATACTAGGTTAGGTTTATGACAATTACATACAATTACCACCAAACATGAAAACCAGAAGATCTTCCCTGAAAATGTTACCAGGTAAAGATTCCATGGTAAAATGGTCTTAAAAAAAAAACAGTCGTAGATCGAAAAGCCAAGTTGAACAGCCGGGAATATCAGTCAAATATCATTTGGTAAATATTCTGGAAACACTTTTGGGCATCTTGTTTGGGAGTTAATGTTAGTATATGTTAGTAGAGCAATAGTACACCATCCCTGTTTTTAAAACACAAATGGGTGGTATAAACCATCCAATTTTAGGGATAGTTTACTCTTGCTTTATCACCCTCCCTAGCTACTTTATGCCCAATACATTTATAATAATGTATTGAACCTAGGGGGGATCTACTACCTTTGGGGGCTAACATTACTACACACCACCCGCAAACGTTTCCCGTAGCAGACAGAGGTGGCGGGGGCGCACCCTTAAACCTTCCAGGCTTGAGGCTCCGAGAGTTTGTTCCTCTGATGGTCACAGTAAAACCAATGGTAAAAAACGGCGCAAAGTTTTCGGTGAAAACCAACCCAAAACATAGAGCAAAACCAAACCAAAACGGTGCTTTTCCATGCTTTTCCTGTCCTGGAGAAAAAGCAAAGAGCAAAATAGAGTGAGACCAGCCAGACAAATGATGATTACCCTCTGGTAAACTAACATAACTATGGAAAATCACCATTTTTTATGGGTAAATCCACTATAAATGGCCATTTTTAATAGCTATGTTAAATTACCAGAGGGTAATCCCAACATGAACATTGCATGACAGAGGTCCTGGGAGGCCACCGGCGCTGATGGCCGCCTTCCTCGCGCCGCCTCAAGCGGCGGCGCTGGAAAGACATCGGGCGCCTTGGAACGAGAAAGGCCCCGTTTTCTCCGAAACGCGAGCGGGTGGCGTAATGGAAATCTGGAAATGAGTAGACATTCAGAAGGTCCCAAACAGAATTTCCAAAGAAATTGGCAGAAAAAACACAATATGCATCAATATAATTCAATATATACACCATAAACCACCCCAATTCAGCAGTGGTTCATCTTTCATGTCGAATAGCTCCAAGTTCTCTGAGCGACTTGCCTGACTTGCCCGTGCAACACCAAAGTTCGTCAAGGAGGTCTGACAGGCAGGTCATCCAGAATGAAAGAAAAAACCACCTACCCTCTGGTTATGTCAAAATAGCTATTGAAAATGACAATTTTATAGTGGAATTTCCCATGAAAAATGGTGATTTTCCATAGTTATGTTAGTTTACCGGAGGGTATGTTACTAATAGCACACTATAATAGTTGCAATTATTGGCTATTGTTTAACATTACATAACATTACCTGTTTCGCTGCTTCATATCTATGACACTATGAACATCTGCATCTGCTACATGGTGTCTTGAGTCTTCAACATCAACACCATCCTGACCACAGCCTGCCGCATGATCATAGCCGGCCTCAATCACAGCTGGAACTTGTGATGCTGCCAGTTATAAGTGGGTCACTTCTCCCAATGTATTGTGCAGGCACCGCAGGCACGCTGAGAAACTGTTGCTGTTTAGTACAGTAGGGTTTTCATACAGAGATTCATCATTAAAATTGGTACATAGCTCCAGTGGTTGGCTTTGGAATGTTCAATTTACAAACCGGTTTAAAAAAGGAGCTGCCCCCATAACGGCGGCAACAAGTGAATGTCAGCTGCATCATCACAAGTAAAACTGAATGTCACTAGACGTTGCTCATCAAGGAATAAATGGTGTAAATGGTGAAAGTAATTTCAAAAGACAACTTGGAGACAGGTAGTAGATGCGCAAGTCTACCTGGGTTTACCTTCTTGCCTTTATCATCAACTGCTGTTTGATGTCAAAATATGATGAAAAATATGACTCGCTTGAGCCTGACATCATCTTTCTAAAACAAGATGAACGAGGCGAAGAACAACCAGGCGGTGTTTGGCAACATTCCCTTTCTACTGGTCAACTTGCCAAAGGTCAGAAAACGCTGAGCCCCCCTGCGCTTTTGCAGAAGGTACCCTCAGCAAATTGAGTAATTGGATCCAAGGACCAAGGATGGCAGCTAGTTTGTCAAAAGAATGCTGGTAATAGTCGTGGATATCTATACACACATATATATATAATTTAATTGGACCGTAGGAATATAGGCTATAGGACCTAAACAAACCAAAACGACAACCGAAATTTACTGATCATGGTTGATATCATATCTAATTTGATTGGTGTGGTGATTGGTCACAAACACATACACAGACTGTGTACAGGTGTGTCTTCCAAAAGGGAACCATTTCAAACCCCGACGGGGTCAAACAAACTGGAAGCCCTGCTTCTACTGACATATTTGGAATAGAACGCACCGCACCCAAGGTTCATGCAAAAACATGGAAAACATCAAGGCAAACAGTGTTGACATTTTAGCCTTCTATATATATATATATATTGATGAACTCAAATTCTAACCTAAGACATCAAGATCCACAATCGGAAGGTTTATCACTCCAAAATAACCCTTCTAAATCTGGTGGATGGTTGGTGTCAATAAAAATTGGAAACAACATGAAACCCCCACCGGCAAGGGTTGGGGATCATCATTCCTGGTAGGGATAGAAATGAACAATTTTGAACATACAGGGGCTGTATTTCACAACGCATCATGGATGTGTTTCCGCATGTGGATGCCCCTGAGCTACCCTGCACTGCACTAAAACTGCGCGTGGCAGCCTTTCCCAAGGCCGGCCGGCCAGCACATCGAAATACCAAGGCCAACAATTTTCAGGCTGCAATGGAATAAACCAACATAATCCAACATAGAAATGGAAGATTTCCCCCTTTTGCAGGTGAGTTTTTCCTCCGATGTCATAGACTGCCAATTGATTCCACCGCGAAGCTGGTGAAAGCTAGCAAGTTTCAAAGAAGACTTTGTTCATTAAGGTAAGAGATCAAGAAAATAAGAAACCAACAAAATAACACTAGTCACTAGTAGTTACAATGATCATAACAGACACTTATCATCAGTATCATCATTACTATTATCATTATACAATAGATATACTGTATATATATAGGAAAAATCATGGAAAAACAACGCAACCACTGCCAAAACAACATATACCCTCTGGTAATTTAACATAGCGAACTGGAAAGATCCACCATTTTTCATGGGAAAATCCACTATAAAAGGCCATTTTCAATAGCAAACTGTTAGTTTACCAGAGGGTATAAGAAATTCCCGGAAACCAAGCACCCCTGCATCGTGACTCATCGGCCTGTCGAGTCACAGGCTCCACCATCCCCACGGGGACAACGGGGGTTGCAGAGCCAGCCGAAGGTGTCCTGGAGATCGGGAAACCCGGCCCCGGCCGATGTAAAACATGTAGATCGGTCGATGTTCATATTGGGAGGATGTGATTGGTTATATATATATATACATACGTATAATATATATATATATAATATAATATATATATATATATATGTGTGTGTGTTTTTCCTTTTATCTGCAGGAAATGTTCGTTTGTGTAAGGTAGATACGACAAATATATATATATATGCAATATATAGATCAATATATTACGATATATATATATACAGGGTGTGTGTGTACACAGGAATATGTATGCACGAACAGGCCAAAAGGCACCCGAAAACGCAGTGAACTTTGAAGGCGCCCCATCCAAATTCTATGGCCGTCTCAGGCACATGGATGGATGTGATACACTGTACTTGTGAAGGAGTGTCCTTACATGGGCTCACTTATCGCAGAAGCAGTCCTTGCACAAGCCCCTCGCGGTGGCACAGTGACCGAATGAAACCTTGCTGACACGGGGTCAACACTGGGAGGTCTAGTGCGCGCAGGACATGGCTTGATCCACAGGAATGATTAATCTCCGGTAATAAAATTGGCAATGGAAAATCCACTTTGTATAGATTATGTTCCCACTAGAACCTCCATTTATAGGGGATCTCCAATTGCTGCGTTTGACTACTGGAGGATATAAAGAACTGGTTTTTTGCCAGGTGCAACCAAACACAAAAGCAAGGATAGAACCAACCAAGATGTGTTGAGAAGCAATAGTAGTGCGAATAAGGAAAAATCCAGAATGGGAATGATGTTCCGATACCGAAAGATAAAATAACAGGAGCCCGGTCCAGGACCTTGGTGGTAGCAGGCCTCATTTAGCAATGGGAAACCTTGCGCCTGATAGGGAACCTTGGCTACGGTTGACAATTCACGTTTTAATGCATGCCGCTTCATCCGGCCTACAAAAGTGTAACTTGTACCGGAGAAGAAGAACTGCAAAGGTCATCGCACACGGATTCATGACCATGGTTTCTATATATATGGATTGGTCTGAAAATGGGAGAGGTACCTCCACATTGCCATTCTACCCTCTGGTAAACTAACATAACTATGGAAAATCACCATTTTTAATGGGAAAACTCACTATAAATGGCCATGTTCAATAGCTATGTTAGTTTACCAGAGGGCAATAGGGAACATGATGATCAACATTCATCAACATTGATCAACCACGGCAAATAAAGGGGTGCTCTACTGTGGATGGTTACGAAATCCGGAAAACCAGGCAGGTAGATGGTACCATTGTAATCCCAAGATTTACCGTGTTTCATTGGAATCCCATGTTTTTTACCTGCCTGGTGCAGGATTTCGCCACCATCCACAGATTTTAAGGGAAACCAAAGGTTTTCCGGTTTTCCCATGAAATATGGTGCTTTCCGGTTAAAAATGTTCCCTTTAACCACTCCATTGAGGCGCCACCCTCCGGGCAACATTGGACCTGAGGCAACCTGAGGTGCCGCAAGGCGTTTGCGCCGCGCACCAGGCTAAAACCCTTGGGGATTTGGCTGGTTGCAGTTGCAGCCTCAATGGATTGGTTTTCGTGGGAAAATCTACAGGAAACCATAGATTTTCCCATGAAATATTGGTATTTCCTGTAACTTTTCCCTTAAACCAATCCATTGATAAAACATGATAAAACAAGCTCTCATTTGTTGATGACATTATTACTCCCTTAAAATTGGAGGTCTCGCCCATGATTGTTCAGGTGGAAAACTTGGAAAACTTCCCAAGGAAGTCACTGGCCCACACGCCTTGGAACTGCAGTGCTTTTTTTTTTAAACATCCCAACTTGAGCCGCCCATAGAGTATACGACCTCAGATTTTCCCAGGGAACTCGTCCATTTCTGGCCAGGTTCCTCAAATTTATCGTAACCAAGGTGGCTGAATTGTAGTAACTCAATGGTAATTCAATAACCTGAATAACCTGAAGATAGCACAAAATACGGCCTTCTTCCAATTGCGTCACAGCGAGGTCATTATATAATTCATCCGGAACAATCGGAACAATGCAATTGTGTTTTTGCGCCCGCTGCGGTCTTCGCCAGAACTACGACACTCCGACAATTTTCTGTGCCACCAGATTGGTAGCCCGGCCTCCTTGGAGGCAACAAAAAATGGTACCCCAAACAACAATGACATTGGCCAGATTTTTTGCTGGTGCCCAGCCCCTCTGGTCCATGCCTGGGTTCGCAGGCTACACCTAAGACAAGCCACCGATACAACAAGGGGCTGCAACTTCCAAAAAGATAGAAATCTTAGAAAGGTAGTACCATCTGGTTATTTAACATAGCCATGGAAAATCACCATTTTCAATAGGTAAACCATCTATAAATGGGCCATCTATACCATGGCTATGTTAAATAACCAGATGGTAGGATGAAATCCCTGGATTTTCCTGGAGATTGATGAGATTGATGTTCCCCATACTTTCCAGGTGTCCGCCTGGTTGTTCCGAATCTTTTTGCGGCTTGCTCTACTGCTTTTTTTGGAGCAAGCTTCCGGAATCCCATTTGGAGAATACATTCTTGAGGCGGAATGCACCCACAGGCTGCCACCCACATCCACCATTGGGACCGGTTGATGCGGTTTTCTTGTCGACAACGTCATGCAATGTCACCCTAATATTAAATACCCCCCAATAGGGCCCTAATGATACGGAACCCCCCAAAAAAGGATCCAATACTAAACCAGGGATCCAAAGGCTATTTCATATCAAGGGGATGGGGTCAAGATCATGCCATGTCACACCTCGAAAACTGGTGTTTTTTTCATTGCTTTAGTCTTCTCCACCGTCTTGTTTTGCAAACTGATAGCACATGCGCACACAACCATTCTTCCATATGCATGTAACATGTATTGCAAATGCTGTCTGGTCTTGCCAGTGTGAATTTGATGCATTCCCTCGATCAAAATCATCATCATCATCATCATCATCATCATCATCATCCCAAAAGACCAGTTGAAAACCCTACCCTCTGGTAATCAAACATGGCTTGATGGCAATTCCCCAATCGTCCAGTCCGTTCGCAGATTTCCCGCAGTGGCGCAGATTGCGGAAGGATTGCTACCCATCTCCACGTCATCCCCGTTGATTGAGTCATAGGCCCTTATTGAATCCCTAATCCTCCTGGGATTCACTTACCATTTAAACGCTTTATAAAGCCAACAATAATATCAATAAGGCATAATACCCGATCCCCCAATAGAGGTATATATTTTATATTATTATATGATATGCTTGGGCTTACCACTTGGTACATTGAGAACATCTTCGGTTCCGAGTCTCTTTCCGGAGGACGACCTCAGATGTTGCGATTCGCAACGCTGAGGTCGTAGGATGATCTGGGTGATATACAGTTTATACATGTTTATACATGGTGATAATGATATCATTTTAGATGAAGATGATCTTATTGATCTTTTTGGTGATATATATATATAATATATTAATTATGTGATATGTGTAATCAGACAGGTGATGTGCCAAGAGACTAGATGACTGGAGAGATGAGCAACGGAGGTGCCCCTTCTCGTAGCTGCAGGATATATCAAAATAATGTCCACCCCAGATTCATCAACCATAGTTTCTTAGGGCTGGTACTCACCAAATAGTGATAATCTGATACTTATTTATCTTAACTGGTCTAGGGGTTCATAAATCCACCGTTGACATTATGCATAGTTGATCCGAAAATGAGAGATACAGCTGAAAATCGCTGTATGTTTGATGAGGAAAATGACAAAACAAACCATGGGATCTGCCGGAATCCGATGTTCAGGCAAACCAATTTTAGGCCCAAAGTCAGCAAACAAATGATGTTATCGTTGAATTGGTTGGTTGAATGGAAAAGCGTTACACAAAAAATCAGGAAACCAGCGTTTTTACCAAACAATGGGTTCCCTCTTCTTCCCTTAAGTTTACTCGATCAGTTTATCATAATGTCAGGAATGATGTGAGCGATCTCGGAAATGGTTCTGCTGTGCGCAGAAGACTTTGCAAACATTCAAACCCACCTGGAAATCAAGCAAATCGTCGGGAATCTCTATGAACCATCTGGTTCCTGAGAATTTCCCAATCGCTCCCATTTTGGTAGGGGCAACAAAAAAAAAAAACTCCCTGGCTCCGAATGGTTCCGAAGAAATTTCAGTGAAGATTCTTGGTAAAAGTCTTTTTGAACACATCTGGGATGCCCCTAAATACACTGGGTTCATTCTCACTTTTCCAAGTAAAAATTGCCATTTAAATCATTTGGGGTGTTTTAAATGGTGGTTTCCTATTGCCGAACCGACGACTCCATCAAACCACAATGAACCATTTCCTGTAGATTCCCCTTTTTTTGGTCAATCGATCATCAACGCGACACTTGATAGGTTTTCAGCTTAAACAAAGCCAGGTTGCTATCATGTCTGGTTGGTGGTTGACCTACCCCTCTGAAAAATGATGGAGTTAAAGTCAGGGAAAGTCATAAAATTCCACGGTTCCAAAGCACCAACCAGATGTGGTTGGGAAACTCTTATTAACTCCAAACGGCTCCCCGTTGAATGGGGCTTGCCTGGATGCCAATAGCTCTAAACCGCTCCCTCCCAGCTAGGTTGATAGACCCCAAACCAGGTTACATAGCGCGACCATTGGGCTGAAGCACCGTGTCTGGCGGTGCCAATTGAGGATCAAACATGGGGCAACCTGCCCTATTCCAAACTAGGATCGTTTTGGTCATTTCTTGAATCAAGCCAAAAATTTGGTCCTTTTGATAGTCATAAATCCTCCGTTTTTGGTGAAAGTTTGGGGTTTCAGCATCCGAGCAAGTGGCGAATGCGCAGCATATAACCAAGTATATCTTACACACACGTGTGTATATGCACAATATCATCGTGCCATTTTTGTGTGTGTGCTTAGATAATTTTAGATATGCATAACATATATATATA